GGTATCATCAAACAGGCTCATGGCCCTTCTCATGTCAACTCAAAAAGAACCGAAGAAGAAGTTTCCAGAATATGGTGGCATCCATATATGAAAGAATTGGTCAACCTATACCACCAAGAATGCCCAACTTGCAATAGCTTCAACCTGAAAAAACCATACAAATGTCCACAAGGAGCATTCCCAGTTCCAGATGCCCCCTTCAAAGAAATCTGCATCGATTACACAGACATGGGAGCAGAGAACCGAGTGAAGGGGTACAGATTCCAACTGGTAATGGTAGACCGGTATACCAGGTGGGTTGAAGCCATCTCCTGTAAAAAAGAAGATGCCAAAACGGTAATCAAATGGCTGAAAAATGAGCTCCTACCAAGATATGGAGTTCCCAGAAGAATCAGGTCTGACAATGGCACACATTTTGCAAACAAACACTTACACGAGGTTGAAAAGTATTTGGGCATCACACACACACATGGAGCAGTCTATCACCCACAGTCACAGGGGATAGTCGAGAGAGCTAATCGGACCATTAAGTCCAAAATAGCTATGATTTGTCACGGCACTAAGCTTACCTGGTTGGATGCTTTACCTCTTGCATTAATGTCTATGCGGTCCTCACAGGGAGGGAAAACTTTCCTTTCTCCTCATGAATTGATGACGGGGAGACCCATGCCGGGTCCAGACAGAGAGTTGGGAGACAGTCCTATGCTAGACATATTTCAAGTTGAAGAGTCTGAATATTATGGAAAGTTATGTGACCAGCTTGGAGTTTTGTCTACACAGATTCAAAGAGCCAACCAGACACCAGCTGATGAGAACGTGTCATCAGCGGAACCAGGTGATTGGGTAAGGTTGAAAGTTCACAAAAGAAAGTGGACTGAACCGCGGTGGATTGGACCGTTTGAAGTCATTGCAAGGACTTCACACGCACTCCAAGTAAGAGGTCACACCAAAACTAAGTGGCATCGTCTAACCCATTGTCAAGCAACAGAACCACCAACCAGAACACTTACACGGCAAGATTTGATAAATTCAAAGGAATGAGTTTAACAGGGATGGAGAACCTCGAAGGGAGAAGAATCAGAAAGAGGTGTGGTCTCACTGCATTTAAATTCTGGTTAGGGATGGTCTTCTTTACTGGTCTCATACTCCTTCCACTTCTATGGTGGGGAGGACCAATGAAAGTAAGAGGAAAAACCTCCCTGACCAAACCAGAACCACAACTGAATTCCACCGTACATAATGGTAAAGATTGTACCCAGGGACAGAATTTTGCACAAGTTCATCACCGAACCAAACGATCCAACAGGGAAAGAAACACATTCACCACAAAACCTCAGATCCATGTGAAATGTGTGACCGGAACACCTTGTGTAGCACGTTTTGATTTATGTATGACCGGAGGTTGCCCAGCCGGTTCATTAAAACTACAATGGAGCTCAATAACTCAAATGGCCAAATATCATAAGTATTTGTGCACTGGAAATTGTGAAAACTGGCTTGATGTGTTTGCCCACACTGATCCCCATGGTTACGTCAACCCAGAGCATCGACGGGCTGGTCAAATAGCCCTAATTGGACCCCTACAAACTTGTCCCCAACAAAGCATCGTTTGGCCCCGTTGCAACGCTGTCAACTTAGCGATAGCGTCTCCACAACTAGACATGACTGGAACCTATAAGCTGGGGGTGGATAAAGAAGGACCTGATCCCTGGTGGGATATTGTTCTGACTGTATCTAACCCAGAAACCCCATCTTCCACAGTAATGCCTGAATCCGAAACTGCGACAGCTCCACCAAAGGAAACATCTCCTATCCCTCAACCATTAATAAAGTATTTGAATATCTCCTCCACAAGACTGACCATAGCAACTGAAACCGGGTACACTCAGGAAAACCAGTGGCTTAATTGGTTATTGTACACCGCGAAAGACCTTAATCGACCCGACTGTTTAGTGCAGGGGTCTCAAACTCGCGGCCCGCGGGCCAATTGCGGCCCTCGGGACGATATTTTGTGGCCCCATCCTTAATATGAAAGTGTAATGTTAGTGCGGCCCGCAAGTTTTATACTGTAACCCCACTGTCAGCTGCTGTGTGGGACATGTTATGATGTTCTGGTTTCCTACTGTGTGCTTGTCCAGTGAACGTGGCATGCATGTGACTGACATGGGGGGCGGGTCGTGTGTGTCGGCCGAGGTGCAGAGAGCAGGAGGGTGAAATTCAGTTTCCTGCCCTCTTTCGCGCAGGTGATCATGTGACTAACCGTTAGCATCGCTCGTTTAATAAAGTTTTCCTTTACGACTCACACTAACAACACATGAAGCATCTGACGTCACCGACGAGCGTCTCCGTCCATTACTACGCAGCTTCGATTCACGTAACTTCACGTTTGGCTATAAAGGAATTCCACGGTCACATGACCTTAGGTCTCCCCCGCTGAGTTAAAGGAGGACTAGTGTTGTAGTCTCATTCGGACCGATTCCCCAGGGTGGGGTTCAATGACTGCTTTTGAAAGTGAGTGTTAAGTTGTGTTATTGTCGACCATGCCGTTCGGACGCTAGTCTGGCCCGCGTTCGGTTGAAGTGGGCTGCATCTGGCCCGCAGCTGATTTGAGTTTGAGACCCCTGGTTTAGTGTGTGCCAAAGCACGACCTCAATTGGCCACTGTGCCCTTCACCCTGAACCCCAATAATGATCCAGATGGTTTTTTATGCATGTTGTCTTTCTTCCAGGGGCAGACAAGCAGCAACTGTACTTCTTTAAACTTACTTTTCCCAGCAGTGCATCCAGTTAATCCTCCGACGTTCACGTATTATCCAGGCAACTATACTTGTTTACATAGCAGTCAAGGATCAGAAGAAGTTGGAATCTTGACAGACTGTTCCACCATTTTTAACATTACAGCGGGAGAGCGGAATGTGACGACCAGCAGAGTTTTTGAACAAAACACTGCCCGTGCGGACGTGTGGTGGTATTGTGGCGACAGAATTCTTAGAGTCTATCTCCCTAAGAGTTGGACAGGTACCTGTGCTATGGTTCGTCTAATCATGCCCATGTCTATGATCCCATTACACAAACAAACTCACAATATTATGAAAATAAGAATCTCCCGCAACCAAGCACTAGACAGAAACCGCAGAGAAATGCTTGCAACTTCATTCGACAAGAACATCTACATTGACGCCATAGGTGTTCCGAGAGGGGTCCCCGACCAATACAAAGCCCGTAACCAAATAGCTGCAGGATTTGAATCTATATTCCTGTGGCCCACTATTAACAAGAATGTAGATTGGATTAATTACATCTATTACAACCAGCAACGATTCGTCAATTACACTAGAGATGCAATCGAAGGACTGTTAGAGCAATTGGATAAAACCTCACTAATGGCATGGCAAAATAGAATGGCTCTGGACATGCTGCTGGCTGAGAAGGGCAGAGTGTGTAAGATGTTTGGATCTATGTGCTGTACCTTTATTCCCAATAACACTGCCCCCGACGGATCTGTGACTAGAGCATTGGCAGGACTGAGTTCCCTAAGTGAAGAATTAACCGAGAACAGTGGCATTGACAACTCATTCACAGGTTTTCTGGACTCGTGGTTTGGTAAATACAAGCAATTGTTCATATCTGCACTCACCGCAATTATCATCATGGCCAGCATTCTCATCCTATGTGGATGCTGTTGTATCCCCTGTATCAGAACCCTCATGACAAGACTCATAGCCACCGCACTGTCACAGGAAAACCAATCCCGGATGATGCCGGTGGTAAGTATGGATCTCAGTGATACAGATGACTCCTTTGACAAGACTGACATTGATCCGACTGTCACTCCCCTCCCTATGTATTTTGTTCATTACGTGTGAATTGTTACACCAAGATTGGTGTAAAGGGATGGATTGTAGGTTATTAAAAACTCAATTCTCCTCCTTTTTAATTATGTAATCAATAAAGAAATGAGAACGATGTAATGTCAATGTATAACTGTAATTCTGAGACAATCAATTGAGTCAATAAGCTAAAATATCATTGTATTAAATGTAATGTGCATACAGGAAAATGTAATAAAACCATTTACATTGTCAGACACTAAAAAACCCAGGTTACACTGAACGCGACATTCAGTGTAATACCACATTGCACCACTTCAAATAACTAGTCAACATTGAACGCATCAGAAGACGTCATGTGCCCAGAGGCGTAGACACTGCCTACCGCACCAACTTTAACCCAATCATCATAGAAGAACTCTGTAAACCAATAGAATAGTTTTCACACCTTTCCGATTTTCTATATATGTACGTGTTTGTCCCTTCGTTCGGGGTTCGTGAGTGAAACCGGTAGACAGTTAACTACGTTGAAGTCAAAGGACTCTCTGTGGCCTGTGGACTGGAGAAGCTTACGAATCCTCGATCGAGGTGTTAACTTTTTGGCGCAACGCTTATTCTTTTATTAAACTCTTTAGATCTAACTTTTTCGATCTGCAGTATCTTTTGTTCGTCCGGAGTTTTCTTCATTTTTGAACACAACAATAGCAATGTCCAGGCTCATCTTATCTGGCAACTGAGTCAGCAGTTCCTGCTCATCTGGTAGGAGGACAGTGAAAGAACTGCACGGCTTAAAGGTCAGACGTATGACATGCATATGACTGTGCATGACAGTGTTTTCCTTACTCAGCATGCCTTGTGATTGCCAGGTGTAGTTGTACCAGGTTTTGACGCGGTTCTGCACGTCTCTGGGTATGCGATACGAGGACATATATTTGATCGTGTTGTCCATACATGTGCGGTAGTAGGTCTGACCTGCTGTAGCTGCACCCACCACGTCACGCATCTGAGAGACAAAAACACGCTTGCCTATTTAACTCTGTCCTTCCACAAAGACATTTATGAAGTATGAGTCTTTGCTGCCTGAAGGGTGTAATAAAGACACTGGAGCGTTTAAGGTTAAATATGTGGAAGGCGGAGGGCACTAATATCTCAATTACACTCGTATGCCTACCTGTCCAATCATGATAGGGCAAAGACTCCAACAAAGTAGTTGATGAGTTGGAAGATGATCTCAAACAGGGTGGTGGGGTCCGGCAGACCACCGATGGTGATCAGGGTCTTCATCGCAAAGTAGTAACAGCGAATGTAACTGAGCAGAGAAAGAGAGATTAGAAAGAGACAGAGAAGGAAAATGTTTAAAATGAACAGGATGGGTTTTCAAATGAATGACAAATTATAATACCGCCAACCTGTTGCCTTTGCCATTGTACACCCATATGGTGGAGCCTATTACTGTGAAGGCAAAGCTCCAGTAGTAGAGACAGGCATTACAGTGGAGACAGTAAAGGAGATAGGTGGTGGTGCAGATCACTCTGAGAGACAGAAAGCGAGAGAGCCAACACATACGCAACGGAACACCGGAAACCAGGGAATCTGTTCATCTGAGTCCTTCTAAATGAAGGCCGACAATGTGGGGATGCAGAGATAGAACCGCCAGTACAGTAAGGCTGCATTCACTGCTAATCAGGACAATTTAGGGTCGCTGCATCCGAGGGAATGTGAGCTAATCGTTCGTCTACCTGATGATAAAGTTGTTGATAAAAGCTGATTTATTTGGCGCAGTGATAATCAGCGCAAAGGCTGATTGGGTGTGAATACAGTCAGAGATATTATAAGATACCATCGGGTGGAAGCTGACCTGTAGATGTAGGCTTTGGTCAAGATGGCCTCTAAACGCTCATTGAACTCAAAGGAGGAGTTGATCTAAGGAGGCATTGATAGAGAAAAAAACATTTAAGGAGTTTGGCTTAAAAAATGGCAATCAAACATTTTAAACAGTCAAATGTGAGTAATTACAATTCTCAAAACGGATATATACAGTGAAATAACCCTTTCCTTTGTAAGAGGTGGAGGTTGGATTTATGTGGAAAGATTCTCAGAGTTTGCCAGAATGTGGGAACTGGAACACACTGGTTTGTTTAGAAAACACAATAAACCGTGTTAAATTTCACCTTGAGCAGCCTGGGCAAGCGAAGGAGAGGGTTGATGCCAGTTATAAAATAGAAGAGCTCCAGGGGAACAAGACTGGCAACATCAAACTAAAAAAAAGAGAAGGTACCACCTGGCTCACTGAATTGCGTTGATGATTGAGTCAACACATAATAGGAGAAGCAAAGGCGAATAGAGTCGGTTTATTCAGCTCTGGTAACTTACTTTGAATCGCCTGGTTGTCATGCAATTCTTTCTCATGTCTTTTTTCTCATACTGTAACAAAAACATAAGAACTGCAGATTTAATTATGATTCTTGTAAGAAGACAATTACATTATTTAACGAGAAAATGCATTTCCTGCTGAAAATGTGTTGGAATGCAAAATGCTGAAAGCTGAAATGAACTTCAGAAAATTGCTGAAATTACAGAAAGTTGAAGGGAATTTGAATACATTTGCTGAAATTACAGATATTAGAAAAGCTGAAATTAATTTGAAATTGCTGAAAATACATGCGTTGGAATGCAAAAAGCTGAAATGAATTTTTAAAAATAGCTGAAATTACAGAAAGTTGAAGGGAATTTGATTACATTTGCTGAAATTACAGATATTAGAAAAGCTAAAATTAATTTGAAATGGCTGAAAATACAGAAATGGGAGAAGCTGAAAGGAATTTCAATAGATTTGCTAAAAAAGCAGAAATGAAAACAACGGAAATAAATGTAAAATATTGCAAAAAAGAATACAGAAATTAATATTAAAACATTGCTGTTAATAGAGGCATAAGAAAAGCATAAATTATTTTAAAGAACTGCTGAAAATATAAGAAGTGGGGGGAGCTGAATTTCAATACATTTTCAAAAAACAGAAGTTGCAGGAGCTTAAATGAATTTTAAAAAGTACAGAAATAACAAAAGCTGAGATGAATAAAAAGAGGTTTAAAATAGTTTGTAGTAATATTAGTAGTAGTATTTGTTATAGTTGTAATTGTGGTATTAGTAGTACTAGCTGTAGAAGTAGGTTTAGTATCAATAGCAGTAGAAACAGCTGTAATACTAATACTATTAGCCATAGTAGTATTTGTAATAACATTAGTAGTAGTTGTAGTATTAATAGCAGTAGAAATACTAGTATTATGGTAGTAGACGTATCAGTTGTAGTACTAGTAATATTTGTAGTGGTTGTAGTAGTATTTGAAAGAGCAATACGTATTTCACCGAAACCGCCTCATTCTGAGCTTCATGGTTAAGGTACAGATAATCATTGAGGCTTTTATTTTGTAATAATGGAATTGGGTGAGGGGTGATTGGGGGGGGGGTCGAGCATCATTATCATATTGGTCTGTTGACAGAAAGCATAGCTGCGTCATGTGACTCCACTAATGAGGTAATAGGAGCAGCTGTGAGTCACAGACAGATACTGCAGCGTGTGTGCGAGTAACCACGGCAACGGCGCACCTATTGGGTGAGGTGGGGGGGTGTAGATAGAGGGAGGGAGGGTGAGAGGGTGAGGAAGGAAGGGGTGGTGAGGAAGAGATAGAGAGGGAGAGGGGAGGAGAAATAGACAGACAGACTGACGGAGTGAGTGATTAACAGTGAGAAGAGGTCAGGGTGAAGGGGGGGGGGGGGGGGGCGAGTGTTTTTAGCATATTAGTCTGTTGACAGAAAGCATAGCTGCGTCATGTGACTCCACTAATGAGGTCATAGGAGCAGCTGTGAGTCACAGACAGAGATACTGCAGCATGTGTGTGCGAGTAACCACGGCAACGGCGCACCTAGGCTCATTAACGAGCTGCTGCAAAGGGCAGACACAGGACAGCGAGTTACACAGAATCCACACCTCAAACAAATGACAACCAGCGCAAAACTATAACAGCTATCTAAAAAATACGACGTTTGTGCGAGACCCAAGACTCTACCGAACGCAGAGAGGTTTTTTTTTATGTCTATCCGGTAAAAAATACGGCTCCTGTCGCAGTTTACAAAACGTGTACCTTCTGGATTTTTTGAGAAATATGTCGGCAGATTTGTATTGGAGCCTATGGGGCTTTTAGCAGAGGTTGTGTGATTGTTGGTCTCCGTAGGCCAAAACTAAAGAACTCTGGGATTCTATGAACACATTAATCCAATCAGCACAACCATGCCCTCATTAATCTGAAGAAATGAAGCCTCAAGAGTGTATACTTTGGCTGCAAGGACAGAAGTTCCATATTTTTTTAACCAGATTCCTTGAGGTCCCCCTCTAGCAGACGCAATACACACGTAAATACACAAATACACATGTAAAAGTCAGAAACGGAGCAAAGAACTAGTGAAACATAATCAGTGATTATGAAAAAAGTACAATAGATATCAACAAGCAGTTTTTTTCATAAAATAGTTGAGACTTGTGTCAACATTTGAAAGTTTAAATGGTGTCTGTACCTGAAAGATTTTAAACATGTTAAAATATGAATGATTATTGATTTCTATAAATTCAAGCTTAAGAGGTGGAAAGCTGAAAAGTCATAGCCCGGAAGCCGGAAAGAAGCTGAACATTTTAATATTTGAATGGTTTTAATAGCTGAAAGTGTGAACGAGTTGAAAGGTGCCACGGAAGAAATAGAAGAATAATAATATGTTGAAATAAAGAATAGAAGAACAATACTTGGAATGCTCAATGCATTCCAACAATAAAGAATAGAAGAACAATACGTGGAATGCTTAATGCATTCCAACAATAATAAGTTGAATAAAGATTCGAAGAACAATACTTGAAATGCTTAATGCATTCCAACAATTATTGAAACACACATAACCTTGAGATTTTTCACTAACCATGACAATGTATAAATATCATGTACACTCGTAAATAAGTATGACGATAACAACAGAGATTATTTTGCTGTGAAACAGTGTTTCCTGTGATTCTGGCTGCGTGTGTCCCCACTGACCACTATGTCACCTCCGCGAACAAACTGTAGGCGCGGCTGGAAGACGGTGATGTCCAGGATGTAAATGAGGTCGCACAGGTAGTCGGTCAGCAGCCAGTAGTAAATGTTGTCTGGGGTTTGGTAGGGGAAAGAGCAGCGCACCGGGATGAACCACGCGTTCCAGTTCCACGCCAGAGAAACCAAAAGCATCCACAGCACGTACATTAGGTCTGAGGACGAAGCAAAAGATGAGATGGTGAAGGAGAAGTTGAAGGGAAAACAGACAGCAGGAGAATTGAGAGTGAGGAAAGACTGGAAACACTCACTATGCAAGCAGCGATTACCTTTAATTGCTGTTAATTACAGTAAGAGCGAGACAAAGAGCAGCACAAATAAGCTAAAGGAGCTAATCTGTAACCAAACGTTGCCTTATTTGGAAGTTGTCTTTGTCAAAAGGAGACAGAGTGGTGAAATGAAACTGACATTCACAAATGGTGAGGTGCCCTCATATCAAGAAGAGAGTGCAACTCATTCTCCTTTACCCAAAACCCATAATGTTTAATCATTTAACTCAGTTGTATTTTGGACCACCCCGTTCTACACTCCTCCTCCTCCTCCTCCTGTTCCTCCTGATGGACCTGCCTGTGCCTCCTTCTCTAGCCTTATTCTACTAACACATTGCATTAGCATTTCATTTTACTTTATTTTATTACTTGTGCACTGTTGTCTTGTCTGTCTACTGTCGCGCACTAACCGCCAAGACAAATTCCTTGTATGTTTGGCATATTTTGGTAAATAAATGTTTCCTGATCCTGATCCTGATCCTCTACACCGTCCAGTGGCTGAGCACCGGGAGCAGGCTGAGGAGGAGCTGGAGGGAGACAGGCGGGAGGGGAAGGATCAAAACGTTTTTTTTGAAAGATCCAAAGAAGAAGGTTTACCATCTCAAACCGGATCACAGTGCTTGAAATCCATTGAAGGGCCTAAATCGAATCATGTAATGTAAGTCCTCTAAAGGGCTTTTCAATGCCACAAATGAATTACAAACTGCATCATTTATGTTTATTTATGTGTGTGTAGATGGAAAAGAAAGAGAAGCACAAAGATTCTAACTCACAGGGGATGATGCTGTCTTCGTCTGAGCTGTCGGGGTCAATGAGTTTCTCCTTCACCTTCTCTGTTCTCTCCTTAAACATGCGGACCAGCTCCTGAAGGCGGTCGTTGACCACCGCACTGGTCTGACTGGCTGCAGACAAATTAAGTTAAATGATCATTTGTAAGATCACGAAATGTCCATATTGCCTCACATCAGCACTATTTAGTATGTGTGTGTGTGTGTGTGTGTGTGTGTGTGTGTGTGTGTGTGTGTGTGTGTGTGTGTGTGTGTGCACAGCGCTCACATTTCATCTGACCTGTAATCTGAATAGGGCAGGCTGGACTGGCTGGGCCAGGCTCTGACAGGCATTCTTCCATCATCATCATCATCATCATCTTCACTTTGAGAGTGAAGGGTCCTACTGATTTAGTCAAGTGGAGACAGCGACATCGTTGGGACGAGACGGGGACAAAGTGAAACCCACTGCGATGTGGCTTCACTGCTCATTCTCTGAAGCCGCACGCGTGCATTTTAACACACAGAATCTAATTATTTACAAACACTACAAGCTAAATATTCTGTACTGATGATTGTGAGGTAAATGGAACAATGCGAACTTAAAAGGATTAGTAAACAAGTGAATGAGCAAACCTTGATTAATGAGAGACTATGGAGTTCATACCACTGTACATCTATGGCAGGGCAGCATGAGATGGATGGAAACTACAGCGGTCAACACAATACAGTACAAGTGGGATATCTTTGTCCAGATAGTCCTACCATTCCTTCCACTACTGTCGGGGATGGTCGGAGCGGCGATGAAAGTCACCAAGTGTTCAGGAAAAGGGGATCAGGAGAGACAGAGAGAGAGAGAGAGGGATTGTGTGCCGAGTGTGTGCCAACGGAAGGCATGATATTAGTCCAAGAAACAGATGACAAGTGAAGATAATACATTACAATATTCCACAGGCATGGATGGATTATGAGTGGGGGGGGCGCGGGCACCAGCATATAAGAGGCCGCCCGCCCTGTCTGCATAGAAACAACACATACAATCTACTGCTGAGAGTTGACTTTCACTCTTTTCACTCCACACTTCATTTGAGTAATTCTGCATATCTGGGATTGATTTGCATCTCTCTGATTGTTTTGCAGGTTTTTGGGGCGTTTTTACATTGTGTGTGGTGTTTTACACTCTTTTTTCAGTTAGGGCCCCTCCCTTCGGGTCCCTACTTGGTAAACCCATTCAGTAATCCATCCATGTGGACAGGCAGGTGACAGAGTGGTTGATACAAGTGGAAGATTATGATGCATCCATTTATTGACTTTCTTCTGACAACATGCTTACACCAATCAAATGAACAAAAAACGGTTAAAATCACACAAACATGAACAGAACAGAACATCACAACACAATACAACACAAACAATGACGCTCCACAACAATACTGATGACTGTGTGTGTTCTGCATAAACACAACAGTGTGTGCTGGTTTGCTTTATTTATGTGAATCCGACAGTTCACACTGTTTTTCTTTAAGTCCAAACAGATTTCCCAACCTTAGAAAGGCATTTCCAATAATCCTAAAGAACACACCAGGTTTCTGCACGACACTGAAATCCAGACTGTGCAGCAGAGGGCAGTAGATATAAACAGCACTAAGCAGAGGCAAAACATGAAGAATCTAAACTCAAAATGATACCTTTAATGATTCCACAATACCATAAACCATAGGTCTTCAACAGGGGGTCCGCGATCCCCAGGGGGTCCGCGGAGGTACTGCAGGGGGATCACGAAATGTTATTTGATAAGACAATTTTTTTATATTTCTTACAAAAAAATTTTTAACACATTTTTTCCCCACAAATTTAAATGTCTTCAGAATCAGAATTGTATTTATTGTCTTTAAATCCACATTAAGATAAATTCAACATATTGCGCGAAGCTCAAAAATAAAAGATGGCGGACCAAACTCCGTAGATGGTCTTATTTGTACCTAAAAGTTGTTTGTTTGACTTTTTTTTGCTTAGATTTTTTTTTTAATTTCCGAGAAATAGACAGTGTACAATGTAAAAAAACCTTTATTGTAACTGAAAAATAAGTCTAAGAGGATTTGCGAGGTGTATGAGCCACCCACCTAATGTTAGCATGCTACTACCTACAAGCTTAACAACTTGCTAGCGGCGTGATTAAATTGTTGACCTGTCAATCTCACTAGAACGTCTCTGTTATCAACACAACACCATGCGCCAAACTCCTCCTCCGTCATTCGTTGGATCGTGTCAGTCAGCCATTATTGAAAAGAAGATACCTTTGTAAAGACAGAAAATGGATCGTTTTGTAATTCTGCAAAAAAACTCCACTAGCGAGAGAGAGATACCATCCACCTCAGAAACCACAGGTGAAGGGGCGGCACCTGCTGCTGATGTAGCAACTAATAAGGGTAAGCGCAAACGAGAGAAGACCCAAAAATATACAGAAAATCATCTGAAATTCGGATTTACCTTCAAGGAGACAGATGGCATTGAATTACCAAAGTGTGTCATTTGCTCTACTGTGCTGTCAAATGAATCCATGAAGCCATCTAAGCTGCAGCGTCACTTGGAGGCAAACCACTGCCACTTAAAAGACAAACCTTTAGAATACTTCAAAGAGAGTATCAAATCCCTCCAAGGTCAACAAACATTGATGAGAAAATCAGCCAAAGTTGGTGAGCTAGCCTTGAAATGCTCGTATCAAGTTGCTCTTCGGATTGCCCAGAAGAAACAGCCATACACACTTGGAGAGGATCTAATATTGCCTTCAGCCACTGACATGTGTAAAACATTGTGTGGGAATGATATTGACATTAATAAACTGAAATGTATTACACTGTCGGACACAACCATTGCTCGCCGTATTGACGAGATGGCCTTTGATGTGAGGGAGCAACTGATAGAGAAGCTGAGCTTGATGAGGCAGATGCATTTACAATTAGATGAGTCAACAGATGTTGCAAAGGACGCCCAGCTTCTGGCGTTTGTGCGCTTTGTCGATGGAGAGGAAATGCAGGAGGAATTTTTGTTTTGTAAGCGCTGTAGGATATTAAAAACAAATTGAGACCCGGTTCATAAAATTAATATAATGCATATATTGTACACCAGAATACAGCCATGATTCTGAAACTGTGTAATCAATAAAGTAATGACAATATTGTAAAACCACTGTAATTCTGCAACTGCAATAGAATAATACCAATGTACAGTTATGATTGTATTTAATGTAATGTAATCAACTGGAATGCATGCATGTAATACTGAACAATGAACAACAACTGATATTGACTATGGGCCATTCGAAATCCGAGTTACAATGAACTCACCAGAAGACCCCTCCCAGAGGTGTGGACACTAACTTTCACACCTTTAAGCATTGTTATAAATACATGTAGGAACCATTGTTCTCGAGTTCGCTGGTGGAGACGACAGACGGGCACTAGGGATGGTCAAAAGGACTGACCTGGGACCTGTTGGTTGCTGAGACCAGCGGCTCCTCAGCTGAGATGTTCTTTTTACCACAACACCATCTCTTTTATTAAATACATTTGATTTAACCTTTTGATCAGCGATGACCTCTGTCCGTCTGGCGTTTCTTCATTTTCGAATACAACAGCGCCTTCCTGAACGCACAACTAGTTCGAAAATCTTCAGAGTGATCGATGTGTTTTTTAGGGAAAACAACATTCCATGGGAAAAATGTATGCGCTGTGCACCGACGGTGCAAGGGCCATGGCTGGTATAAAAAGTGGACTAATCTTGCTTGTAAGGGATGTGGCTCCGCACGTGATTTGGACGCACTGCATGTTACACAGGGAGGCACTTGTTGCCAGAGACATGAGTGCAGAATTGTCAGATGTCATGGACTCAGTCGTGAAAGTTGTAAATATAGTCAAGAAGAGTGCTTTGCAAACGCGTCTCTTCTCTAATCTCTGTGCTGCTGAGGGAGAAGAACACACTGGGCTACTGTACCATTCTGAGGTGCGATGGCATTCACGTGGAACAGTGTTGGAATTACGCAAATCTATTGAGAGTTTTTATTTCTCCAAAAGCGCGCAGAGCTGGCTGCACTTTTCAGTGACAATGTCTGGGTCACCAAACTTTCATATCTTGCTGACATTTTCGCTGAGTTGAACAAACTAAACAGTTCCATGCAAGGTCGCAATACACATGCCAATCAGCTGTATGACAGAATGGAAGAAATCTTCTGAAAAAAAATCAGAAGATTGAGGGAACGCGTCGGGGTGGGAATATTTTCCATGTTTCTGTCAGTGGATGAGCTGGGGGATTCTGCTGTGCTCTCGCCTCCCGTAACACGCGCAATTGTTGCGCACTTCGAGGCGCTTGAAGGACAATTTGGGAACTACTTTTCTGAGGCTGACTCCTGGCGCTGGGACAAGGCATGGATACAGTTTCCATTCAGAGACAACGCAGCAGACGGCACACGGCTGACAGTGACAGAGGAGGATCAGCTGATCGAATGGATCTCTTGCCAGAAAGACTTTCCACAATTGGCATCAAAAGCAATGATGAGCCTTTTGCCCTTTGCAACAACTTATCTTTCCGAAAGTGGATTTTCCTTACTCACCTACCTGAAAAACAAATACAGGTCAAGGCTGCAGCCTGAGGCTGATATGACCCTCTGCCTGACAACGTCCATCCGTCCGAGGTTAGTTAAGTTGTGCGCTACACATCAGGGTCAGACAGCTCACTAATGTGGAAGTATGTGTGCCATCTACAGATGCTTGAGGATTCACTGTCGCTTCTTTATGTATGTTAAACTAAAAACAAATATGTGAAATATTTTAATAAGTTGTTATTAATATTTAGCTCAGAGTTGTATGCAAGATGTATGTTTTTAAATGGCAGTGGCACGGCCACACTATACCTTTCATGTTGTTAAATGTTAAATTCAATGTTAAAAAATAAAAATCTTAATGAATATATTAACCTGTGTCTTATTTGAATAGCTTAGTATTGAATGCACAATAACAGGGTAGCTATGTTTATATGGCACTAGGCCCAGTATATAATAAACACAATTTTATGTAATTTATATAGTAGGGGGTCCCTTCTCTATCATCAGTTTGGGGGGCCTTGGCCTGAAAAACGTTGAAGACCCCTGCCATAAACGATAGACACAATTCTTTGTCACTAGAATCATTTACATTTCAAAAGGAATGTTTGATTTCAATGACATTCTTGCGTTATGCCACCGATACCAATATTCTATAAAATCTCATTTTGGTTGAAAACTCTCCCCTTTGCCCACAGAGAAGATTGCACCTTGACATACTTCAAATAACATGCTTATGTGTGGTTTTACTGGAGAAAAACAATAATGACTGTTGAAAGAAGATTACACGCACTACAACTCAACCGATCTATGCAGTTTTCTTACTCTTTATCTGGGAGGGGAGAGGAAAAGATTGAAAGTGGTGTAATGCACAGCCTAAATGAACTGTTGATGCCTAAACTCAGCCCCTGAATGTATTTACAGCATGATCCCCGGCTAGTGTTCACTAAATAAACAGTGTAAACCTCTCGGTAAAACAGAAGAAGTATTTCATACCTTTGACAACCTCCGGACGGGGTCACAGGGACGGTGAGGGTTGTAAGTTTGGGGTCCTGAGGGGGGAGGCTTTTGGGGACGATGCTCTGTTCCTCCCCAGCTGCCCCTCCTTCCCCTCCTTTCTCATGTTCCGAGTCAACATCCTCTACGTTGACAGCTGGACGAAGGCTGAGGCTAGAGCTCTCTGGCGAGGAAAAACATTTTGTGGATGAATATATCATATACTATACTATACTGTTGCAAAGTAAGCGTGTGTTGCATTTAGGACAAACAGGACCGTTAAACAGCACTGCCAGCAGCAAAGCACGTCACAGACAACAAGCAGAGGGGGGCAGGATAGTGTGAGAGGGCCTACATCGGGCTAATGCCAGAGGATCCACCTGTGAACTAGGCCACGTATAAAAGTCTCCTCAGAGCCGAGAGGACGAACTTACTCTTGCGGCGAGGAAGTGAGTCCAGCTAATCAGGCTTATGGTGCACTGGCACAGTTCTGTCGTCTTCGTGTGGCAACACCGCCAACAGCCAGTAAGCTGCCTCGTCTGGTTTTTACCCTTTGTCACAGACTTTAACAAAACAATGGAAGAGTTTTAGGGACGTTGCGTGTTTCCCACCCTGCCTCAGCTTATTTGAGGGCCGACTGAACCCTCAAATAAGCAACACATAAACAACAACATCCAAAAGTCACAACCACAACACTAAACAGCTAGAGTGTGCTCATGATCAGAAACACTCTCACAGTAAATTTGCAATGACATCTGAACTCAGTTGATCCTTTCCTTTGTTACGGTTTGAGGGCAATCAGCTGTACTTTTCATTTTAGAGCTATTTTACCCGGATGCCACATATATCACTGGTTATGGCTGAGTTCAGGTATCCGCAAAGAATACCACAAATGAACACAATGAGCTTCACACTCCTGCGGAATCACCTGTGGCTCCTATCGCTGAAACGTCTGTGTCGTCTTCAATGAAGAATGCCGGGTTTGAGAGACCCGCCAGCTGGTGGGGCGGCGAGAGGAGCTGCTTTGAGGGGGGGCTGACAATGGGCGGCAGGCGTGGGTAGGACGGGACATTGGGCAGTTCGAGGGCGCTACCATTCTGGGAAGACGGAGACGGGGAGCGGGTCCGGAGCTGCGGATGGTATGGGTGAGGCAGGGGGGAGTGTCGGGCAAGCTGGTTCAGCTCAATGTAAGGTGTGTGTGTATATATATATATATATATATATATATATATATATATATATATATATATATATATATATATATATATATATATATATATATATATATATATATATATATCCGTGGGAGGTCCCTGTCCACGTTTTGACGTAAGGGACGTAACAAGCCTCCTGTTTACTCGTCATCCAGCTGATCAAGCTAGCGTTAGCTCGCTAATAACAGCAGTAAAGCAGTTAGCAAGACTAAGACACGTTTTTATTTACTCACCTCTTTTGGACCATTCATTTTTCAATGTGTTGTCTGATATTTTGTGCTTTGTCCCATATTGGTTATTGTTGACAAATGTATTTGTGTGTGTTGTACTTTAATGCTGTCATATATGGTTGCTTAATATTTTTCTTTTTAACTTTTTTTTAAATATTTAAAATGTTTAACTTTATTCCTTGTTTTATACTAACCCATAGCCTTATTCTACTAACCCATTGCATTTAGCATTTCATTTTACTTTATTTTATTACTTGTGCACTGTTGTCTTGTCTGTCTACTGGCACATGGCACTAACCGCCATGACAAATTCCTTGTATGTTTAGCATATTTTGGCAAATAAATGTTTCCTGATCCTGATTTCCTCCTGGTAGTCCAGTGCGCTTGCGCATACACTGTGGGTTATACGGTAGTTGATGTTATGCCTGTAAAGGGAGACACATGGTGATCCATTAAATCAACTAAGAAGCTTCTAATGCATTTATTTAATTGAATTTTAAATTCATCTCATAGCACTTGGTTGTTTTTTAGCTGTGTGCATTTACTTAACTTGCACTACAATGATGGTAATAATTTATTGAATATGCTTCAAGTGAACATGACGGTGTGTTTGTGAGTGTAGTATAGAGAACTAGTTCTGACAAATTTGAGGTTCTGTTTTAGAATAAAGGGTTGGAAATTAAAGCTTTTTAATGCCGTTTTTTTTTTTATCCGATTCATCGATTAATCAATGAAATAATCGATGAATTTCGTTAGTTGCAGCCATAATTTATACATAAAATATACACACACACACACACACATAGAACATGCTGGGGTGTCAGTAGTCTAGACATCCTAGGTTTGAGGAGTCGGCTGCGGGTCCCTCTCTGTTGTGCGGCGCCTTTTTCCACCTTCGCGGTCAGATGCTCCTTTCAGGTAACGCATTACATTAACCTGGACCGCCTCATCAGTGGCATCCTGGGTTGCCGGATTCTTCCGTATGGCCCCTGTAGAAAATACAGATCTGTCATTCCATTTGAATACACATGACATACACATCTACTTAAGAGAATATCTAACTTACTTTGAACAATGTTCTTCAGGAACAGGTCTTTAAAACAAGCTTTAGCCCCTACACCAGTCCAAGTTGTAGAAATTGAAAGGCTCATTATATAACAACTATATTATGAGATATAGGTCAAGAATATACCTTCGGTGTTGGAAACTTGCTGTACACGTGATTTCCAGGGAGTCCAAGGGCCCATTACTGAGTGTTGACTTTCTCCTATTGATAAATTGACAACAAGTTATTGCATATATTTACTGAATTGGACAACACACCTAGACACCTTCCATCCAGGGCAGTCAAGTGCCCTAATGAAGAACAGATTATGCATAAAAGGATTCCTAATCTTAAATAGAAGCAATAGTCTTAGACAAACAACGTCACTTACTTGTACTCAAACTCTTGGCTCTTAGAAGTGGACAAGAAACATTGTGCTGAAAAATAGGAAAATGTGAAAATCTAACAAATGGTATAGTTTAGTGGCAGGATCACAAATTAAGCACCCCACCAAACATTTTACATACCAGCTCTGAAGTCTACAGATGGCTCAACGTTTTCCTGGTTTTCTAGCCCGAATGAAACTTCTGGAGTATCGGGCAGCACGGAAAACTTGTTACCGGGAACACTTTTTTCAAAACTCAGCACAGCTAGTGCATCCGGAAGAGTAGACTCCTCTTCGTCAGAAGAGGCCTGGGGTCGGTGCTTGGAATTTAAGATTCTCTTTCGCTTTCTCTTCTTGTTGTCGTCTGTTGTTTTTTCAACGCTGGAACCTGTTTGGAAGCGCTCCAAATATCTTTTCGCCTCTTGCCAAGATTCTAGATCAGGGAACAATAACTGAGAGTCAGTTATGCGCCATAAACAAAGAAATGACAGGAAAAAAAATGCACAAGTCTCATTTACCTGCTCCCTTCATGAACTTAAAATTATGTTTTTCCCAGGTGCTGTGTGGAGGCGTGCAACGGATGGCTAAATTGTTGCCTTTGTCTTACTTGCGGAGGGTAAATGGGGGCCAATAGCATATGGCCCCGCTGAGCCACAGATTGGGAACCACTGCAAATGGCAGATCCTCCTCGTCGATAAACTGAACAATGGCAAACAGCATCTAAAATACAAGAAAGAATTGCACAATACACATTTTTAGGCAAAATTCTCACCCCTTCAAAGCAATCTGTAATTTTCACGAGTGAATCAACGGAAAACCAGCCTTTCCTTCCGGGCAAGGAAGAAGATAATATTTCTTCTGCACATTTGCTGTGTGCGTAAAGTGGAGTGTATCTGATAGGCCAGATAAATGAAAAATGCCTAGTGTGGAAGATTCCACAGGGTAAGTAAAGAAATCGACCATGTTCCGGAACCTCTTGTAGATGACCAAAGTGTTGTCCATTTCATCAACAACGACATTCTGTATGAGTACTATGCCCTTATTTTCCAACAGGACACAATTGTCTCCCTCCAAACATTTCACAACAAAGTCTTGAAAGTAACACTCCGCATACTGCTTTTTCACAGGAAGACCAGTGCGGAGTGGTCCATCGATGTGCTCTCTCAAGGATCTTGTTTTGGAGAAGTTTGTTCTTTTGAGACTTCTCTCTGACAATCGGCGAACAACTTGCTCCAGTGGTTCTGTAGGCTTGCGCAACAGTTTCTTCAGGCGCCCAAGGAAGTTTTCTAATGGGAAGCATGAGATGTTATCAAGGACACCATACTTTTTGGCATCTTGGCTGAGGTGCACTAATCCATGCATGTTGTATGTCACTTGTTCTTTTCCATAAAGCTTGCTGCAGTGATCAACAAAGAGAACCAAAATTCTGTGTGCATAGTCTGCAAGGTCAGCACACAGGGACACATTCAGTAGGATGGTAATGCCAACTGAAAGCAGCATGAAGTTGTTGTACACTTGAGTTGGTACAAGGACTTTTAAGCTGACTAGTCCAGTGTACAAGAGGAACTGCCTGAATTCTGTAGCTTTCCAACGCTCAACATCTTCCATGGATCGTTGCTTCCTGTTGAACTCGCACGGAACATGGGGTGTAAAGGTCAAGAGTACTCTGGAGAGCTCTTTTGCCATGCTGGGCGAAAATCTTGTCAGCCGCCGTCCCTTTAGCCAAAGGTGTAACAGCTTTCTTGTCACTCCAAGGCATACCAGATGCATATAATTCAATGGGAACTGCGTGACCAAACCAACAGACAACAATGACAATGGCGTTTCTCCACACTGATGACTGTCATCAGAAAGTTCATCACGGAGTGCATCGTCTACTCTTAGAGTAGCATCTGTTTGAGGAAAAGTCATCCTGTTCTCGTAGTGGACCCCCTTTTGAACACTTGTCACACCCATAATATCGACTGAGACCTTTCACATTTCTAACAAGCGCACGAGCAGGGGCGTCACAGAGGAATGTTGATATTTTGAAAGAAAGTGCTCTCCCTTCAAACAGAACTCCTTCCGCTTCAAGCCGCTGTGCCTCTTCTACAAAAGGATTCAAAAACTGAAGGCTGGTTGGCTTCTTCTTTCGATAATAGAGACCAATGACAAACGGAAGTTTGTTTTGCTGGACATTACCCACGTATTGCTCAATTAAATTGTCCTCTAACATGAAATGTACAGCAGTTAACAGAATTACAAATCTGTTTGTTAGAAAACACCAAAAGTTAACCGGTGGGTGTGGGCTGGTGAGGTCGTTTTTGTGTGCAGATAAACAGACGGCAGCACTTTGAAACTTGGCAAAACAACTATATTTAGGGTTTGACTTCATATTACATTTGAACTTTTTTTCCTTCATAATAACTACAATGGCATTAGCCCGGCGCCCCCCCGTGCTCGGAATTAACTGTGTATCTACAATTTACACTACTGATTAAAACTGATTAAAATTTTTATTAAATGCTGAGGTGATTACTACCAGACAGCATATTTATGAGTAAACTGAAAAGAATATAAACATATTATTGCGTTAAACACAAAGGAAAAATGTACTTACCTAAACGATGGGAGTCGACGTCGATGACTTCAGACTCCAGGCTGTAGCAACTTCGAGTAGAACCAAGTAGGAGACACGCCACTTCAACACGTGTTTTTAAGAAAAATACGTAACGGTAAAGATGGCGACTGTATGCACATGTCCCGCCCCTTCCGCTGGAAAGCCAATCATCTACTTCATGTCCCGCCCCTCCCGCGGGAAAGCCAATCATCTGCTTCATGTCCCGCCCCTCCCGCGGGAAAGCCAATCATCTGCTTCTCAACAAGCCGGGAAAAATGTAGGCCTATGGACAAGTTTATGAGTCGTTTCCGCTCTACATCCTAAACTCCGCCCATTTATGCAATCCACTTCCGTTCTGGCGGGCTGGGTTGTTTTGCTAGCTAGCTGTTCCACTGACAGTCGCGCACATACCCAAACCCTTGCGCATGCGTAGTAACAGTATAACCTGTGGGGGGAAAAGGCAAACCTTGTTTTGGGGAAAAGTCACCACCGTCTTAGCCCCGCCCGAAAGACTTCTGAACACAAAAAACACTGCAGTTCCTTCTATGCGTCGTATCAATAACATTTATAATGTGCTTGGATTTTATTTCTTTTTTTCAGGGACTTTTAAAATGTCTCAAACATTTCAACAGGTTGCTAATTAATACCTAACTGATAAAGGCAAAATAAATAAAACATTGAGGTTTGAAAAAAATAAAGACAACATTGACATCTTTTTTTAAATACTTTTTCAAACAGGATGAGGAAATGATAAACATGATTCAACTGCCAATTAAAGAGAGAAGACAACCGAGCAAGCTGTTCACCCTCCCTCTATATTCTCTGTGCTACGCTAAGCTACCTTTGTCGTCTCCCCGCCAGCGGGACGCACCTATAGCCGACAGCTTAGCGCCGGCGGGAAATAGAAGCCGTGCCGATGTTTTTTGCTATCTGGGGTACTACAACGCGGCCTGACTTGGTTACAAATAGCCCGTGACGCTTATTGCATCACAAAGTTAGTGTAAAACAACAACGTTATTTATTGAATTACCTATGTTAGCCTAAAACATAAACACAACGTCATCGCGAGGTATACTCACTTTCTCTGTCAGTATTCACGCGCGTTTATCGTTAGCAGCTGAGACACAAAATGTCCACGAGCGTTGAGACGCAATAAGCGGCACAAACTCGGCTGTGAGGTCGTTAAAACCATACCGGGAGATTTCGGAACATTTTAGAAAAACAACATCGTAGACAAATGTCCCAATACATTTCCGACCATCGTTTTCTCTGCGTGCGTCTCCAGAAGTGAAACAGCAGCAGCAGGTGCACGCTGTTACCGGGGTAACCGTTTCGTTTCCAAGGGAAGCTGCCGTTGCTATGACACGGCAGTGCGATGCCGAGGCAGAGCGCGGCAAAGATCACATAACGAGAACCCACAGGATTTGGGCGCTGTCAGGCAAATGACTGCTGGATCGGACTGGGACCAGGATCCATGCGGTAGCCTGAGACAGCAGGTCTACCTGCACGCCTTAGTGGCCCGCTTCAGGATCATGTCATGCAGCTGCTTGTACTCATGCTTGCACCAACTTCACTCATCTTAATTCATCTGATAGTCTGAGCTATACACATTTAAACAAAAGATGCATTGTTATTGTTTGAACTACCCAACAGTACTTTTGGGGAACCCAGTCATTTAAATCAGCTCTACCGCTAGTTGTCAATCAAACAACAAGGGAGTTGATTATTTTACCTAAATATAGGATCTGAATACTTCATCCAACACTGAGTCACTTGCTAAACTTTCATCATCTGCTCAACAAGTTACTCGAGACAGTGATGTTTCCTCTTCAAGTCATCAGGATAGTTTTTAAGTTTAGAACTTTGTTAATATATAATTACAATGATATAAAAACTATTTCAAGGCACAAAAGCACTATTACAAGGGAAAGACAAAGTAAGTCAAGGGTCCTACAAAGGATTTTAAGGCTGCATATAAGTATTCTTACTCTGTGAATTGGTCAACTTCGCTCTCCTCTTCTTGTTCCACTGGCAGCCTGGTCACAGTGAACACGTAGCGCCACGTTACTACACGGGGCGACTCGGCAAAATACAGAAATGCTGAAACAAACTTTCTCTTTCTCTCTGTCTAATTTGAACAGTTGAAAAGTTCTCACTCGACTTCAGGCTCCTCTTGCAGCAGTCCTTTACTCCCCAGTGATAAATTAATGGAGTGCCCCTCACTGGTCCTCTGTCTGATGGCCGTCTCAGCCGTCTCTCTGGCCACCTCCTCAGCAATCCGTGCCACGTCCACGCGCTCCTGTAGCAGACTGTGTTATAAATGTAAAATGGTAAATGAAAAAAGGGAATGGGAAAATTGTCTTCTCTCATATTGCAGTGACTTCCGGTCACACAGCAAAAACTCAAAATTCACAAAGGTTCATCGCCATATTGTGTATATTTATGTTTATATATGGGCAGGAAGACTATAAGACCATAAAGCAAAGCAATCCACTAAAAAGTAGCGTGTCAATACTACGTTTTATTTTGGCCTATTCATTTACGTTGCCTTGCAACTACGTCACTAGAAACTAATAAAAGGTATTCTACATTCTCTGATAGAAGATTATGAAAATATAACACATACTTCTCGCTAGAAATGCCATCCAAATGCATGCAAATGCTGATGCTTTCATAAAACATTATGTTTTTCACAGATAATAGACCGACAGTCCGCCATTTTCTTTTTTTAGCTGAGGGGAAGTTGATTGTCACGTGAACTAGTTGCAACTAAAAAAACTAAAAATAGCTACGTTGCTTTGCGAGAATACCACGTTCCACAACGTAGCTATTACACGTTTTGCTGTGAGACTGGGTTGTTAATTGTTTCTGTTTTGCAGAAGACTTGAGCAGTGGTCTCCTCATTCCTCTGAGTTCACCAGGGTGAACATCATTAATAACGCACGCTCTGAGCTCCTAAACGATGGTTGTTGGATATTGACATTTTTGAAGGTTTGCAAGATGTTTTGCAGAAAGGCTGCATGTCAGCTAAACTGGAAATACTGGTATTATTGACTTGACAGGGTGCAGCACTGTGACCACCCGGTAAGGGATTAATACTTTTAATACTAATACTCCCTCGTCCTCCACCCGTCTTACCGTTCCTCCATGTTAGCAAAAGCAGCACCTTCGGCCTTCTTCTTGATGTTTTCGATGAAGGGCGTCCAGCGGCCCCTCTGGGTCTCGGCGTCTTCTTGAGACCTTCCCACACTGTCTGGGGATTCTGGCTGCGGGTCGGCCTGTGCCGGCTGTGTCACTTCCCGAGTCAGCGCTGCAGCTCTGGACTGATCTTGGAGTTTATGCTCGTCCTCGTTGTCCGAGTCCACGTCTTCGAGGACCAGGTCAAGTCTGAGTTTGGATGAAGCTGCAAGAGGGTGACGAGCACCGGCGTGTGAGGAAGAGGGGACGTGCGGGTGACATTGTAGATGTCATAGATGGATTCGGTTTTTGTTTGGATTTGTGGAAAGAAATGGGCGCACAGTACAATGCTGGATTTGAGATTTAGATTTATACATCTGCTGAATATACCAAAACGGATTGCAAGCAGGACTGTTTATAACACAGATGCATTAAGCTGCATTCACATTTCAAAATGCTCACTTGGGAGGGAGTTTAGTTCATGCTGTTTTTTTTTTGAAAGGCAGAAACTAGATATTTTCTTATTGAATTCAACTTGATATGTAGAATATTCATGAGGCAATGGAAGGTGTTATTGATAAGGCAACCACATGATATGATTGAACATTGCATCTTTATTAGTCCTGTAGTATCCTAACATTACAGTGTCTAATTACACAAATTTGTTGACTGTCTTGTCTTGAAGACGGTCAACAAATTTCAATGTGTGCAAATGTGGTTCATTTAAATGAAGTCAAACCTTTTGAAACAACAACTCAACAAGTCCCCAGGCCACATTTCACAGTTCAAAAAGTTCAACATGAAAACCAATCAATTAGGCTTATTTGTATGTCTGTGTCTGGTTGTTCAATACAAACTGCTACATGATTAAGAACCAAACTAGAGCACAATGATCAGCACTGTTAATGAGCAGGAATTACATTTAAAAAAATTAATATAATTTCAAGTAATTGTCAAATATAAATTTTGATATAGTTTGTACTTTGTCAAAAAATAACACAATGATAAATGAACATAGCTGCCATTTTATTAGTAAATCCAGATTTCTGTTAATGGAATGTGGAACATTGGACGTCTCATAATTATTCTTGTATCTAAATTAATAACCAGTAAATTATATTTTTTATCTCCTGTTGCTGTGTCATGTAAGAGACAGAGAGACATATGAAAATGGCAACATGAATTTAAAGTCTACATTGCCACAGCTTAAAGCACAATAAGGTCACATAAAATGTTCTTTCTGCAATCTTTTGCGAATGAAACCTGCGGTAGTTTCAATTAAATGGCAAATGTGCAAAATTCCAATCACAAAGACAAAACCTCATCTAATTTTTCTACATAAAAGTATACGTTTTACATTAATGCACGCATTTCAGTTATCATACATTCATTTGAAACTGTACAAGTACAGTAAGGTGAGTTGAATATATCTCAATATTCTTTTGTTATTTTACAGCTGCCTATCTCTGCAGAGCTGCAGGCGTCACAGCACCTGCACCTCTCACAGCAGTGCAATATCAATATTAATATATATCTGTGTGGGAATCAGAGCGTCCCCCAGTCGTCTCCTCCTGCTGTTTAAGGGGCTCGCAGCGCCTTCCCCCCTGAAACAGAAGGAGAAGAGGGACTGAGTAAGGCTCCGACCAAAACACCTCTTCAAAAACTATGGGGGGAAAAGCTGCAGGGTGCTTCAACGCGGCAAAAGGTCCCAAATATTACACAGATCCACAGGAGACAAAAAAACCCACTCCATGTTATTGAGGAGATGTTTTTTTTTAATTGCAGCGCTGCTCTGCAGACACTTAAACACATCGTCCAGACAACAGTATGTGAGATCTACCTGATTGAACTGTGAATTGTGGAATTTGGGAGCAGTGATACTGACAATACTATTGCAATCATAGTTTTATTTTGCAGACTACGGGAAAGAATTATTGAGTGAATAGACGTACCTTTCTGTAGAACTTCAGTCGCACTCTAGGGGTAAAAAAGTGAAAGAAATATAATGTATAAGTGGAGTTGTTTTTAATATGGTGGCAGCACAACTCACAAAAGATCGGTGAAAGGTTGAAGGGTTTGAAAGACAAGAAGAGGAGAAGGAAAATAGAGGAAAAGTTATTTATTCCCCAAAAGTTACCTCAGCATTATCTCTGGATGGAAGTGCAGGCTGAGGCATCTTCAGGCCGAGTCCTGACACGAACCAGCCAACCACACTGTCAAGAGACCAACGACTTTACGGCATGTACTTTTACACACTTACACACAAACCGTTACTTTTAGCATTTTCCAACATCACAGTGTTTAATCTCAATGTATTTTTCCAGAAAAACACTAGTAGAGCCAGTCGACATCTCAGCCGTCCATGTGCCGTCGTTGTAAGATGGATGGATGGATGACGTGTTAATCCAATTAAAGCCTTCAGCGTCCAAAGCTTCCTTTGCTGGCTGAGCTCTACAAGCTAATTAACCATTTTCATTTCTCCTTGCGAGCGTTATTTTATCTTGCATGTTGTCTTGGGTGAAGTCTGATAAAATAGGACAGTGATGGATAAAACCTACGCTGAGGCCTTGCTGTCAGTATCCAGTGAGATTCCACTGAGGGACTCGGGTGGTGGAGACAAAACTGGAAAGAGGGGAAGGACACACATTTCAGTGCACAAAGCAATAATCCTTCCAGTTAAATCAGAATAATACAGTGAAGTGCATCACGGTGTGTTTAAGTAATGTGTTGTATGACCCACATTGCCACAGAGTGTATGTACTTTTGTCCAGTGAGGAATGGGATGCCCTGCTTGATGGCTCAATGGGTACGGCACCAGGGGACAGTAAAATTGGTTGAGGGACCATCCGATTTATCCACGTCACCACGCTGTCGCAGAAAAAAAAAAAAAGTCAGCCTATTATGCTTATTGTTTTTTAACTACCTGTATTTATATGTGTGTGTGTGTGTGTGTGTGTGTGTGTGTGTGTGTGTGTGTTTGATCCATTAAAATCCAGCCGAGGTACTTTGGACTCCAGTGGACCAAGGAACCCATCAAACATCAGGCGCTGTTTGATATGTGTTGGTGTGTGAGGGTTCATGTGATCGAATGAACCCTCTCGTGAGCGAAAGGCGTTTTGTACTCACTTTGGAGGGAACTGAGGCGTCTCCACCTCCGACTCGTCCTCCGACAAAATCTCCACCACTGGGATGTGTGGGAGGGGATCAAAATCTTAAAGACAGACAGACCGATCAGAGAGCAGAACTCAGTAGTCGGGATTGAATATTCCATTTTTTTAAAAGGATAAAAAAATTAAGCCAATTATTTAAACGTTCTATTATTCTTTTGTTCTATTATTTTATTATTTCTTTTAACTAATAATTATTTTAACTTTCAAACATCGCTTTTGTTCAATGTGAAAAAATGTTTTGATAAATGATCAAGAAACCTACCAGGCATCGTTTCGACTTCATAGATCTGGGACAGAAGAGGTACAAAATTCTGTTAAAATCAATCAGAATGAGACTGGTTATGTTTTCTTTACTTTCTTATATTATCCTCGATGTACGTGGCAGAATTCGTGTATATATTCCATTCATAAATAATGAAGATGAATGCTGTTGTACTCTAAATCCATTGTGAATGTGAGGCGGTTGTCTGCTGTGCTCCTTCACTGCCTTTAGAGTGGACTACATGTGGTGCTTGTGAGCCTCACACAGTGCCGGCGCTCCGCACACGCACATCACGCACTGCGTGGCAAGTGTCTGGGGGGGCATCAAAAATCTGGGACGTGAAAAATCATCACAGTAGGCTACTAGTATAAATAACAAATAAAATATGTCTAAACATATGCAAAAGCAATACAAAAGTAATAGGCCTAGACCAACTTAGTGGAGAAAAAGGGGAACCTCCTGTGCGCCCCCCCCCCCGTGGTTTGTTCGATTATGCCTCAAATCTCAAATGTGGCAGACAGCTTAGAAATGGCTTCGAAAAGGCATCACGAGTCGGGGGCGGAAAAAAGAAAAAAGAAGAGACAGCGGGATGATGCTCGTGCGTCGCTCTCAGGTAAGACAATGTTTTAAATCAGGAGTCCCCAAACTTTTTCTTGTGAGGACCGTTGCTAGCGGTCAACGGGCGGCCGACTGGCCACATATACTCAAGCTCATAATGTCCGCACGGATCGTCGGTGGGCCGTATTCGGTACTCGTCCGTGGGCCGGCCGAAGTTTCTGTTACCGTTACCGTTTTTGTTATCATTTGTTTTTTTTGACCTGATAGCTGATTTTGCAGCTCGGAAATGCAGGCGTGTGCCTCTAGGGCCTTTGACAACTGATGGTAGTGAAAATGGTTGTAATATAGTTCTATCGGATAGCAGAATGGTCTCTTTTATAGAGATGGTAAAGTACATTCTACTGTGCAGTTTGTACTTATGTATGGTTATTTGCACTTTAAAATGTGCACTTTATCATTATTATTATTTGTACTTATGTATATTATTTACTGAAGAAATGTGCACATTGTTACTTACACGGTTATATTGAATACTTTCTGCGTTCATGTTCGGTTCCAAATCTGTGTTTTTAGTAATTGTGGTGGTATTTGGTATTTATAATTTTATCTTTTATATAATTTATTTCTTTTCATGTTTGTTTATGTAAATTATTTATTTTTAGAAGTTATTTGGGGAATAAAGGGAACCTAACTAAGAAATTCTGAATGGTTGTTATTCCTTTGGTGGTGGTGGTGGTTGGTTCGTTGGTTGGGGGGGGGCACCACCAAGCATTTGTGCTCAGGGCACCCAAATGGCTAGCGCCATATGGAGGGGTTTATCCTGGCAGACCGCCTGAAGATTCCTCTATGAACTGAATCCTTACATATAATCAGTCTGATGCCCTTGGTGGGGCAATATTAAGTTGCTTGAGTCAAGTGTCACAGAGTTCCTATTTTCTCTTTGCTGCTTGAATGAAAAACACGCCGTTCCTATGTTGGAGTCTTGGTTTCAGTCCTGGTGTACTACGTGTAGATTATTAGTAGATGTTTGGATGTTACAGCACTATTTATATTACAAATGTTGTTAAGATATTGATTTGGTGTCTCACCTCGGTGGGTTCGTCATTGTTTTCCGCCTCCTTGTACTTCTCCTCAGGCTGAGGCAACAGCTTGGTCAGACCCTGAGTCACCCAACCTATCACTCCAGACCTGGAAGAATAAACGAACGTAGTTTACCTTTGCAGAATGTATTTGGTAATATGTACGGTAATCTGCGCCCACCGTACCTTTCTCCATCCTCTCCTGGCTGCCATTGTGATCCAAAGAAAGAGAATGACAAAAATGCTGAATTTACTGCAAATAAAATGGCTTTTCCAAAGAAATTCACATGGCTTTATGACCAAGGAAACAGGCATGGTTGTATTTTTGAATGTTTTAAAGTCAATTGTGTGTTTCTTCTCAATTTTTTGGTCTAAATTTCCCTTTTAGGTACGTATGTTTAGGGATAACCTGACTTTCTGACACCTACTAGTTCATAAAAGCTAAACATGGGCCATTTTGGCCCCATCAGCTTACCAGTGTAGGCCTTGACGAGTAAACATACGTGTTACTGGATACTCAAACCCCTTTACACTCACCTTGGCGTCAGAGGTGGACCTGCTGAGTCGAGGGGAAGCCGAAGGTCGAGGCAAGGCACTGACGAACCCATTGGACAGCCAGCCTAAAACTCCCTCCTGGGCCTGGCTGCAGAGCAGATAGCGAAAGGCACCAAGTCAGTATGTTTACACTCACACGCACGCACACTCATCGAGGCATTCGGAGAAGCCAGCGGAGAGACGCGTTTACCTGTCCTCTGAATTCTCGTCCGAGTTTTTCTGTGGAGGTTGCTTCCCTGTTGAACCGCCGGCGGGGGTCTTGGCGGCGTCGTCTGTTCCAGGAGCTTCAGGGGGTTGTGGGGCCACTTTCACCACCCAGTTAAACATCCTGTTGAATACACGCACACACACACACACACACAAACCCAAACAGTCAGCTTCCACAAAGCAAACATGGTCAATGGTGATTGTAGTGATGATGAATTCATAATCTCCTCCTTACTCCTTACTTACTCCTTACTCATGTCTTAACCAGGTCCAGTGAGCAGAGCTGAAGGACGTTTGCCGGCATCATCTAAGCTTTCATCCCACGTAACATAGTTTCCAACTGGAAGTGTCTCTCTACGGTCACGGAAAGCTGGGTTTTTATATGACTGAATAATAAATTTGTTTGCAATTTGTTATGTAGACTTTTTCAAAGTCAGATAATTAACTCAGGGAAGAGATAGAGATCAAGTCAAAGGAGACCAGGAGGCAGAGGAACAGTGGGGGGGACACAAACTATACTTTACCAACAGCGTCCACGTGACAGACGGTCAACAAATGTTCAGGGGAAAAAGGGCTAAGGGTGCAGTAAACAGATTCAAGATAAGAGTTTAATTACAAAGATACATTTACAAATCCAGCTGTTCCGACTTAATTTGAGCTGTTGTGGTGATCAAAGTGTGTGACAAACTGTCCCAATCAGCAGAGATCAGCGGGGCCTCTTCACCGTCCCATCGGATTAAATACTGCAGCTCTGTCCCCCAACTAATCTACAGCTTTCTTCTCTGCTTAAGGGCTGGATCAACCCCTGACGTCTTCATCTCACTATATAAATAAATCAGAGGAAGATCCCCCCCCCCCCAACTCCTTTAGGATATTATGTGTTTTTAGTTCAGCAATGACTTGTGCATGTCAGCCTCTCGCGAATGCAAAGCAAAGCTGAAAGACAACATCTGATCACATATCAACATGTACGGCCATTTACCCACTAAAGCAACTTCCTCCACCGTCTCTTTCCCAAGACGCGGGTCATCACAACAAGCAACTCCAATCCGCTGTATTTATTTACATCCGTCCTCTGTACGAGTTTAACAAAGACTTTGTTTTTGCTTACCTGTGTGTCTACAGGGGGTTCTGCATGCCGCTGGCGTAGAGGTCCAGAGTGCGGCGCAGCTGGCACAGGTCTGCTGAGATCTCCACACCGGCCGCCCGCGGCTAACGGGATTACTGCACAGCCTGAAGGTCAAGGCACAATCCTGGACTCTGAGCCATCGCAGATTAACGGCAGCGAAACGTATCGCCAGGACATCTTTCATTCAACCTATAAAAATGTTACCCTCCCCTGACCCCACCCTGACCCCCACCAACCAACAAGTGCTGACTATGAGCACAGAGCGCAGACAACAACGTGTTTTATCTTGGGCCCTGATTTGTCATTTGTAATCAACACGTTGCCTTTTTTTTACCAAAGATGGGAACATTTTGGGATGCGTACTGTTTATAAAGGGAGGTCACTGGTTTTACTGCGTGCACAGTGCGTCCCCTCCACCCTCCCCCACCCGGTGACCTCCGCACCCTATCATCTCCCACCGCATCCTGATTACAGTTTTATCCCCGAGCGACTGACGCAGGGCCACTTGCCGACTGACCAGCAATGAGCTTTACAAACCTTTTAACTCAGTATCGGTGTGGAGTAGTTCAAAGGAAGGTAAAGCTTATTAGGAAGGCTCAGGGTCTGACCGGGGGCCTGATGAGAGACTTCCTCGCATGTCTGCCCCATGAAGACTGAAGGCTAAGCAAAGCTTTTCTTCTATTTTTGAAAATGAAGCCAACCACATCTCCCATGTGGCTTTAAGACATTTAACTGCACGTCAAAAGGCATTAACCATTAACTCTGCTACCTTACCCTTCGAACACTTTTAAAAACTGAACTTTTTTGTTTTTTTTATTGAAATAAGAATTTAAATGCAGGTCGCAAGGTGACACAATGAGGAGTACAAATCAAGATAAAGAGGGAAGAGGATGGAGACAAATTGCATGATGCTTAATGGTGATTAACCAGGATCCACGCCTGTCATTGCTCATTAACCGACGGTCTAGTAACGAGGACGTGGCACATTTGACGTCAAAGGCATTACCGTGACATTAGTGCCGTTCCAAACAGGCAACTTGTGCAAGCATCAGTCAGGCTAAAGTATACACGTGACATATGTTTGACGGGTAAACAAAAGCCACAGACAGGTATAAAAAAATCCTGTCTGACAGGCGGACGGATCTCATCTCGTCTCCTCTGCGGCCCGGGGGTTTGAGAAAAGAACTTCATGGTCACCACAATTCATGGTGCTGATGATGCAGCAGGCAGATCCCATTATCAGCTCAGCAGGGATTAAGCCGGGGAGAGCAGGTTGATCACACAGACCCACGGCTGGAATATGGCAGCACCTACGGGCGCCACCAATGTGGCCTCAATCCTAATTGAGCATCTGGATGAGACAGGAGACCGGGGCAGTTGGGACACAGTCAGGGAAATGGACACAGTGAAGCTAAATGTGTGCAAACAATTTCTAATTATGGGGAAACTTTTCAGGAAACCAAAGTTAATTTGCACTATTCATTTTCGTCTATATATGTTGATGTTTAATTTACTGTACAACAGATTAAAACTAACAACAAACTGCAATGTAAGGAGAGAATTGCCATCAGGGACGTAACGCAGAGAAGAGACAAAAGAGAAAGCGGAGGTAAAGCTGTAGCGGATGATCTGTAATGGAAGCTAATCCTGATCATCTTTGAAATAAAGACATTCAGGAAGGTGCTCTCACATACACAAACATACTATTACTAGTAAATTAGTCAACGTGTCTGTTTCAGGCAATTTATTATTTTCCATCAATAAAAGTTCTTGGCTCCAGTTGAACATTAGAACCACAACAATTGATCATTCGAGCCAGAGGGGGGCCAATTGCATAAAGTAAAAAAAAATATGAACTGCTTTTTAAAAACAATTTAGATGGAGTATCAAGTAGCATTAAATGGAAATTGCTCAACAAGTACAATTACCTCCAGATTGTCCATGTTTTAACTTTAATTAGTCATCATTGTGTTTTTGTGTTGTGCGGAACTTTATTACGATTTTGTTTTCAACATGTTTGAAGCAGACACCCCATCTTGCGGCCAAAAGTAGAATTAACTCCTTGTACTGGCCATTTACACATCTCACTGAAGGTGTACAGTTACAATAACAAAAGGCCAAACACTGCAGCAAAGACGACTTGTGTTGCTTTTACTTGTACGTTTTATTGTGAAAACTTGAATGTACTCTACAGAGGAGTGCACAGGCCTTACAGAACATGCCCTGCATGGATCAACGTTGCGATTATCTCAGATACTGTCCATACAGAAAACTAGAGCAAAAATACAATTTTCAAAACTACAAGTAATACGATTTAAAAAGAAAAGGGAACACATTTTTTTTAAATGTCCCCTCGTGATTTTTATAGTAAAAAAAAAAAAGCCATCTCATAATTCACAGAAAAAAGGCACAATAATGGTAAAAAGCAAACATGGGGACAATGGGAAGACACAAGTAAAATGTAATGGTTAGTATGTCAATAGTGACTTTACAACAACAAAACAAACAAATTGATAAAGGAAGACTAAATTAACCTTTTCTGTAGATGTTTCTGTGCATTATAAAGTGAATACATCTGAGTGAATTACTGCAGAGAGCTACAGCAATGAGACAAAGCCAGAAGCAGAACGGTGACACGAGAGAATAATGAGAGAGAAGGAGAGATAATGGAGAGCGAAGGGGGTCGCAGAGGACGTTGATTACAGCTCATGACAAATAAACCCAGCAAAAACAAGAACATTTGAAAGGCAGGCGTGGATTTAGTGTCCTAATCTAGGTCAAGAGGCGCAACGCCAGCGCTATTCCTCCCAAACATCCGTCCTCCCTTTTTCCCTTGCTCCTCCTCTTCCATAAAAAAACAAAAACTGGAAAGGAAATTTTGGCACAGCTCTCCGTCTCCCCTTCCTCACTCACCGCCTCCACCGGCTTCTTTCTTTCTCTCGTCATCTCATTCTCTCTCATTTCCCCCTTTTCCCCCCACTGTTATATTTTATACCTCCTTCTTCTTGCATTTTCCACAACGCCCCTCTCTCCGCTCATGCCTGACACTAATAAATCAGCGGCATGTGGGCTTAATGGAAACCAGAGCCGGACCCGCTGCTGCAAAGCAAAAAAGCTGAGAGATCATTTGTAAAACATCACAGCACTTTTCAAATCTTCTGGTTAAGTGTGTACAAATGCCCCTCTGTTGTATTTCATCCAAGCCGTGGCCCCGGGCGTCTCCACTGGGACGCTGTTTTAGTGGTGCTCACATCAGGCTGTGGTGGGAGGGGGGTTTTGGGGGGCTGGAGCCTTTGTGTCTGTGTGCAAAAACTATGTGCCTTTGTTTGGGTAAGTGGTCTCTATGTCTTAGTGTGTGCGTGTGGGTGTGTGTGTGTCTGCACATGTGCAGGGAGAGTTGGGAGTTGAGATCATGTGATGCTGGTGCGTGTCCGACATAATGGGCTCAGTGGGAGGTGGCCGGTCACGGACGCACACAGCTGTCTGACATTCCTGCGCCGGCCTTCTTCTGCTGGTGTCAGTGTGCTTCAAACACAAGGACACACAAGCGCATCTGCAATAACGCCCCCTCAGCAAAACTGAATCAAAAGAGCAAATGATGTGATCCAAACAAAGAATCAAGTTAGAATTTGTTGAGGCACCGTAGTCGAGCGTATTGAAGACTTGTTCATATCAATGAGTGTATTTGAATAATTCATTCTCTAGCCGTAAGGACACATGTTTGTGTCTATGTACAGTGCGTGTGCTTCTGTGTGCAGACTTGGTCTGCATTCATACAACGACTAAATTACTGGTCCCTCCCCTCTGAATAGAAAAGTGTCGTGCGTCTTCTTCAGTAAACATCTGGTGGCTGCTACATCTTTTGTTTTTAAAGCTGTGATTGATTTTTTTTTCTTTAAAGAAATATATAAGTACCCTTTAAGACATTTTGAAGGCACAAAGCACAAGAACTTCAAGAGCCAGTAGAAGGAAACGTACGCTGCCGCTCCACAGGCACCTACATCTTTCACATCAGCGATAAAAGCTCTGACAATAAACGGGGCCCCAAACGGTGACTCATCCTCTGCTTTTGTAGACTTAAACTACCGCGTCAGAGCCATTAGTACAAATTTAGACGCCTGTAACGACTGCGAATGTCGAATACCGCGCACCCCCCCCCCCGCCCCCCCTGTTCTGCGCTTCACACCCAGTCCTGCAACGAACGTTTGCAGTGCACCAAGGCCCCCGGGGTCTCTTTGTTCCTGAGGATGGTGTAGATCAGGACGAGGACGCACAGGATGAGGACCAGAGGCACAATCACCATGATCAGAGTCATGACCTTTGATCCGTTGTCGGCCACCGTCACCACCACGTTCACCTCTTTATCCTCCTCCTCTTCCTCCGCGCCGTCAGGTCGGGAGGACGGGTTCTCGTTCTTGTCTCCGGCCCCGTCGGGCTCTTCGTGCTCGTCGTTGCCTCGGTCTGACGGGTTGACTGGTTTGTATTTGGGTCCCTGCTCGGTGTCCGTATCAGGCTGCGGGTGGGCGGCTGCCACACATCCCACGAAATCCCTCAGGAAGGAGCGAGGGTAGCCTTTCTCCGCTTCCGTCCTGCGATTGTCAAACCTCCAATAATTGGTGCCTTGTAGAAGTAGGTGTGAGCTGCATGAGAGGAGGATTCAAAGAAAAGAAAGAATGAAAGTCAATGGATAATGTTGTATACTGTAGAATTTATACAGTTTTGATATTTGGTGTCTCGGCTCTCCACTTATATAGGGGGAGGGTTAGATGGGATATTTAGATGACGCATTCAGGCCGACCCGAGCTGGCCGCTTTGCTTTCTTTCCAGTCTTTATGCTAAGGCATCGCCTGCCTGTAGCTTTGTATTTACTGTACAGAGAGGAGATGAATGTCTCATTACATCACCCTTCATATTGCTAGGCTACATCTCAATAAAATGTCAGTTTTGTCAAGGACTAGTTTAGTAACACCTAAAAGGGTTATCAGAAAACTAAACCAATGGCATGCGTTACGATTTGGCAACACGGTGCAAAAATAAGTAAAAACACTCCTCTTGGGTCCATTTCCAGGAGTAAGTGCAGCTTTGTAGTGCAAACCAGACTTGCAGAGACATTCAGGGTGGAGAGGAGACGTTACTTGTTGCAGAGTGCATTCAGAGCAGCTCTGCCACAAATCTAATTTCCAAAGGAGCGATGTGCCAACTCTCAAACCAGAGCTCTCATTCCTCTCTTCATTCCCTCACCCTTCTCTCTGCTGCAGCATAAAATGTCATCTTCCCCCCCGCCTCCCCCTCCTCACTAAATGGTGTTACTCCCCTGCTGTCAACGCGGTGACATGTGACACGGTAAATGTTTGGCGTCTGATTTGATTCAAATAAACAGAAGTGGCCTTTTTACTCCAAATGAAGGACGCATTCGCTTAATCGAAAGTCGATATGTACCGCCGTCATCGCTGAGGAACACCCCCTTAGGTGACGAAGGGATCCTGCCCCATCTGTTGATTGGCTTGGGAAAGTCCCGGTCCGTGGTGCGGGTCTCCTCGTTGTATCGCCAGTATCTGCACACAGACAGCGAGATGTGTGCATAGAGTTTCATACATTGATCAAAACCCCTTTTTAGATATAGAGAGCAATAGAAAGTTGTAGAGGTGAAGGTGACAAAAGAGATTCTTCTAGCGATTGTCTTTCATTCGCTATGTAGCATAGTGTACCTGTCTCCGCTGAAGAAGTATGTGTACTCGTTGGGCTCCCACCAGATTGCTGTGTCGATCTTATGAGCGGGAACTCCTTGTCCGTACTGGTGTAATGGCTGCGGGTATTCGGGCAGCACGTCGGCCTCCCTGAACACCCAGAATCTATCATCTGCAGGGGCAAGAAGATTAAATGTTTCTTACCTGGACACAAGAGGTAGAAACGGGTGGCATAACACTTCCAAGTGAAAAAAAAAAGGAATGAAGACATCGGAAACACACACTCTCTCGTGTGTGTTTTCCGATGTCTTCATTCCTTTTTTTTATATCAACCCTCGATTGAATTTACAAAATAAACTCCCCGAAAACTCCTTTAATGGGGAATAAAAAAATTATCTGTGAGGAGGACAAATCACTGTTAGACCTGATTCTGAAGGCTCAGCTCAGCTGCTGTGAACATCTGGAGCAGTGAGCTGTAAAGGCTGATGTAATCCTCCACCACTCTCATGAGGCCTTCTGGCACTCAGCTGGAGTGAGAGACACATTCTGGACTTTCGACAGCCGCCACGCTGCACAAGCCCCATTCAACATAGATGCAAAACACTAAAATACGATTATGAACTCTGCAGTTAAACAAAGATGCAAAGACACGCAGACTCATCAGTCTCCATCTGCGGCCGTTTTCCCCAAATGTTTAAACAGGAAATCATTTTCTTGTTAACATAACTTCCACAGTTTCAGTGGGTTGTTCTGCCAGATACCGAGTTATAGCTGTGCTGAGCTATTAATTATTAACAGCTATTAAAACTCATGGTCTTGTAAGAAGGTTTTGATGCTGTGTTTGGAAGGCGACACGTTTTATTGGGATTTAACGGTTTTCGCATACCTTTAAAGAAGACAAATTTGCCATCGTGGCGCTCGTAGGCCGCGTCAATGTCACTAGGCAGGCCGTTCCAGAACACAGATATCGGCATGGGGTAGTTATCCAGGACCCGGTTCCTCTGCACGCGCCAGAACCAGCGACCCTGTGCAGGCAAAATCACCGTATTTTTTGTCAGAATGTTCTGCTTGCATGACTGGAACGCTGTTTTGACCCTGAGCAGGGTGGTGTTTGGGGTTAAAAACACCAGTGACACTCAACATGATCCATATCATGTGGCACCAAGCATGAGCAATAACTCCTCACTTCTCACCTTGAAGACAAACATCTCCCCTCTCAACACGGTCACCGTATCAAAGTCCCCGTCACAGATGTCGGGGGCCTGGTTGTCCGGCAGCTTGGGGGGTCGGGGAGGGGCAGGGGGCCGAGGAGGAGACGGAGGAGGAGGAGGAGGGAGGGGGACATCCTTTCTAATAGGTGGGGTTACGGGTTGGGGCTGTGAGTCGGTGGGGGAGGGCGTGGGTGAGGTAGAACTGGGACTCGGCTCCGGGGGATCGGGAATGCCGTCGGTCGGGCCGGGGGAATCGGGTGGGGGGAGCCTGGGAGGAGTTGGGTCGGGTCCATCTTCAGGAGGAGAAGGGGAGCTGGGGGAGTCGTGTCTGGGTTCGTCGTCGAGGACTGGAGGAGAGGTCGGTGGAGCGTCGCCGAGCAGGGGGGGGCCTGGGAAATAAAAGATGGAGAGGCGGCTAACAAACGTCCACATTTAAAAGGCTATTTCCCTCCTCCTCATACTTTAAAGTAAAATGCAAAAACAAGTTCCCTTTGAAATAACATAATTCCCCCAGCCTGTCTGTGTGGCAATAAACCCCAGTGGTATATTTCATGCTCTCCTCCGTTGTCCTCACAATGTCAAAGAAAACCTTATTTTCCATCATGTCGAGCAGCTATGAGCACACTCGATTGACTGCGACTTGTGCTGCTGTTCTTTGGAGAGAAAAAAAACAACCCAGTTGGTTGCTAAGGGAGGAAAACACACAGATACAGAGCGTTATGTAATATGTAGGGACAGCTGATGGACTTGAAGACGTATTGAATTACACAGAGCCAAAAATACTGCTAGGAATATATGAGGGACGATGTTGGCCAGCGACGCGGCGGGTGCAGAAATACACCACCTGCTGCGTTTTAAACTGCAATAGAATCTGTGAAGTGTTTTTTTGTGTCTTAAAAGCAGCATTCAAGATGGCAAAGGGGTGTTTACCAACCCGTCGGCCCAGTGCCTCTGAGCGGGTCCCTTCTTAGTCTACCGGCCGAGTAGTTGGTGGTTTTCGTCTTCGTCAATAAAGAATGATTTTGTCAATTCAAGACTTTGGACTTTTACCAGACTGTACATGGAGATAATCGTCTTGTCTGCCGCTTGGTGCTCTGCAGGTAGCGTCGTAGTTGGTTGTTAAAGTTGATTAGCTAAAACAGCTGCTTACTACAGTCAAAAATGGGAGATTAGAGTGAAGCAAAAAAGCCAAAAAAGAAAGATATAAAAGGTTGTACAGCTGATCATTTCAAATCTTCCTTTTTGGGAAATGCTTCATGCTGGACATCAAGACACAGACCTAAAGCAACATTGTTCTCCTAAAATGTAAAGCCGTTAAACACTTGGAATTACTTACTTATTACTTATTCCCAAGTTGATTTGTAGATAAGTAAATGTGTTTTACTGTTGAGACTTTATGTCTCTCAGCTCAATAGTTTAGGCATAGAAACCTCTACAAAGAACTTGTATGTTTATTCCTGCCAACAAAGTGGATTCTGTGTTCTTCTCTCTAAAACAGTCATTTCGATCTGTTTCATAAAAGGATCACTATGTAATTTCAGTCCAAACATTTAAGATTTTTCCTGTTTGTAAAAACTCAACTCGCCAATTCATTTTCTATTTTTTGTTCTGCTGATTGATTTCAGAGATGTTTCCCGGACAAGACAAAAGTAACAAAATACATTGTCATTCAGTCATTCAGTGTAAACAATGTCTGTAACACATCTTCGATGTAAGACAAAAATTAGAGTTTTCACCTTTAATTACATCTCTTAAGGCCAAAGCAGAAAGAGACCGACATCTACACACAAGGCCTTTCTCTAACCAACATGTGCACACGCACACAAAGATGTCATCTGTCAATAAACAATGCCCTCTATTCACACAGGAAACGCATGAGAACATCATCCCGGCATGCTTTACATGCTGTTCAGCCATGTTTCCCGGATGAATACGTGGAGTTGGATCAAAGTGTCTCGATGTGATAGTCTGATATACTGACAAATTACAACAGACATTCTGCACTTCAACCCTCACAGTGGTTTTACACATGTGTATTGTGTCCCTGCTGGTTGGGTCAGTGCTACGTCTCTAGGAAATGAAATAAGTATCTGGTGTAGAACACTAAATGAAATGACTCACTGGGTCTCAAGTGGTTCAGTGCAAATTCTGCTGGTGTTGACTCTAAAGAAAATAAATATTGTGGGTTTAAACTTCAGCAGAGTGAGTGCTCCTTACCGTATAGGTACTGTATTCCTCTGATGTCATCGTCATGGAGGGTGAAGTTGTGTGTGTCAATCCACTTGTAGAACGGAGCCATTATGGCATTGGGGTTATCGGAGTGCTCCAGGCCCAAAGCATGGCCGAGCTCATGGACCGCCACCAGGAACAGGTCTATACCTGCAGGCACACACACAGTGGGTCCACACTTGTCAGAGGTATGTGTGTAAATAACAAGCACCAGAGGAGTGAATGCAACCCATAGAACATAGTAGATGCATGTAGATTGGAGTTGTGTTGCGCACCACATGCAAAAAAAAACGTCACTTACTGTGCATATTTCATTAATCTGTTGCTTTTGTAAAACTACCAGCATCAATTCACTAACAAAAAGAAGCCCCTTACCTCAGAAAAACATTACAGGGGATCAAACAGAGGAAACACTGATACTCACTATAATAAATAAACAGAACTGAACCAAAGAGGAATCACTTTTCATTAATGCATGTTGCTGTTAAACCTGCTACATTTCTGAATCTCGCAATATGAGCTGTTTCAACACATTGTTTCATATCAACGCTTTGACGATGGTGTTTACCTAGAACCCAAGAAACATTCAAATTAACAGAATAGTCAGTGGTTATATGTTGTTATTATGGCATTAAATCCAGCCCAGTGGACCAGACCACACATGAGAAGATAACGGCTAGAGAGACAATGCGGCTACCAGAACGCCACAGGTTCAATTCCCACAAGAAATCCGCCCCACTAACCTTGTGGGTTTTGGTTTTCTAGCGTCCAAGGCTCATCGGCATCAAAGTGCGTATCCCCACCGATCCCTGGTCCGGGGTAGTAGGCGTGGGCCAGCGACCCTCCTTCGCCATCAAACAAAGACATGTCACCATGGAAACCAGACGCAAACAACAACAGGACGTCAGCCAGCTCTGCCTGGCTGATGTTGATGCTGATGCGGTTTTCAGCAGGTAACTCCTCAAAGGTGAGCGGCGTGACCCGCCTCCACGCGTCAAAGGCCTTGCGGATGGCATTGTAGGTCCGCTCCTCGCCCAGAGAGGAGGGGATTTGCTGGTTCATGATGCTGGAGCCGGAAGGTAAAAGCACGTTAGAATCGAGAAACGTTCAGCTTTGCCGTTTCTCAATGCTATGAACCTGTAGGTGATGTGATCTTTTCCCCACTGCTGTCCAGTGAGAGCGTAGCGTTCTTTCCTCGTGCCACCATGCATCCTCTCCAGATTTCTGTCTGGGAGGCCACAGCGAGGCCGACGCATGGCCCTACACACACACACACACACACACACACACACACACACACACACACACACACACACACCTTATAAACAGCTGGCAGCAAAACCACTCTGCAGCATTAGTCTCATATCTATCGACCTATTCAAAGTATAAGGCTCCAGCCTGTTAGCTTAGCTTAATGAGAAGGCTGGAAAGAAAGGGAAACAGCCAAAGGAAAAATAAAGGTTGTACAGATTAAACCAATGAAATATTATGTGTTGATTTGTGAGGTGTTGATTTAGTAACATTTTTCAAAAGCATCAAAGAATGTCTTTATGCTAAGCTAACCCGCTCCTGCTGTTGTAGTTTCAGTTACACAGTTGGATCAATCCTCTCATCTAGTTCTCTCAAAAAAGACTCTCTCTTCACACACAGTGACTGCTCTGAGAGCAGAGGTCAAATAACCCTAACCCTAACCCAGAGGTCTGATAATACCTTGAATCTGGTTCTCAGCTAAATGCGAAGATACGAAACAATAGTCTCATTAGTCAAGACGTGATATAAGCTAAATTAAACTGTAATCCAAACCTTCTGAGCAAAGAAAAACAATTCAACCTGGCATTGTTTCAGAAGGCCCTGGTTATACAAACACATTAATCGGACAATGTTATTATGTGATGGCAAAAAGCCAGTGCTCTGAAACAAATTGTTTCACGAAGCTTGGTTTGTCGAGTTGAGGTCTGTTGGCCCGGAATTCACAGAGGACAAATGGAAATGTGCGGTCATCTATAATTACATGTATAATGCGTGGAAAAATAGAAACTTTATTCATAAAAATGCAAATGAGTCAGCTTGTGTTGATAGTGTGGCGAAACAATAAAATGCTTACGCAACAGTAGCAGGGTCCATCTGCCCCGTCACATCTAGGCCGTAGACGCGCTGCATGTCGCTGATAGCTTTGGACAGAATCTGAGCCGACTGCATGGTGGACATCTGACCGCTCGCCTGAGACAGGTAGCCGAATTGACGAAGCCAAGCCTGCGACGAAGAAAAGCCAGGGTTCAGCTCCGCTTTGTGGGTCCCACGCGTCTGATTTTGAGTGTGTGCGTTGGATGGTGTATTAAAACGAATGACAGTTACAGCTGTTGTGATATCCCCCCCCCCCCCCCCCCTCACCTGTAATAACGGGAAAGAGACCATCTGAGGAGGTAAAAGGAAAGAGAAAGGAGAGATAGAAACCAGATGGCTTTCATTAACATTACAAATTCCTGCTCTCTCATTCCTCTCGCCTTCTCCTGACCGACAGCCAAGTTGCGGAGAGGAGACTAGAGGAAGGATGGGAAACAGGAGAACAAAAAAGGGCAATAATCAAACCCAGTGTCACCACTGTAGCAACACAAGATAAGCACGAAACCCTACATGTGTGACCATTGAAATGATGGTAAAAGGCCAACAGCCTAGTGACACTTTGTTTCGAGTTTGTTGCGTGCGGAGCAACGTAACCAGGGAAACAGGATGACGACTCCGGGGGGGGGTTGGGGAGTTTTGACCTTTAAGAAACCTCCTCGGTGGAGCTCAAAAACAACCCTGCAGCCCCTCTCACACAGCTGGATCATGGGACTCGCATGTTCATACATGTACAGGATGAATGCAGGCCAGGAGAAAAAAACACACACACACACAAGACCCAACATGTGCGCACTTATAAAAGGCAGAGAAAATCTAGACCAGACCATTTCTGCATAGAAAGGAAAGTCCCAACCAACATAGTGAAAGAGAAGCAGCAGTGCGTCGGTAGGGGACAGCTTCAATATCGTGACCGTCAGACATCATCATATCCATCAGAGTATGGCAAATATAGAACAATTACAAATAAAAGAATAAAATTGGTATTCACTAAAACCAACAGTGTTCGACCATTACGTGTAGAAACTGAAAAGCTCATCATTTGGTTTGTTTATTTTTTAATAATCTTTCCTCAGAATAATGATTTATTCGATTTTACTAAGCATTTTGACACTTAATAAAATACTGAAATGTAATTTGGAATAGTAATAAATAAATAAAAAGTATTAATGCTACCATCAAAACTTTCCTGCCTCTGTTATTGGTGTACAAACAGTTTGTGAATGATTAAAGGGACAGTATAGAATAAAATTGTATGATATTTACATGAACATATCCCAACCGTGTGTTATAAAGCATTAGTTAACTAGTTATACACATTGAAATATTTAGAGGTTTATTTCAAAGTTTTCTTATGAGGACATCAATAACGCAACAACAAATTCAAAGATTTCTTCCAAATCTCAATTGCAAAAGTGAAAAACTAGAACTCACATTGATATAAACAATAAAGACATATTTCATATTCACCCACATTGCATCATATCGTTCATCAGTTTATAGCTCAGTTTTGTAAGCTTCTTACATGATATAATTTGTGAATACATGAACAAACTCTAAAAATCTTTAAGCAAGACATTTGGTTATTGCGACATGATATTAGCTGTAAAATGTGATTTCAACCAAAGTATTGGGAATACAAAATAGATCATATTGTGTTATTCCCAGGTGTCCCACATGTACTGGTGTTTTTTTCGAAAAGGGTCAAAAGGTCAAAGGACATCCCCGCAGTGCAACACCCCTCCTGATGCTTTGATGTTTTACCAAAACAAATACAAAGATTTCGACTAATAACCGACAAAACCATTAATTTCTCTAATGAATTTCCTCAATAGGAGGAAAAAAAGTGACAGTCATCATGAATTGATAAACTTTTGACAAATAGCAAAACCGAAAAAATATCAACCATCTGCCGGAAGAACGTGGTCCTACCTCCGCATTGAGGGCCTCCTCCTCCTGCAGGGCGTCCGCCGCCGCCGTGCTGCACACGGCCACGGAGAACAAGGACGAGAGCGTGATCAGGATCCGGGTCCACGGTTGTTTGGGTGCCATCTTCTTCCCGATGCGCAGCCCGAAAACAGCCGAACTACTTCCTCGCAGCGGAAACGCGTTGTCTAAATATTTGAGAGACCGCCATCTAACAGCTGTGCGGTGGTCGATCTGATGTAAGATCTGAAGCGGTTTTAAAGTGAGAGAGAGACAGAGAGGGAGAGAGGGCTCTCCTCCCTCCTAACGCTGCAGACCACTGGGACATCTGCTGCCGTTGTAGGAAACTGCAGGCTGGTCCACGAGAGACTATCATCATGGACATCATGGAAAAGATGGATGATTGCTTAAATAGTCAAAAACTGAGATTTGTTCAGGTACATCTGGTGTAAATAATAAATGCACCGGAAAACTAGAGGGAATAATGAGATTTGTCCAATAGATTTTTACATTACGTGTCATTTAGCTGACGCTTTCATCCAAAACCCGGAAGAACGCAAAACAAGAAAGTGCAATTTCATCAAATAAGCTGATAGAAAAGAGCCATTATAAGTACAATTAAAGTGCTTTTTAGCCTTGTTGTGTTTTTTAGTCAAGGTAAAGTCTGAAGATACACAGAGCAACAATGACAACCCTCTGCAATCAGTCTGTTTAACGGCATTTGAGCTTGAACAACCGAATAGCAGATAGTAGATAGAAAACCCTTTTGCCTCACTGCGTGTGCAATTGTATGCATGCACCATTTTCTCCAGGGAGTTCTTCCAGTCAGCTTTCTTTGTGTCAGTCAAGGTACGCAACAACGACAGGGTGGTTTTATTAAAACGTTCCGTCTTCCCATTTCCAGGGGGATGGTAACACCTTGTATGAGAGCCTCGCACCACAGCGCACGCAGCCGGGTTTATCGGCCAGCAGCTCTGAAGCCGGTTCTGGCCCGTTGATGGCTGCCGAACATGGGCCAAATCTGGCATTATAGAATTGGGCCTATTCTGTTTGACACATGGAAGCCGGGTCTCTGTGGGTCCAGAGTGGACCTTATTTTAGTTCAGACGTTAAATGTATTTTTTAGTTCTTTTCCTTTTTTTGTTGTTGCTATGAGTTCATTTGGTTTCAGAAGACAGAATGTATATAATATAATAATAAAAAGATAACCCTGACTGGGCTGATGGAGAGAAATGTTTGTTAATATCTGACCGCTTAGAGAAGAATGAGGATGTACTTTATTGTAATCATTTCTTTCAGGTAAAATAACATTGTTATTAAGAGATTAAGTTAAAGTCGTTCGTCTTTCTGTTCAGGCTGCAGAACTTCTGTTTTATTTGATTTTTAGGGAACGTTGCTGCTGTTTGCTTTTTTTGCTGTGTGACATGACCTGTACAGACTGAACTATGTGGTATGCAGAGAGGAAGGTTCTCCATCAGGTGGAGACTCTCCCTCCTGCAGAGAACACAGAGACACCGAGCAACCAGAACAGGAATCCTAACCAGACATGGACCAGAACCTGAACCCAAACGCAGAATAAAGAGGTTCAGTGAATGTGGTGCTGAAGGTGTAGAGGTGGATCAGTGTGTCAGATGAGACTCTGTAGAAGGACAGAGAGCCAGCAGGACAGTCCACATACACTGCTACTCTACCAGAGGAGGAAGTGGTGATGTGTGATTCTCACAATATTTACCACCGAAATGAGAACAAACCATCATGAGATGATTCTTCCTAAAAGCTCAGATTAAACTTTTTTTTATTGTCTTTTTTGGAAGCTTAGATTGTTTTGCGCTTCAAATTCTGGTTTCATTGTGATGCGAGATGAAGGCCTTGGTAGGCTTCACTGGTTTATGGTCAGTCCATTAAAAGATTAGATCCAGTTTGGATGCTGACATTCAATAAATAACTATTTTATATATTTGAATGGATTTAGTGTGTACAACAGAATGTTGTTTCCTCAGACTGCAAACGGGGTTGAATAACAATGAATTGTTAATGTTGCCTCAAACTCAAATATACTTTCACCTAAAATATTCCTCAAATATAAATGATCCTGTTATGCAGCAGTCTGGGCCCTGGTCCTCGTACGTGGCTAACTGAGTTAGCCGGATCATTTTCAGGATGAGATGACATAGATCAGGCTTTTCGGTTCCCCGAAGCAGGTTTGTCTAAATCACCATAGCAACACATAGAAAAACTTAAACCTGCTCTGGCGCAGGTTCATTTGAGCTTCTGGATTAGTTAATCACTCCCCCAGAAAAAAAGGGCAGCGCTCTTCCTCATTGATGAAGGATCGATATCAGTTAGAATTACGCCTTATAGAGAGAGACTTCTGAGAGATCACAAAGACCCGCCCTGTTCCTCGTACGTGGTTCAACTAAGTCGATCAAATGTCCCATTCTACAGCTCAAATTACCGAGATGATTGACATCAGGCTATCTCAGTTCCTCGAAGGCAGATCGGCGCTCAAACCGTCTCATTAGTTTGAACCAGATGTCAGCCATCAGGATAATCGTGCATGCACATGGAGGAATTTGACTTGGTACAATAAGAATATAAAAGGCAAGAATTAATATAAACAGGTGGACATGCATACGTGTGTTAACGTACTTATTTTTCCATGGTGTGAATCGACAGTGCAATGTTCAGAGGTTGAAGTATTTGAGTCAATGGGGGACTCTTGGTTCAAGAGACCAACTGCTGACGGGGAAGAAACTGTGGCAGGAGATCTTGTTCCTGGACTGCAACCTCTTGCAGAGGGAAGATTCTGACTGGCGTGAGGGGTCAGCTACAGTCTTTCCTGCCGATGTTCAGCAGCCACTTGAGGTCCTGGGTGATGGAGCCCAGAAAACTGAAGGAATCCGCGGCGGTGACGGGGAAGTGCCGTTCAAAGAGAAGGAACAGATGGTGGAGTCCTTGAAGCAGGCTGGTACGTGGCATGTCTCCAGGGAGGTGTTGAAGATGTCTGAACACCAGAGACCGCTGACCAGCACATTGCTTCAGGGTGTGAGTGGAGGTGGAGTCCCGACCAGCTGCTGAAACAGTTATTTTGTATTAAGTTAAGTATTAAAAAGGACTTTTGTACTATGGCTTGATTTGTAGGCCTGTTACCCTGTTGATTACAATAAATAGGTCTAAAAAATATGTTTATTATGTTTGACTGTTCAGTACTATTTATATTCATTACATTTAAAAAGCAGACATAAAAGTAACTTAAAAGTTACTTTACAGAGTAACAAATTACTTTTGATACACAGTAACTGGTAAGTAATTCAATTACCTTTAAAAGAACTAACTAGTAACTAACTTAATACTCATTTTCAGTCATTTGCCCAACACTGGTCAGAGTACAGACATCTCTCACCGCCTTGCCAAACCTGTATTTTGACAAGACTTTGTCCCAACTCCTAAATGCCTGATTCTTCTGCAGTCGTAGTTGAGTTCCGCTGTAAACCAGGGTTTGACTCAAACTGGTGACAATGCAAGAAGTCACAGCCTTTGAACTCATCCAGACTGTTAGTAGCAGTCCTGAAAACAGTTGTTTTGGCTGCACTGCTGGTGAAAGTAAAAAATGTCACAAGACCTGCAAATCGATTATTAACCTTGCTGACAGAACAAAGAAAGGTTTTTAAGTTTTATTCAAGCTGCCAACAGCAGCAACATTGTTGTCACTGTTCCCCAGTTAGTTTTAACCTCCTGTTGCCTGCCTTGATCACAGTGATGAGGATGATGATGAAGAAGCCCAAAATCCAGACACCTGCGACCGGCAGCACCACAGTCGCCAGTATGCCTGAAACAAAAACAGGTCATTGCAGTATTCCCGAAGGAAAGTTTGTCTTCAAATGACGCCTGCAGCGAGAACAAAGAGGTGGAGCATCGAACAGAGCAAGGAGCTCGTAGTCGTACGAGGACACAAGTGATAGAGAAACTTATTGGATTGATGTCTGTCCGGCATCTCGATCTGGATGGTCCATACGTGAGAGGTCCGACCGCATCGCTTCCCTCTTACTCATTGAATTACAGTTCTGTGAAGTAAAAATACAAAATAAAAGACATGACTGAAGTGAACAAGAACACTGAAGACACGTATCCTTTGATCTTTTTAAGTTAATCTATAAAACAAAAAACAAGGCCGATTCAGATGACTGATTCAAGAGTACAAAGCAAGCGAGCCGAGCGCACTGACCAGCGTACAGGAGCTGTGCTCTTCTGCCGTTCACTGTTCGGTGCAGTGCAGATAGAGGTCGTGAGGTTCTGCTGTGAAACGAAACATGTCGAAGCTGTAGTGAATGGTGGAACGTTCGTCAAGATGCATCACCAGCTCACTGTATGCATGCAGAGGAGGGAAGGGAAGAAATAAGGGAACTTTGATGACCAATGTTAATATTGTAGTGCACAGTACAACCAGATTTGGGACAAATTAGCTTGAAATGGTTAATGCCCGTGTTGAATGTTGCAAGTAAGCGAGGTTTTGCCAAGGTATCAATAAGATTGATTAGATTCAACGTCCCTCCTTACCTGGAAAATTAGATGACTGGGAAAGGCAGGCTGACGGTTCTGATGGACGGATAGACGCAGGTGTAGTTCATCTTGATGACTGGATTTCTGACGATGTTTCCAATCACCTGAGGCTCTGACTGGAGACTCGGGGAATAGGAGATTTGATTTTTTTTCTCGAAGAAACAAAAAACAAGAACTTCAGGGTTTTGACAGGGAGAAGTTTTCCTTTTTTTTTTACACCCAATCGTGACATTTGTGCTCCAGTCATACCGTCAGCGCCTTGCCTCGACACATTTGATATTTATCTTTAGAGATCTTGGACACGAAGTACGGCACACCGTTGATGACCTCCCTCTGAGGACTTGTTGGGCAAGTGCAGCGACTCCAGCGGTACGCTGTGAAACGTGAAGTAATCTTCCATCGCCCGGATTGCAATGAAGTCCTTGCCGCACACAACTTTGATGCGTGCATCTGTTTAAAAAAAAAGTCATTCAAACATGGTAAACAAAGATGGAAATGCAGAAGTATTGATCAGATTCCTTGTTTTGAGCTTAAAAGAAACACCTTAAGTAGAATGTGATAATGATTTACAAACTAAGCAATTAACCAGTTGTAGACAAACTACATAAAAACGTGTCAACCACGTAGAATACTGATAAATTGTCAATAGCGAACAGTTTTTTTCCCCTCCTTGGAAAGAAAACAAATTAATATCTAACACAGAACGACCACTTATGGAAAATTGTTGATCAGGTAAGAAAAGTGTCCACTTTTTGTCACAGAGGTCCGAATAATATCCGTTGGCACATTTGCATCTCCTTTGGTCTTCAGACAGAAGACACCTGGTGCTGTTGGTGCAATGTTCCACACTGCAAACTCCTAACCAGCAGACAAATAACCATCAATGGTTTTGACAAACTGCAGCAAGTTTACAGGGTTTTTGTATGTAGGCCTATATTATATTTTTTTTAAACGTAGACACGCTTACCTCTTTCACATGCCCCTTTTCCACCAAGGCAGAACTGGTGCTAGTTCGAAGCCAGAGCCTAGTTTCAAATCGGTTCTACGGTTTTCCACCACCAAAGCACCAGCTCCGAACCAGTAAAAGTGGTTCTTAAGTAGCACCATATCATTGCTGGTCTAGAAGTAAGAACCGCTTACGTCAGCGGCTAGGGGCGGGGTTACCGTGACCAACAAGACGAGAGAAACTTTGTGATCCGCCATTTTTCGATAGCAGCTAATCGAGCTAACAACAACACAATGGACGCTACTAGGCAAAAACAGCACTGGTCAGACGAGGAAACAAGCTGCTTTCTTGCACTCTGGTCCTCTTCAGAAGTCCAGAGTAAGTTAGATGGGGCTTCGCGGACGAAACCGGTTTTGCAGCAGATTCAAAGAGAGAGATGGCTGTAACTGGTTTTGACCGGAGCCTCGTCCAGATAACAAACACACTAAAAAAATAAAGAAAGACTGTGGGACCAAAAAAAGGACCTCGGTCGAAGCGGCAATGGGCGCCCACGCCAAAATCCACATTCCATCCAACGTTCTCGACTGTGTTCTCGGCGATAGGCCGGCATGCCAGGTGACCGGGGGCCTGAACTCGGCCACAATGTCGTCACACGCACGCGCTCCTCCGCTGAGCCCGTTTTCTTATCAGGTGCTGCTCTTCAATCACAAACACCTTACCAACGCGTTACACTTATCATTGGTAATTGATTAAACATGTCGTTGAGTTGGTGGGTTTCTATTTGTAAAACAGAACACACGCATTTAATGAAATTGTCAACCACGTCATGTGACTTTAATATTGATGTGTTGGAATTGAAAGAATATCAGTGTTTGGTTCCGATCATGACACAATTACTAACATGAAACAGGTGGTTTGGTTTTTAGCTGATTTCAGTGACCATCTTCAAATCTTACTTTGAAGGTTAACTGTTGAGTTGGGTCAGGAAGCCTTCCTGTAAATTGGTGAAAACATTTGAGAGAATTGAGGCATTAAAGATGGAACTTACAATGAACAGCTGGTAGAAATTGTATGTTAATGATTCTAATCAGGCCTTTTGTTTTCATCCATAACATTGTCTTGTTAGGACGTTTTGGATAAAGGAAAACCATGGATTACTAAAGGTCAGCAAAAGGCATGAAAAAAGAAACTTCACAACAAGGAAGCATTAAAAGTGGAGGAAAACATAAGAACTGACTTGTGAAATTACAGAAAATGGACATTTTTGAGTAGTATAAAAAATAGAACCACTCATACTGTTATGCAGATGGTGGACGAACTAACAAAGACAGTTGAAACCCCTATTTTTCTATTTACATTGATTTACGGGAAGACTTTTTGAGACTATTGAGAAATGTGGAGACTGGATAGAAACTAGATGCCAGGTACCTCCACTAGATGTCCTTATCTTCTGCACAAAATGGTTCAGCGCTGTAGAAAGTTCCCCTGCACCATTTCAAACAACACTACAAAAAAAAGAAAAGCAATTAAAATGCACTTGGGAAATCTCTAAGACGATTTATTTCCGATTCTACATTTACTTATATAAATACTATAGGGCGACTAGAGAAATATTGTGTGAACAGAAGGAAAATAAATTTGTTTTTTAAAGTGTGCAGGTCAAAACAGTGAGCGGCTCAGCGGTGTCTTGAGGGAAAGACATAAGTGGGTCACACCCGCAGGCCACACTCCATATTCCCAGACAACAGGCAGACCATCTGTCTTTGGTGGGAAAGATCACAGAGAGGATAAGTTGCTGAAGAGGGACGAGCCGTGATGGATGCTGCAGGTTTGAATCCGCTCTGGTCTGCAACAACACCAGGTTGTGTTTGTTTCTTGAGTATTAACAATGGCTGCAATCGTAATAAGTCCTCTTTCTCTGCCCAACCCTTCAAAGTAGAAAGTAATAATCTGGTCTACAAATAACCAGATGGGAATGGTTGACTGCCCAAAGGATGGAGAAATGCAACTGATTGAACAGCAACAGTGGAAATATTGGTAATGTTATTTATTTACAGAGCAAAGGGGGTAAGAAAGACAACTGTGTCTCAATACAGAGAATCTTCATGTGAATCCTTAAATGGTTATAAATCTGTACGCATATGTGGTTCTCATATCTGAGTGAAAGTGAATAAGTCTGAATCATTATATGGGGCAAAAAAAGATTTCAGTTTATGATCAGGTGTGATTGACAGAACCTGCACAACAAACACACCAGTTTTACAGCCCACTGAAATGTCTCCGCTCTGTGTGTGTGTGTGTTCATCTTGCATCTCCTCCCTTGGCGGCGCCGGGCGGTGGTTCTTGGTCTGGTCGGTAGCGGTGCGGTGCCACCCTGGTGTTGTGAAATAGCCGGGTTATAGGAGGTGTCTGTCATCGGCCTGATTCACAACACCAGCTACAGCACACACACCTGAGAGGCCGGTCTTCTGCTGCTGGATGTGTAGAAACACACACAAACACACACATGACAGGTTGTACTAAAACTAGGGCTGCAACTAACGATTATTTTGATAATCGATTAATCAGTTGATTATTCGATTAATCGATGAATCAGATTTTTTTTTAAACGGCATTAAAAAGCTTTAATTTCCAACCCTTTATTCTAAAACAAATTATTACCATCATTGTAGTGCAAGTTAAGTAAATGCATACAGCTAAAAAACAACCACCGTTTGTAAACAAATGCATTAGAGGCTTCTTAGTTGATTTAATGGATCACCATGTGTCTCCCAGTACAGGCATAACATCAACTACCGTATAACCCACAGTATATGCGCAAGCGCACTGGACTACCATATATGACAGCATTAAAAAGCACAACACACACAAATATATTTGTCAACAATAACCGATATGGGACAAAGCACAAAATATCAGACAACACATTGAAAAATGAATGATCCAAAGGGGGCGAGTAAATAAAAACGTGTCTTAGTCTTGCTAACTGCTTTACTGCTGTTATTAGCGAGCGAACGGTAGCTTGATCAGCTGGATGACGAGTAAACAGGAGGCTTGTTACGTCCCTTACGTCAAAACGGGACAACGTGGACCGGGACCCCCCACGCTCGCACACCTTAGACGACTAGTCGAACAGACGTCGTCTCTCCCTGCATCATGTGACTCACAACAACTGCCGGCTGCTCTTTCCTCTACGTCGGCTCGGCGCCTTTATTTTTATTTTTGCTCCGCGCGCATCTCCGCAACTCATTGAGTGACGTAATAATCGCGCGACACAACGAATCGATAATGAAATTCGTTGCCAACGCTTTTAATAATCGATTTTAATCGATTTTATCGATTCGTTGTTGCAGCCCTAACTAAAACCCTAAGAAGAGAACAGCTAAAGTCAGGACTCTATGCAGCAGCCTTTGCGCTCTCAAACGTGACGGGTTGGACGGCTACTCTGATGTCAGGTGATTTCCAGATCGTCCGGCGGTGTGCAGGAGGATCACCGGTGAGTCCCCGCTCACCGCCCCGGGCAGGAGAAGGACAGCATGGGCCCCGTAGTACTTGGCTCAGCTTTCTCTCATACATATCAGCTTGGATATGAAGAGGAGCCAAGACAGAATGAGCCGCCATCTGCGTTCTCTCAGGCCAGAGAGTGTTGGCCACCCATTCAACAGAGGGGATGACGGGTGATGGGATCCGGGGTTTTTTGCATGTGGTTTGGTGGCTTAAAGGCATCAACACGAGTTAGTTTTTTCTGCTAAACGTACCGGCAGGCCGGCGCCTAATGCTTTTGTGCCGTCTTCAGGTTGTTACTATGGCGTTCTGGATGGTTGCTATGGCGTTTCCCTGGGGTTGCTGAAGTGTTAGGTGGGAAACATCATCCGAGACGTGCCGTGATGAGGCTTTATACTTTGGAAAATCCCGGTTAAAGATGAAATTGCTGAAACAGCAGAGACCTGATTTAAGTGGACAGCAATGATGAACATTTGAACCATGGAGTCAAACAGTAATCACATCGGAGTGTGTGTGTGTGTGTGTGTGTGTGTGTGTGTGTGTGTGTGTGTGTGTGTGAGCATTTGCATAGTTTTCAACAGGAAAAACATGTAGCGTTATTAATTCAGTGTCTAAAATGTCTATTCCCGTTACCCCGGAAACCCCCCTTCTGATACTGCGACAAAGCAGAAATAGCCCTCCAGTCCGCCTCAAGCCAACCAACCATCTGCCAGAGGACGGGACAGAGACACAGCAGCGCAGCCTGTGAGGACAATGCGGCGTCTGTCTGCGACACTTAGGACCAAGAATGGTAATTTGCTCATAAAGGGACGAAAGGGAGATGAAATGTTTGAAACTGGACAATCAATCACCACTTTCCTCTGTGGAAAGATGAGCTCTGAGGGCTATCAGTCTGCTGTATATGTTAAATTAAGCCCAATTTTGATTCATCACTGTTTGTTATAAACTCAAGTTTAAAAGGTAAATTGATTGAACAGTATTGGTTGTCTTGTCTCATCTTGAAAATGAAAAATTGAGAAAACTGACTGCTCTGCACGTGCAACAATAACTGTAAAAAAACAATCATGATTTTAAAAAAGTGAGGCTAGATGTGTAAAAAAGTGAAATGGACGTGTAGAAAATAAAGGCAACTGAAAAGCATACTTTTTTTTAAATCCAAATCATCAAAAGAGACAAATACCAAACAAAAATTTAAAAAGAGACAACTGACAACAAAGATGAACTCAAATGGATGATGCAAGACGATGTATCTGATAAAACAACGACAAATATTGTATTCTATAAAACAGAAATGGTCGACAAGAGGGTTTGTATGAATACGATTGGTGGAAATCTTATATAGCCAAAAGGTTTCTGTTTGTCGCTCTCTGTCCATGTGTGCGTGTGTGTTTGTGTGTCCGTGTGTGTGTCAGTTCATCAGTAATTCCATTTGCACCAGTCTTGCGTTGGTGTCTCCGGCCATGTTGTAGGGAATCATACCAGCAAAGGTGATCAAGGCTCTGGCCTGACTGCGGAGTTGCTGTTCACAGAACAAAAAGAAAAGAGGAAGCAGAAGAAATGTACAAAGAAATTAAAACACTGTAATAAGAAACTTCTTCCGTACATCTCATTAGACGCTGTCCGCATATTAATGGCAATACGTGGCAGTAGACATTTTCTCCTACAGACAGTAGGTTTTGCGAGTGTCCGTTACGGACTTTGTCTCCAAAGGTTTCATCGCGCCACACCAATTTGCAATGCCTCTCTTTGTCCCTCTGCTCGATCAGAGCCCTTCTTCTCACCATGTCCCTGTCCTCTGCGGTCCTTAGGGGTCGTCCCGGCGTGCCCGCTGGCGCCGCCTTCAGGCGCTTGTGTTGAGTGAGCAGGATGTTCATGGTGACCAACAGCACTTCGGACAGGTTGTGGCGCACCTGGAGACACAGAGAGCACTTTAAGAACCGAGCGAAAGAACAACGCTGTTTGTTGTGAGACAAAGTCTCCCACCTCGTCACTGAAGTTCCTAAAAGCAGCCACTCTCTCCTCCACGCTGTCCTGACTGAGAGGAAGGAGCTTCAGACGCTCCATCACCTGGTGGAGAAGCACAAAGAGGAATGTCATGAACAGAGGAGATTGGATTTACTGCTAAAAAAGGAGCATAGCGTCGAATACACAAGCGTACCATATTTTCCGCACTATCTGGAGCACCGGATTAAAAGGCGCACCTTCAATGAATGACCTATTTTAGAACATTTTTCATACATAGGGCGCACCGGATTATAAGACGAATAAAATACTGCAGTCAAACGTTTTACCTGGCTCAAAATGGTCGTATTTGGAGGATAATTATCGTGTATCTGGCAACATTGAGATCGGTCGACCAATGACTGTTCTCTCTACAGTCAGAGCTCATGCAAGAAGGTAGAACAAGGGAGACACCATTTCCAAAACTTAAGGGCGGAATAACTAGTTTGTGAAAGAGAGAAACACAAATATCCGATGAAGCAAAATCCTGGACGTTTTTGGAATCCTTGCCGGATGCATTTTTTATGTTCCAAAAGGGGACATGTCCGGGGAAAAGAGGACGTCTGGTCACCCTAACTGTAAGTAAGCACAGTATCGGTGGTTACTGACTACGGTAGCCGTAATGCTGCAAGCGGTGCGACTTTGTAGTTTACCAGTCGTACCGAAACATATTTATTATTATTGGTTTTTCATACTGAAACATTTTGACAGAGCGCATTGAGCGCCGTGTGCAACCAGTGTGGATCAACCAATTGATCCATATATAAGGCACTCCGGATTATAAGACGCACTGTTGTTTTTTGAGAAAATCAAAGGCTTTTAAGTGCGCCTTATAGTGCGGAAAATACGGTACTCACGTCGTAGGCTCTGTCCAAGTGACCTGCGTGGTACTCGTCAAAGAAGGTGGTCAGGTCCAGCAGCAGGTAGAAAGTACTATTGATGGACTTGTCTCCTGCGATGCCCTGAGAACGATACCTGTGGCGGAAAGAGGGAATGATTGCGTTTCATTTGTTTGGCTTTGAATTTGACTCAGAGTGCATGGCGCGTGCGTCCTACCTCTCGGCGATGGCCACTGCGGTGTTCTTTAGCCTCTCCTTGTTGGACTGAGGGGCGCTGACCTGAGCAACGACTGGACTCAGCAGCCTGTTCATCAGCTCCAACACCTTATCTGGGTTCTAGATAGAAACAAATGGAAAAACAGACAGTGAGACGACTCAAAAAACAAAAAACAAACGGCCGCATGTGGCGGCAGCAGCTTTGCAGGAACTTTTGGTTTGGTCCACACAGGCATAGAAGCACGGACAGCTCCGCTCACCTTGGCCAGCTCGAAGAGTTTGACCGCCTCCTCAAACAAGCCCTTGTTCTCGGCCTCCAGAGCCACTTTATTGATGATGGCTCTGGTGTCCCCGGCGAACTTATCTATGACTCCGGGCTGCAGGGAGGAGGAGAAAAGAACCGAGTGAGACTGGGAGTACTGAGGTTCTGCTGGTTGAGCAGATGGAACCGGACTGGAGTGGTTGGTTTGCTTCCAGCAACCAGAACACGAGATCAAACTAAAGCAAAGCAAGCCAGTTTAGAACAATCTGATAAAAGTCAATTTAGATGAGGATTCTTTTCTTCGTTACATCTGACATCCGATAGCTGCGCCGGAACAGCTTGTTTAAATTCAATAACTAATCAAGGTCTTTAACGGTCGCGATAACTTGCTCTTGAGTGATGATATTTTGAAAATTACCAGATTTTACCTATAAAAAAATCCATAATTATGCTCTATTAAAATGTTCAACCAATTTTAAACACTAAACCAAGTATGAGCAAAATCTAACTCCTTAGAAAAATTCCAACATGTTTTTTTAAACAAATTGTTGTTGTTAAACCTTCACAGCTCAGAGATGTTTAATATCAAAGTGCTTTTTTTCTAAACACTGTATCTGATTTACAGTAATTGGTCTGCTGATCGATCTGATTGATCACACGTCACAGTAGTTTCAAGTACACGATACATGACCGTTATAACGCTCTAAGGCATAAACTTATAGAACGGTCTCAAGTCAGATGTCTGTCGATGGAATGCACAACATTAAGGACGTTGCCTCAATAATGATTCAATCCAGCAAACAACAATCTTACAATCACATGCTGTTTAATATAAGGTCACCTAAAAGGTCTATTGGTGTAGAGGACTAGAAAGTTCCATTTAGCATCCAATTCACTCGCATCCTATTGCCTGATTCATTAATAGGTAGTTATCAGATTCATAAATAAGTTAACCAGTGTGTTTGTCACCGGGTGGAAGGAAACATACAAAATAAAATACTGTGAAAACATCTCACATATTTGTAGAGTTCTGCAGGCACGGTGAGCAATGTGAAGAACATTTGAAAGAAAAAGCTTTAAAGAAACATCGTGAAGATCTTTTGGATCCATGACAGCGGAACAAAGTGCCGCTGAACGTCAAAGAGTCAGAGAAGAGGAGCGACGGACAAAGAACGTGGAGCAGAGAGAGAAGTCGATGATGAAAGAAACACGGATCAGACGAGATGGAGAGACACAGACCAAAGACACTCTGCGTACCTTCCTACTGCCGTCCTTCTCTAGTCTCCCCAACAGCATGTCAAACTGTGAACAAGAAACATACCAAGTACAGACCTTGACATTATAGAAATGACATTATTTTTACTTACTTTGGTTTTGTTCAGTCTTAAAAAATGATCAAAGGTCTCTTCAAACCTCTATGTTATTATATATGTTATTATCTACAAATCAAAAAAAAAGTCCAAACAGGGTTCTACAGTGTTAAAAATTTGAATTATTGTATGTTTTTCCAAAATATTGAAATATAAATAAAAATTAATAAATTAATAAAATCTATTAAAAAAATCTATTCATTGGCTTAATTCAACCGTTTCACAAGTCAAGACGCATTGGACGAACTGCTCTCTGTAAACATGGGTCACTCACCTCACGACTCTCAATCACGAGTTCACTGACACAACGCATGAACATGTTTTCTCCCTGGCTGTCTTTCTCGTTGCTGCGGGACAAACAAATGTAGGAGGAATTAGAAACGGAGGCGTTGCGGTGAACATCGGTGGACCAGAACAAAAGCTGAATTCATGACATCTGTCCCTCACACACTGTTTGGTAAATGTCCATAATCTGCCAGTAGGCGGCGTTCACCTGACTGTTGGACTGAGGTCACTCACCGTAGGAAGTAGAAGTACTGCAGGGCTTCCCGTGGATCGGTGGACTCAAACTTGCGAGTGTAGAGCATGAGCAGGCAGATGAAGTTGAGGCGGCGTACCATGGGGGGGTCGCCAGGCTCCTGGCTCACTACGGACAACAGGTCAACGCATTTGGTTTCACTCACGCTCTCTTTCTAATTGGGGGGGGGTCACACTCACACAGCTGGGCGCTTTGTCCCGACGACTTCAGCAACAGCTGCAGCTCGTACAGGACCAACGCCACGTGCACCGCGTGGCTCCGGAGTCGCTCCACGCGAAACAAGAACGCCACCGCCGCCTCGAACTGAGCCGTCAGGAACAGCACCTGGAAATACAGGAAGGGCTGCTGGCTCGCTGAGAAGTGGGACTCTCCTGCAGGCCGGCAGATGAGAGGGAAGCAGTTGGTTCAGATGAAGAGTCAAAGTATCTCTACCTCAATTAAACCAGCACATTATTTCAATGTCAGATGCGTTTCGGCACATGTTATTCTTGAGAGCCGTTTGTAACTCTTTGTACTCTGGTAGTAACCAATTTGTTTATTCAGATGACTAACAAAGAAAAAAGAAATAGCAGCATTGTAAAATGACAACGTGAGGCGACAGAGCGGACATTGGTCTGATTCAGTGAAGACGTTGTCGTGGCAGTTCAGCCGAGAAGCCTCCACTGAGGAGGAACCAAGGGCAGTAGGAAATGAAACAGGAAAATGACTTGCTACCAAAAGCAAATCAAGCAGAACCAAGCAGTTGAAGTGAGGCATAAGACGACACAGTGCATCCGTTATGGAAGGACCTGTCAATCAAGATCCCGGTCTAATTCAGGGAAACAAATTGATTGAATGTCCTGTGTGGGTTTTTCAGCGCTTACCTGCGGTCGTTATGTACTTAAATGTATTAAGTGAGAATCATCATTTGGGAGGACAGGTGAACTCTTGCTCTACATGTGCCAAGTTAACTTTTGGCAGTCGCTATGGCAACAGACATGCAGGAATTTGAAAATAGGCCGTGAGGTGCAGGTATTTAGTCATCAAGTTTACTTTTTTAATTATAATCCTTAATCCTCTAGCTGGCTGAGGAGAACAGGGTGGACCACGTCAGCCATTTCTCAGCCTTATCTCAGACTGACAGCACTTCAGTTCAAAAAGGGAAAGCGCATGAGAGAGGAAGAGAGGGAGGGAGCAACGAAGAGGAAGAACAGGACGAAGGCAGGATAAGAGCGGGTGGTGGTGGTGGGGGTTGTGGTGGTGGCTGCAGCAAATTATACAAACAAGAAATGACACATGACACAGGAACACATGGAAGGAGTGAAACGGGGACATAAATCGGTGGGAGGAAAGGAGAGGAAACTGCAGTGCGGGTGTGAGGAGAAACAGGGATAAAGGATGAAAGGAGGAGAGGACGCAGCGAGCGGAGGAGAGGAGGTTTTGTTTTTGTGTTGGCATACATATTCTGTCTCCATACTATCTCAGGTTCAAACTGCACCATATTTTCATTAAATAAATTTGAGAAGTTGAGAATGTTCCTCGATTTGGGTCGCGGCTTGTCATTAATGGGTGATGGCGGGTCCCGGAGCCAGACCAGTTGCAAACCACTGGTTTAGAATGTAGAAATTTAAAAAAAGACCAAAAACAGGATGCAAATGGAGAAATGCTAAAGATTACTTCAGATACAGTCTTAGTCGCTCCGTACCGTAGTCCTCCAGCAGCTGTTTCTGCAGCTGCGGCAGGGTCAGTCGGTCCTGAGGAGAGCTGCTGCCGTCGTCATCAAAACACACCTGGTTCAACTGCAGGGACGACAACGCGGTACCGACTTTGTTAAACAAGTCGTGGAACTTTTAGTGACGATCAGTATCTGGGCCAGCGTTCTCCTCTGGCCACACATGTTTAAATAAACCCAGAAGAGCTTAATGAGGTGCACCGTACCTTAAGCCAGAGGTAGTCTTCAGTCTTGTCTGCCACCTCTCCGTGGTTATCGCTGATGTCACACTTCCCGATCAGGCAGTAGACGGCTCTCTTGTAAGGGTCGGCGCTGTTCCTCAGCACCCTGCGGTAGTGGAGGCGGAGCTTGTTCTCTAAAGTTGGAGAAAGGCTGAAAGGAGAAGATCCGGAGGGATAAACAATGAAACGGTTGGACCTCCTTTGACCGCCGCGCGCGTCTCATCATTCAAAGACAAGGGGAGCTCACCGTCTGGTTGGGCTGTTCATGTACTCCTGAAACCAGGTCTTAAAGTCTCCCAACTGATGCTGCACTCGGTTCACGACCTGCATGGCTGCGTTCAGGTCCCCACAGCGCAGACAGTAGTAGATCACCGCCCACACTGGGTGGCACTCTATCTCACCATCCTGAGAGGACACACGTTTAATACAGGGCTGGAAATACTCCACTGACTCCACTATGTCCCCATGTTGGTTTTCAAACATAAATCAAGCTCGCTCTCCAAAAACTCATCGTGTAGAGTTGTTGGTTGCAAACACAAGTGAAGATCAGGTCACAATCTGACTGTTAGTCTTGAAAGGTGCTCAATCACGTTCTGGATATTCAGCCCTTATATTATTATTATTATTATTACAAATACATGTGTGTTACCTGCATGCCAGGCAGAGGCCCCGGTAGTTTGATGTTGAGGAAGCTGCGGACTAGTTGGTATGTTCCTGGCACTCCCCCTAGTTGGGCCTGATGGAGGTTCCCAAACACCGTCACCAAGGTGTAGTTTTTATAACTAGGAGAGGAGACACAAACATCATTATCAGCCTAAATTTAAACCACCGTATCACCACTGATAACCTATGGAAAACAGCGACAAAAACAAGTCACCTGTTCTCTAGGAAGCCGAGCGCCTGGTGTACAAAAGCCATCTGCATTTCAACAGAGGTGCGACTTTTCAGAGTGTCTTTGGCCAGAACGAGCAACACATCCGTCATCTGCTTCACCATCAGCCACATGTCTGATACATTCTGCAGGGCAGAGAGGGGCCCGCAGCCGGTTACTTGAGGAAAAGGGGGCATGTCCTCTGGCAGAGTAGAAGTAAGCGGTGTCTTTGCAGAGGACAAAATATTTAGGTCTGAAAAACAACACTTTACACAGATTACCTTGTCGTCCAGGCTCTCTGCGACTGAAGCACACAAGTCTCCCAGATTCGGCTGAATGTGACCATTCACAATCTTCTCATTGAAAACGTAAATCTGGAGGAGGAAGACTTGGTTATAATAATGGAGAGGGAAAAATAATTGACAGGTTTTCCGGTTAAACGAGAGAATAATTCTCTTTTTGTTTTTTTTGTTTTAAATCGGCGTACAGCTCTATCCGTAACTTCAAAAGGTAAAAGCCGATATTAAGGCCATCGAGTGAAATGGTTCACGACAAAAAACAAGAAGAAAAGAATCAAAATGTTCGGAAGGTCATCGAAGAGGATTAAAAAAACGAGACAAATGACGCCGCATGCAATGTGTCGACACATCGTCAGAGGAAAATAAATAGTGCGTCATGCAGCAGAGACAGAGACAGAAGGTCAGACGGGATGATGAGGGAGGAGGGACGGGGAGACACACAGACACAGGGTGGGGGAGAGAATTACTCAAGAGTCCCGCTCGACCGCCCAATCAATCGATACGTTTGATCTCTGGCTGTGACCCAATTTTAACTGAACTAGCAGAGGGAACCACAAACACGTATTCAATTCAACGATTTTATTTTATTTATCGTGTGAACATTTCTCTGTTCTACAGCAAAATGATTTAAAAGATGAATCATGCTCATATCTATTAATATATAAATGGTGACATGTTTTTTTGTTGATTCACACATTTTGTTGAAACGCATCACATATTTAGTCAAACAATAAAAGCCTTGTAATTGTTAAAAAAAAATTAAAAATTAAAAAAGAGCGCCTCTGAGTTTTCTTGGGATGTTTTTCTCTCCATTAGTCTTCATCCAAGGTCTATTCCATGTTCAACAAATAGATCCTTCTGACATCAACTCACCTGCCGTCCGTAGGCGACCTCCACGCTGTCCAGAGCGCTTCTTCCTGCAGCTGGTACTTGACTCACAAAGCTCGGCTACAATAAAAACAGAGGCAGCAGATTGCTCGATAAATACGCTGCACAAGAAGCCTTGTTAATGAACTCTGATAAGAAACTGTTAATCTCATCTAATGTGTCGGCATCTTAACTGACTCTTCTTTCTTCATGCTTAATATTCTGCATTTTAAAGACCGTAATCAGGGCCTGTTGCCCTCACGTTATTCAGAAGCAAGATAAAAATAGTATCTATGAATCTCAGACGACATTGCTCTGGTTCGTTTAGATGAATGGGTAACTTGCTTTTAAGTACACATATTTGGCCAGGGAAGTTAATATATTATAATATAGATGTGAATAAATTAATTTCAAACAAAATTACACTGCCGCTCAATGATTGTTGCACAGAATATCTGCACATTAATATACTAACATAGCAATCTTCCACACGGTTCACAACTTAAGTCACTAAAACAAGGTCACTTATATTTGCACCATGTTGTAGTTTGAGTGTAAAATACAAGAAAGTAATAAATTCAATCTTCAATAAATTCAACTTCAAAAGTAAAATATCTTCTTTTAACTAGGAATCAGCTTAAACAGCGCCCCCATGAGGTACAGCGAGCACATCTCAGCAGGCAGAGTTTGTGTCTCTCTCTCTGCGGCGAAGACATTGTCCCCGAGTCTCCTCCTCCAGCGTCTCCGTCTCCCGTACCTCCACATCTTGACTGAAGTCCAGCGCGTCCTCTCCTGCTCCCAGTAGCGTGTGCAGCACTCTCTGCTTCACCTGCTCCCACTGCACCAGCATGGACTCCCGGTGGTACTCCTCAGCCAACAGGAACGTCTGCAACGGGAGCACGCCAGTAAATTAACTCTTTTGTGCAGTAAATTAACTGTTTCGCACAGTAAAGCCAACGTAATGCCAGCACTTGCAGGCTAGGAGCTATTATAGCATGATACCAATTTTTCATGTGCTTAATGTCCCTTTTAACCTTTATTAGTATTGATTAGAACTATTATTTATCACACATCAGCAAACTATGTTAAAATAAATTAGCTTTCTTTTCTCAAATAAATACAGTTTCCCCTCCTTGTCCTTTTATTTTTAGATAACTGCTCTGCTCGACATACATGTGGATGATTAGGGTCTAAACTAAACATTACACACCTCAGCAGGCCCATCTCTGCTGGTTTAAAAAACGAAATTTTAATCTCAGAGACATTTAATCTATTAAATACAGTGTGTATATGGCACACACACACCTGATTTAGCACCTGACCCATCGCGATCACGCCACTCGTTTAGGACACAGTGAAGTCTATTTTAATCTATTTTTAACATGTAGACCAGAGCAGCGTCTCCTTGGTTCACTTGTTCACTGCCTGAGGGGCGAAGCGTTTATGTTGCCTCACTAAAGTCTGTCAAAAACTATGATGGAATCCACATATTTCAGAGCAGAAAGGAAAAGATACATTTGAGGTAATTAAAACGAGATTATACAAATAGTTTGTGGTCCACAGAGAACTAAACTACGTTTTAATTGTAAAACGTCCCACTCAGTAAATATCTCTTTTTGCCAGCTGCCTTATAATCACATTTGAGCCATTCTCATAAAATATGCTTTAAGTAAGTTGAGTTTTTTTGTATTCGTCAAACATTTATACCCGTTTAAATGAGATCACATTCACGTCAAGCTTCAGAGACACTTTGACTAAGTACGTCATTCAGCCGGCCAACATTTAATGTGAAAAGCTACAGAAGTCGAGATGGAAATCTGCAAGAACAGCCGCTTTCTTCTTAATAAGTGCATTCGAGTTTCGCTTGCCTCCTTTTCCCGTCTCTCAGGAAGAGGAGCGATAATGGGAGCAGCAGCTAATTAAGAGGGAGGCCAATTAGCTGTGCACGTCAGGGAAGACATTTCAAACCATTCCCCCAAGGTCCACACCAGAAGGACTTCTAGACACGGGGCTTTAACCGTCTTTATATTGTGCTGTTCACACACATAGCTGAAAATTCATCCCATTGTGTTAAAACTAAATAGGAGGCAAAAACAGAACCACTGTTGTGTGGTTGTGATTGCGGAGTCTAATTTTGGCATTTTATCCTTCCAGATTTATACAATTTGACCTGTGAAGAAAGACAAATGTCTCTGCTCTGCTGCTCCACGCTGTAGGATTCAGACCGTCGACACCGAGCAGATACTGACCCTGCGTCGAGACTCCTCGATGGCCGACAGCAAGGCGTTGTCCCGCTCGTTCTTCAGGAAGCCCTGTGGACAAAGTGGGGACGGGAGGGACAGAACGCAGGAGAATATTAGCTGCAAAATTGGGGACAAAATGAGGCGGAGATCAACTGTGCAGATTTCTGGTTGGACGGATTAAGCGGCACCGTTATTTTCAGAAGCTTCTCGAGTCGTTTTTTTTCCCCCGCGACGTTCCTCGACACGTGCAGTCAGGATTAAGCAAATGTTTTACACACACACAATTTTGATTTCAGACAGCAGTCGTCCTCCATTTTGAAGTTATCTCAATGGCCACCATTGAACCCACATGAACCCCTTTCCTCTGGCCCGTCCTATGAAGTTTGTATTGATTTACACCAGACACACTGAAACGACTTCTCTTATACACATGATCTGAGGCTGTTTGGCGAGTAAGTGGTGCTCCCGGAACAGCTGGAGTGGTCAGAAGGGAACGCGTCACCGACATCTTGCGAAAGCACCAAAATGCCGTCTATGCTGCAAGTCATCTTGTTTCCTGGCAAATCCTGACAGGTCACAGGCAGCGTTGCACTGTTCAAAAACAACAACAACACAGGTCGACAGTCTTTTTCCTGTGAGGAGCGTTTTAAATGCAGGAAGGACGGCAGCATCGTAGCTGCGGATGAGTCAGAAAGCCACGGGAGGAAAACAAAAAGGAGCGGCGCGTCGTCGCTCTATTCAGAGGTATCGACAAAAAAAAACGCCTTTCCTGCAAGTCTTTGCCTAAAGAAGAACTTTAAAAAAAAAGACAATTGCCAGCATGTGATGCTTTTGTTGAACAATTTTGAGCGTGTAGATAAACATGCGTTTCTTAAATATGCAAGAAAGTCACACAATGAATTCTCATAGTTTACATAAAGATCCTCTTCAGTTCGTCGTGGCGCAGGGGTTAGAGAAGGTGTGCTGGGAAGCACAAGGTTGGTGGTTTGAGTCCAGGCTGCCCCATGTTCCATGTCGAAGTGTCCCTGAGCAAGACACCTAACCCCTAATTGCTCCCTGGGCAAAAATGTGAAAAGGCCATTGGTTTAAAGCGTCTGCTAAATGACCTGTAATGTAATGTAATGTAAAAAACATCGTTATCTCACTAAGATTACAACATTTTATTTCACTTCTGACATTTTTGCACCGTATTATTTTAGCGTCCTAAGAACGTCGGAAGCTTTCAGCTCGCGCCTGGTGATCATTCTCTCTTTCGTCACTCAGCATATATTTCATTTCCTATCTTTCCTTCACCGGCCTGTCGTTGCGTTCCCCTCTCCTGCTCTTCTTCTGGAAACAACGTTGATAGCAAAGCAACCGATAATGACTTCATTGAAAGCTGGTCGATGCCAGAGACACAAGGCTGGAAGACCTTGAGCTCCATCTTGTCGGGTGCCGGTGGGCAGCAGTCCACTAGACTCCAAACGGACCGGTAATGCGTATTTAAAATGAAGGGAAAAGCACTCCAGTCACAGAGAAGCTCTAACAGAGAAAGATAGATCGCTTTATTGAACTGGGATCGGTTCTACTGGTTTCCTGACGCAATATTAAATCTGCTGAAATCAGAGGTGACTTCAAATCTGTGAGGGTCATTTCACCTTTAAAGTTGGCATAATTTATTATTTTAATAGCTGGAACTGAAAAGGTTCAAATGCTTTGAACAAATATAGTCTATTTGAATCAATTAAGTTTCTCTCTCATCAACACTTTCTTTCCCCAGGAGATACAGAGAATACAGCAGGTCTATTTCTGACTACTGCAACCAGAGAGCTCAGGTCAACGCTCACTGGGGAGCTGCACTGGGAAGAGAAGAAGAAGAATAGAGGCTTGTGGGATACGTGTCCTACAGGAGCACATTGGACGGCATTAGTCTTTGGTGACGACTGACTGACACAGTTCAGCTTCATCGTTGTCATTTAGTCGACCGATTCCAGCTGCACTGCCAACAGCGTTCACGCTGCAACATTTTTGTCCTAAATGTGAATTAATAACTAATAATAAACAGCTGTGGAACATGTGACAAAAAAGTAAAGGATCTTCTCTTTTCACAAGAAAGTCCCTTTTGCCGCGAAATATTTCTAACAATTCCGAGAGAACTCTTTACGACAAGATGTTACTAAACAAATAAATAGACTCCCCCCCCCCAACCTACTGTCACAAACCTGGATGAATCGTGTCCACTTTACTAAATTAAAAGAGGATCCATCAGAAAAGGCACAACATCGTCGTCGTTAAACGTCAAAACTGCTGCCTTTGGATCTTGATTTACATTGAACGGTTGAAAGAAATTGGCACGTTATTTATTCTCACACACGGTACCCAGAATTTAATGGATGATGCTTTAACTATCCTTTTTTTGGTTTTGGTTTCAGTTAACACCAATTTAAAAATAACATTACATTCCAGCATGTGGCACAACGGCACGCGTATCAGTTTCAAGCATCAATTCAGTGCGATAGGTGTACCTGAAGATGGATTTTCCCGTTGCCCCACCCCTGCATCGTGATCTGCAGCCCACTGTGAACACCCACAGCCTGCCGGCCAGACGGCCCACGTCTCACACAGCCACAAAAGAAATACAATAATGAGTGATAAATCAGGACAACAATTGTGTTAAATAACCGGGGGGGAAGAAGGTGGAATCGAGGACTAGTCTGCCTTTCATTTGAAAACATACAAGATGGAAATTAAACCCTTTTTTAAATGATCTCTAATCATCATTCCTGTAAAGTATCTAATTCATGTGAGAGCGCGTCTTCAAATATGCACCTTCACATGCATGGGTGGATGTCCGCATTCTCCCTGCCGGCACTCACAGGCCTTCAGCCCGGTCAAGATAGTCTCTCACCACATGAAGAGAAACCAGCTACTACGATTTTTTTCCACCCTTCTTGATCTATGACATATGATTGGTCAATAAATGGTCTCGAGGAATCAAAAGGCTAGATGAGGACACAGCCAAAGAGCAGTTAAAGGGCAAATGGAGCCAGCGAGCCGTATTCTCTGTGCCAGTCATGGTGAACGTACAAGACGGAGGCTTTCTGTCATTTGCAATGACACAATGACAGTGTGTGTTTATGAGTGTTACTGTGTGTGAGTGACTGAGAAAACCACACCCTTCACTTTATGTGCAACATAAAACCTACACACAAAGTACTACGGAGCATACACACACGTGTGCGTCTATATACTGAAACAATCGTTGCCGTGTCCGTGCCTGACGGCGTAGCAGCAGAACCAGGGAAGAGATGGACAGATAAGAAAAAAAAATACCTGTGACAGGCAAAGCACATGCCTGTGTGTGAGTGGGTGCGCATGTATGTATATGTGGATGGGCAATACTCACTCATGCTGAGCTCCTGCCAGCCTGGCGGCAAATGAGAAGACAGGATGAGGAGAGTCAAAAATAAGAAAAAGTAGGGTTTTTTTTGTTTCTTTGTCTGTGCCAAGGTATCTGCTCTTTGACAACATGGGAGACATCCGCCCCCCCCCCTCCTCTGTCTCTCCATCCCACCCTGTTGCTGCGCCAGGGCAGCGGCGGACGCCATGGTGCGGCGTGTTCTCTGCGCCCCCGTCGAGCCGGCATGTTGCTTCGCTTGCAGCCTCCCCCCCAGCAGGGCTGCTGACTCCAGAGCACCGAGCGAAAGTGCCACATTGAGACTCATCGGAGGTGGTTTTATTGTCAGAGGGCCGTACCAACTGAGCACTCAGACGCGGGGGGGGGGGACGCCCAAGAAGAAACTATGGATTCATATAGAATATCACTCCTACCATCAGCTGGCACCCCCCTCCCCCTCCCACCACCACTCTTCCCCATCCCTCCTCCACTTCATCCCAGCATCTCACAGCCTTCCGTGTCCCATTTTTCTCCCTTAATCCCACTAATTTTCTTGTTTTATCCATCTGTACATCTGTCGTTTCTTCCCTCCCTCGCTCAGCTCAATGCAATTATAGTAATGGACCCAAACCCGCTTGGTTGATGCTTCCGACATCCTGTCTGTGAAATGAATTGTTCTTTTAAGGGTCATGTTTTGTTAATGCAGGCTTTGGGAGGCACATTTGGGGAGGTGGATGATGGGGCCATTCCCATATGTGGGCCCACTATTACAGCACACAGAAAGCACGCATGGTTTCACATTCACGACTCTCTACTTGCAGACTTCTGCACATGACACACACTTCTTAGCCCACGTCATACAGCGCACACATGCAGCCTGACACACACACACACGCGCAGCCCGACACACACACACACATGCAGCCCGACACACACACACACACACACACACCCTGTGAAGCTATGTCAGCGTTGTTCGTCTATCCCAGCAAATGCACTGGGCTTAGCCAACTGCACCCGCTGAACGCATGCCATCACTGCTGAGGGGTGTGTGTGGGTGTGTGTGTGTGCGCGTGTGTGTGCATGGCATTGGGAGGGCAGGAGAAAAGAAAGACAAAAGGATGTTAATGGAAAGGGGAAGACAGAGGATGTTAGGAAAAGCAAAAGAGAAAAGCAGAGTGATGTGAGGCACCGGATGATAGAGAGAGAGAGAGAGAAAGAGAGAGAGAGAGAGAGTGAGAGAGAGAGAGCGAGAGAGAGAGCGCTGGCAGAGAAAGATGGAAACAGTGAAAAGTGAGACGAGGACACGGAGACAGAAAAAAAAATGCCTGAGCCTTCCACTTCGACGGTTTATGTGTTTTTCATTTGGCCCCTTGTTACCTCCTCTTTTCCCTCGGTTTCAGCCTCTTCATATGTTAGTCATCCTGCTGTGTTTAACATTGTACACAATATTTAATGACGCATAAAACAAATACCCAAGATTGCCAAATACCAACTAAGACGACATCGACCATGACGTCGACAGACACAGAGAACATACGACGCGAATGCCAAACCTGCTAGAGCATCAAACAAGGTTTCAGGAAGGATATAAACCGTTTACTAGGTAGTGCAGATGACCCCTGCTGGAACCTAGTGTGCATCCATCTAACTCCATGTTTACACATGCATGGCCTTGAACCATACATAACGAACACAAATCTGTGAATATAATCACAGTGCAAATGATCCCAAAGTCCAATAGCACTGTTGGACTGACAGGTTACACCGGAGACGTGTGTCTTTTTCTCTATGTTTTCTTGTCAAAATCATAAATGACCCACAGTAATGTGCTGCTTGTCCCCGATGGCTCAGTAGGAGATGTAGGTGTGTAATGATCATAGATGTCTGGGAACGTTCGCCCAAATCTTTTTTTTCTCCCTTTAATCTAGTTACCTCCTTTCAAATTATTTAGAATGAGGCAGCATTTGCATTTTATTGGATGGCTAACATTCACTAGGACACAGTCTCTGAAAGTTGTGCCTGTAGCTTTTCAGATTTAGAATCAGAACTTGTTTTGACCAAGGAGTTAAACATCAATCCCGTAGCGAGTTGCCTTCTTGTAATATCTCCGCTCTGTGTAGTTGGCTACTTGACGTGACTGAAACTCTCCTAGCGGGCTGTAAAGTGGAGATGTGAAGGAGGAATCACAGGGCTGCAATGCTGCTCGGTGTCGATAAGAACAACAAATCAACACAAGCTGCCTGTGTTGTGCGACTCAGTGAGATTAGAGTCGCAAATTGGTTACAATTTTCCACTAGGCGTGGACTGCTTGCTTATCACCTTATGATCTTAATTAGAAAAACAAATGCTCAAAGTATCAGTAGCCGGCTTATTAAAAGTCCACTCACCTCTATTTTGGTCTTCCAGTCAGATGCTGAGTGACCAGCTAAGTAGCAACCGTTTGTAACACAACACATTCCAAATATTTCTACTGGGACTTCATTTTGTATATTTTTTATACACTGTCCCGATAAGATGTCCATTGTCTTTTTTTAGGACGTCATTTGTGGTGTTTCAAGTTGTTTTAACATAAAATATTGAAACTACATATCAGTGTACATTAGTCCAGTACAAAGTTTGACATCAGAATATTCTTAAACCAAGGTGAAACGTATTGTCGGGGGGAAAATGTTAATTTTGACTCTGAAAGGCTGATGTGACGCAGATGTTGAGGCTTTTCTTTTAAAGCCCCATTATGCATTTAGTCAATGGCCGTGGTTTTAGCAGAACTAGATCTTCTTACGGTGTTCGCTGCAACGATGTTTGTTTCACAATCAGTCCCATAAAGTATTATTGGCTACATGAAGCCGAAGAGGATGAGCTTCGGATACTATGTAACTATCTAAAAAATATATATAACTTGTTCGAATGGAGCCATATTTTTTTTTCCTTCTGTAATACAGCAGAGCAATAGTCTACTGAACGATACTTTGCGCATTTCTTCTAAAACGAAACTTGGTAATGTACGGTCCTTATAAACCAATAAGGCCAAAAGATCAAGAGTAGAGAGTAAGTGTCTGTCTGTCACTGTGTGAGTGTGTGTGTGTGTGTGTGTGTGTGTGTGTGTGTGTGTGTGTGTGTGTGTGTGTGTGTGTGTGTGTGTGTCTCTGTGTGTGTGTGTGTGTGTGTGTGTGTGTGTGTGTGTGTGTGTGTGTGTGGTGCCAGACGCTAAGTACTCCTCCAATCAGTCAGTCAAAAGCACCCAAGCCAGCGTACATCCGGCTGACCAAGATAAATGTGCAATGAGTAAATTCCCATCCATGTGAAACCATTGTGAATATTTTTACTTTCCAATATCCAACTCTATTTCCCTTCATACACTTCCACTCCATTTTACTAGACATGTGAAAAGTCTTTACCATCACAATCAAAGCGTAGCCGTGACAGTCATGTATCGTGTATCACGTATCGAAAGGAAAAGCCTCTCAGAAATACCTTACATGAAATATATAAAAAATATAACCAAAAAAAGCCTATCAACCCTGACGCTTATTTTCAGCCGGGAACAATGTACTCATTGAGGTTTGTAAACTTGCAGATCTTATCATCTATAACTAAATGACATTAATACCGTGACATTAAAACAAGTTGTCTTCCCTTTCAATCTTGGGAACGCAATCTCCCCGCAAGCCAATGTTCCAACAATGCAAGCTGAGCCAAAGATGGTTCCTTCCTTATTCTCTGTTGTTGTGATGTCTGAACCAAGCATTCTACCAAAAAGCCCTCCACGTTGGTGAGTATCTCTTTGACGAAACAAGCTATAGCACAGGTGTTAAAAGACCACAAAGCGAGAACCCAGTTGGACTCATGGCCTGTGAGGCCGTTCATACCTGTATGTCAGTGTCTTTTACCGGTTCCAGGGGCTCAAAGGTGGTGGCTGCACTAAGACTTTCCAACCTTTGAGAGATGTGGAAGATGTCTAAACCTCTGGAACCGAGGAGGATTGACCTGAGAGTAGGAAAGAGAGGTGGTGAGAATTCATTAATGTAATGAAAGGATAAAACTGAGCAACAGATTGACTGTAGTTTTGCTTGACAACCACTAGAGGTCACAATAAGCTTTGATAGGATTATAGCAGTACTACAAATTGAACAATCAAGAGAGCATTATATCCAATGGTTTAGTATGTCACCACTTATAAAAATTACAACCCATTATTGGAATAAAAAAGGTGAGTGGTAAAATGAAATGACTGTTTATTTTACAGAAGCAGATGGATTAGATCACAGCCTCTATGGGTTTTGTGAACACTATGAATAGGTGCATTGGACATATTCCTTACGCTTTCACATCGGCAGCATCTTGCGAGGTGCGGGTCAGGGTGCGGGATCGAAGCCGCTCTCCTGCCTGCTGGATCTCCTGGAGGTTCCTCTCAACATGCGGTAGCTCCGATACTGCTTCTGTCTCAGCAGCTAGCTGCTCTGCCTGCAGCAGAAGCTCCCCGAAACCCTCTGCATCCATTCCTCTAAAGAGAGAAATGTGTGAGTAAAGACAGACATTATAGTAATCAAAATAAATCTGGGAGAACAGTTGGACAGTCACTCAGCTTTTCTTTCTTGTTTAAATTATGTGCGGCAGCACATTTGATTAGGCATGAACTACTTGACTTTGAGCAACACTTTGAACATTTACAGGAATACTGGAGGCATAGTCTTGTTTATTGTTCTATTCATAAAACAAAACAACAACAAACAAGAATTACCTAAATGAATACTGAATTAACTAAAAACATTTTATGTGCTAGGACAGATGCAACAACAGACAGAGCCCTAAAATTGGAAAACTGAAGACAAGGCTTAAGGCAGAAAACCCTTAAACCAAAATAAGGCATAACTAAAGACGGCCTGGCAGAGCATCAGCAAGGAGGCTACAAAGTGTCTGCTGCTGTATGTTGGTTGCAGATTTCAAGGACTCATTGGCTGAAGAAGTCACATGACTAACTGTAACTAATCAGCTTCATGTTTAACCTGAAAAGGGTAGCAGGGCCGAGATCCTCCTTGTGGCACTGGCACGCAATGGCACTCAGTGGCTCTCATTGGCACAGCTCGTGGCACTCAGTGGCTCTCATTGGCACAGCTCGTGGCACTCAGTGGCTCTCATTGGCACAGCTCGTGGCACTCAGTGGCTCTCATTGGCACAACTCGTGGCACTCAGTGGCTCTCAGTGGCACAATTTGCGGCAAGTAAGGGGCGGGCGTCGCAACACCACACCGAGTGGGCCGTTGTTTGTGCGACAGGTTAGCTGCCGTAAATATTTTTTGTAGTTCTTTTTTATTTCATTGCATGTTTTTGTATTTATTTTATTTTATTTGATACACTACATATTCCCCACATCTCAAGTCCGACGTATTCCGCTGGGGGGGTTGGGGGGAGGGGGCAGAGACGGGGGTGTTCCAACGGGAGGGATCGGGAGGGGGGCTCGGCGGTGTTCCACGAGAGGGATCGTCGGTGTTCCGCGGGGGAGGGATCGAGAGGGATCGTCGGTGTTCCGCGGGGGAGGGATCGGGGGGGATCGGCGGTGTTCCACGGGGGGATCGGCGGTGTTCCACGGGTGGGGGATCGGGAGGGAACGGCGGTGTTCCACGGGGGGGGGGGGGTGTAATTCAGTGGCAACAGTGGCACTCAATGGCACAACTCGTGGCCACAGTGGCACATCAGTGGCATAACAATAAGCATGCATACATATATATATATATATATATATATATATATATATATATATATATATATATATATATCCTTCCTGACAGTCTCTGCGTCTCATTTAATTCTTCTAATGGTCCCACTTATGACAACTTTTTTTACTCTATTGATTAGGCAAATATTTATGCTTTCATGTGTAACTGAATTTCTGTTCCAATAGTACTTTTCATTGAAAACATAACAGAATAAAATAACCTTAAAAAGAGTATTTTTGGAATAAACTCTGACATCTAGAGGTATTATTGTGGCAGCTTGGATATCCTCTGACAAGTGGCAATAGGACAAATAAGTGCAAGCCCTAGAATAACAAAACAACTTGCTCAACAAACCCAATAAATTGAAAAACAAAACCCCACTCGAGTCAATAAAAAACAAGAAACAGCTCGGCAGCCTCTCGGATCGAGTGGCGCTTGGAGGACGCGTAAAAGGTTGCCAATGAATTGCCAGAGTGGCCACTGATGTGCCACTGTGGCCACGAGTTGTGCCATTGAGTGCCACGAGTTGTGCCATTGAGTGCCACTGAGTGCCACGAGTTGTGCCATTGAGTGCCACTGTTGCCACTGAATTACACACCGCCGACCCCCCCCCCCCCCCCCCCCCCCACCCCCACCCGTGGAACACCGCTGATCCCCCCGATCCCTCCCCCGCGGAACACTGCCGATTCCTCTCGTGGAGCACCGCCGATCCCACACCCGTGGAACACCGCCGATCCCCCCCCGCGGAACACCGCCGATCCCCCCCGCAGAACACCCCCGTCTGCGCCCCACTCCCCAACCCCCCAGCGGAATACGTCGGACTTGAGATAGATGTGGGGAATATGTCGTGTATCAAATAAAATAAAATAAATACAAAAAACATGAAATAAAATAAAAGAACTACAAAAAACATCTTTACGGCAGCTAACCTGTCGCACAAACAACGGCCGTTTCCGGGAAAGCCTGGCTCCGCACACTCGGGGTGGCGTTGAGACGCCCGCCCTTTACTTCACGCGAGTTGTGCCAATGAGAGCCACTGAGAGCCACGAGTTGTGCCAATGAGAGCCACTGAGAGCCACGAGTTGTGCCAATGAGAGCCACTGAGAGCCACGAGTTGTGCCAATGAGAGCCACTGAGAGCCACTGAGTGCCACTGCGTGCCAGTGCCACAAGGAGGATCTCGCTGTCTCTCGCACTTTAACCATGACCACAGCTGCATTTCAGATCCTACGGTGAACAAGGAAATTGTGTAAATTGAGACAAAATAAATATAAGCGCAAATGGACACACAGAAATAAAAGGACTGATTCACATTACAACAAGGGTCCCTGATTAAGACACGTTATTTGGTGCTGCTCTATATATCTGGTCCCCATCACTCTTGTTGTCAATTCTGTGCTTCACCACCTGACACACAGAAGTCATGCCAATACAATAATAATTCAGTTTGCATGACGTTTGCTCGACACTCGATTATTTCAATACGACGGTTTCCTGTAGTAATCTGGTCGATGACTGAACCAGTATGTAACATATACACAAACTTGACCATTGCTGTAAACCATGACATTAAGAACATCTAGAACAGATGTAGAAACACGCCAAAAAAAACTGAAGATACTCCGTTTATCCCGGATATAAACCGATACCACAACACCTTTTGACAGCTGACATAAACAACATCACAACTGCTGCGCGCGCTGCGGTGGTTGTTGAGTTTTGCGTTAGCACAATGCTAACACTTCGGCTAGCTAGCAGCACAGAGTAGTCACAACTAAGACGACAGCGTCGTGCCCCGACGGTTTGCTACACCAGTTTGCTTTGTGTCAAAACGGATGGCGCTACATAGTTAGCTAGCAAGAGGCTACATGGCTAACGCTCTCTCGCACGCTCACAACTGGTTGGATTTTTTAAATCTTTTAATTCGGTCGTACGCCGTTACAGGCAGGCACGCTTCATACCTGCTGTGTGGAATTGACGTAAATACGGTCCTGTCTGTGTCCCTCGAGTGAATGTGTTCACAGTTTACTCAGTTTTGCTAAGAAGTAATAACGTTAACGTGCAACATGCATGCATTGTTTGCCCCGGCACTTCTGGAGCCGATGCTGATTGGACGACAGTTGGACCGGATGTTGTTCTTCTTCTGCATTTTTCGAGATGTGATAAACCGCGTTGCTCTGCCAGCTGGGCGGGAGGACAAACAGTCCGACCACAGACTGCGTGAGCGCTCAACAGTGAAGTGGTTTAAGACAACTTTCTCCTGAAATTAACATCTTTTATTTGTTTGTTTCCTTTTTAATGTTAATTACAATACTATCTAAACATGTACTTGGCAAAGTTGAGATATTCAAACTGTGTTTTTGCAATACAATCGAACACGTGAACCGTTAAACCATTGTGTCTTTTTGTGAGAACAATTAACAACCCTAAAATTGGCACATAGATTCCTCATGGAGCCAACCTATCAGAGCTATGGCAAATTATTCAGGTCAACATGGCACCTCTACTTTGAGCTGAACAGAACATGTGAAATAAAAGGTTTATATGAATGCAGGGTAAAGCACAACACAGGCTTATTTAGGGTTTATTCAGGCTCAAAGGTTTTCATCTTTGGAGCAGGAACATATACTGCAGGTATGGCTTGGGGATGGTTACGTACAGAGGACTGATTGTTTACCCTCATGGGACCCTCATAATGACAGAATGTCCCAGCGCCCCTAATCTCGGCTGACAAGATGTCTGCCAGCTGAGGGTAGCAAAAACCTAGAATAGTACAGCCTTATTGATATCATGATACACATTATTTGCAGCCCAACAGTAGTCTTTCTTTGTCTCAGTTGAACTGAGTGTATCTACTGGCAAAAATATGAAGATTAAGATTCTTGTGTCCTCATCCCAACCCTTGTTTTGTGAGGGCTAAAGATTTACACCAACACAGCTCTGCAAAATGGTGAATTTACTCTTCCATGCAGCCCAAATGTAAAGAAGTGTCACTCTTCCTCAAACATGCCCAATGCAGCCTTCCACTAGCTACATCACTCCTGTAAATAAAAGTGATATGTTAATGCTGAACAATTGATGGGCCGCCACGTGCACAACCACCTTTTCATAACACTAATTTACTTCAGCCCTTGTAGTCAAATGAGAGCAATCCACCGACTGCAGCGTGACTCACAAAGCCCAGATGATTGATGAATGATGCTTCTAGGCTCCAGGCTCTTGCTTTGTGAGAACAGCAGTCATGCGGAGCCAAAGCGCCGGTGCTGCACTTCATCATAGAACAAAGGACATGCAACAGTTTTGAAGGTTGAATGAAGGTTTGTCCTGCTAGAAACATTCCACATACTATAAAATACAAAGAATAGTTACAGGTTTTAGACCGTTTTGTTCTCTCAATCCTGAACCAATAGTCAACCATTGCTTGTCCTTTGTTTCACGATAAGGCGATAAATTCTGCTGACACACCGATAAAAAAGTGGACACCAAGAAGTCGTAGTTACTTCCTCAACATGACGTTACACCAGGTGAAGGAATGTCACCTTTGCTACGTATAATCCATTGACCATTACAAGCTAAACAAATACAGCACACCCACGTTAGGAAGAGATATTTATTTCAACATTGAAGACAAGTACGAAACATAGTTATCTGTAGACATTCCCAATTAACAAGTTAATGATGTTCCAACTGCCGCCATCTCATGTCAGAAGAGGGCTGATGCTGCAGGCTCCTCACTGACAGCAGCTGGTGTCGCACGTCTTCCCTTTGCAGACGCAGCCAGAGGCGCATTTTGTGCAGCCAGTCGGGCAGCAGGGGCAGCAGCCTGGAACAAGTCACGCATTATTCAATCTGGCAATTCATCAATCAACAGGAGTTCCAGGGAAATTACAGACCGTCGCTGAATTACACACGGAATTGGGTTGTTTTAGGGGAGTGACGTTATAACACACTTCATACAGTCACCCTGGATGGGAGTTGGATCCCAATAATGTACTCGAAGTAACGAGCTCGCTTGCCTCACTTTTCTTGCAGGTGGTGCAGGAGCAGTTTGTGCACGAGCAAGATCCTCCGCAGTTGCAGGTTCCACCTGCCACAGAAAAAAGAAGACTGACTGCAAAGTTTTCCTGCATTCAGTAGGTTTTTTCAATGGTTTTCAAAAGACTGCTAAGATGTGTTTTATTTCCAACACAAGACTTTGACAATCGCTTCTTAGAATGTATATAATCTTATAATCTTTCACAAAAGGTGAGATAGAAAAGTGCACTCTCATCACTTATCCTACCCATGATGATCTCCTCTATGCCGCCAATAACAGCATCAAAAGCTGCAGCTGAAACAGAGGAACTGAAGAAAGACAACAAAAGATAAATGTCATATAGCTGAAAGGTAGAAGTGGGCATATTTATCTATACTAACTACATGCAGTGTACCACTATATTACAGGTCTGTATTAACGTAAGTCTGCTGTGTCTAGAGGACTATACAGGGCGCACTGCCCTCACACTCCTTTTGAGATTTGGAAATAAATGCTCGTAAGTGAAATAAGTGTAAAGCCCCAAATTAAAAAAACGAATACAATCTAAAGACAGCAGATTGGTACACAAATATTCAATTATTTTTGCCTTTGCATGTCTCTTAAAGCACAAGCATGTCTCTTTGTTGAGTTGGGTTACTCGCATTCTTGCAGCTAACGTTGCATTCGGAGGAAAAGAGCGGACGATTCAGATGAGCCATCTTTAGCTGTCTTCGGCATATTTATTTTAGGAGCTGCCGCTGACACATCAGTCTCAAGGTCAGACAGCCTTCATTACTTCTTCATATAAAACGGCAAAACATTTTGGGACAAACAAAATAGCAATGCAAACGAGTGCCCCCTTGTGGCTCATGCACAACACAGATCAGCACTGTACTACACCATCACCACAACTGAGGACATAATGAACATATCCCAACACCCCCACTTGTACTCAGATTGCTATCTTCTTAAGCAAAACGAAAACAACAAAAACAGAATGAATGTGGACTCCTGTCATACACATATCAATCTCCAAAAAGAGGACCTGCAAACTTCTTCAGTTTCAACTTATTCACAGGTTTGGTCATTACATCAGCAATCATGTTATCAGTAGAACAATACATCAAAGTCACTCTTCCCTCATTCACAGTTGACGTGATAAAGTGATACTTTATGTCAATATGTTTACATCTTCGTCTGTTTACAGGGTTTTTGGCGAGAGCGATTGTTCCCTGATTGTCCTCATGTACTACAGTTTGTGTGTACTCATAGTTGTCTATACCTTCCAGTAACTGTTCTAGGTATAGAAACTCTTGTATGGTTGATGCCAGTGCCATATATTCTGCCTCGCATGTGGATAGCGTGACAGTAGGCTGCTTTCTAGCCTTCCACGAGATTAGAGAGCTGTCCTGACTAAGGCTCACACAGTATCCTGTGGTACTGCGTCTATCACTGGTATCAGCCGCCCAGTCGGCGTCACTGTAGGCCTGTATACCTAGTTCCTCACTGTTGTTTCTCCTAAACCCTTTTTCTGCTGTGCCTTTGAGATACCTAAGTACATGCTTCACAGTGATCCACTGTTCCTCTGTAGGCTCAGCAAAGAATTGTGACAACCTGCTCACAACGAAGCTTAAATCTGGTCTGGTGCAAACAGTCAGATATATAAGACTTCCCACAGCCTCTCTGTACATCCTGACATCTTCCATCTTTACTGCACCCTCAGTATACACCAGCTTTTGCTCACAGGGTGTTTCTCTTGGTCTACAGCAGCGGTTCCCAAACTCAAGAATGCCGCGGCCCACTTTGAAATCTGAAAATCTTTTGCGGCCCACCCAAACCTTTAATCACAACTCTGATAGCATTTCATTTTACTTTATTTTATTACTTGTGCACTGCTGTCTTGTCTGTCTACTGTCACGCACCAACCGCCAAGACAAATTCCTTGTATGTTTGGCATATTTTGGTAATAAATGTTTCCTGATTCCTGATCAAAACATAAACTAGGGATGATTAAATGACCTTAAGAATTCAACCGATTCAAAATGTATTAACCGGCAATGTATGTTTTGTATACCATTTTCTCCGGAGCTCATGTGCCGTGTTTTCCGCACAATAAGGCGCATAAGATACTGCAGTCTATCAGCGCAAATCACTGTCAAAATTCAAGAGCGCAAATCAGGTTGATGCGCGTGCGTAAATCAAACATCCGTCAGGAAAAGTCCGTCTCGAGCGAGGTATTTGCTCGCTTGCGAGACGTGAACTTGCGAGGAGAATCTCTGCTCGCGCTCGAAGGAGTTTTCTACGCGGTTGTTCTTTCTGACAGTAAGGGGACGGAGCCAGTCACATGGTCTCTACACCTGATTGGTTACAAACCCCGTCTGTGGATTGGCTGGAGCCAAGACGGTGGAGACGGTGCTTCCAGGGTCCGATCGATACTGCGAGGTGCGTCCCCCTCGCCATCCACGCCTTAAATCTTCGGCAGCTCTCCAGCCACGCCGCCTACCAAGGGCTCCTTTTAGAATAACTTATTTTCCCCGTTAAGATGGTTCAGCTACTGCAAAGAAAAGGGCACTGTCTCTCGCTCTTTAATCTCATGAAGTGCTCGGCAAGAACGACAGCTTTGTTTCTCCGACGCGCCCTGAAACAAGCTCCATATCTCACGCGCTTGAGCGCGTCTCGCCGTCGTAGACGAGCTTTGGCATGTTTGGCAGAGCGCCTTGAGCGCCGTGTACAACCAGTATGGATTAACCAATCTGTTCGTTTAAATTGTTTGTGGTTCATCAATTAATGTTTCACATAACTAATGTGCAGCGTCATACATATTTTTATATTAATTTCAAACTTTTCAAAATTGAAAATTAAAAACTTTTTATTTATTTATTGTAAATGACCTCTCGCGGCCCACCTACAGTACCTTCGCTGACTCCATTGCTCCCACATAAGTCTGTGGAATGCCACATACGGCTCTACAGCAATTCAGCAATCGAATTTTCCCTGAATACAAACCTCACACTCTTGCTCGGGTCTGCCTGTTTTGACTTTGATCTGCATACCTTCAACAACGTTCTGCAACTTAAAAACGTCGTCATAGTTACAGTGACCCAATATCTTGTGCCATGTCTGTATGTCGTGACATGCGTTACACTTATCATTAGACTCAGCTTCAGTGTGCAAAAAATACAACCTTCCGTATACGTGAATGTTAAACCTGGTACCGTCTCTGGCTATCAGGGCGTCTTTATTTTCTTTAAAGACAACCGTAGCCCCACTGGTGGTCGCTGCCTTCACAGAGAAGATGCTCTGGGGGTACGACGGTACAAACAAAGCGTCTTTCAGCACCGCCTTGCGTCGCTGTCCTCCGCTATCGATAAGGGAAAGCTCATCATTTCCCCTCCGCTGAGCTATCCCGCTGCACCGGGTGCCGTCTGCCAGCTCGACACCGTGCGTTTCCGGCCTGAACGCGCAGTCAAAGTTCTTGAACATGGTTATGTCCGTGATGATATGAGAGGTAGCTCCTGTGTCCACCATCAGAGCCTGCTGGATGTTGCATGGCGGCTGCCGCTGGGTATCGTTCTCACCGTCTCTCATCTTGAACATGTAGTCTTCTGCGTCTTCTGAGACTTTACTCGCACCATCCTTTGTGCTCTTACTGTCCTTGTCCTTACGCCTACACGTGGCGTCTTTGTGTGTGTCACTTCTGCAGTGACTACACCATAATACTCTCTCAATATTGCCAAAGCTTTTCTTCCATTGTTGGGTGCATCTCTCATAACTAATGATAGACTTTTGTCGTCTAAAAATAAAATTATCTCAATGTTTTATTTATTTTGCCTTTATCAGTTAAGTATTAATTAGCAACCTGTAGAAATGTTTAAGACATTTTAAAAAAGAAATAAAATCTAAGCACATTATAAATGCTATTGATACAACGCATAGAAGGAACTGCAGTGTTTTTTTGTGTTCAGAAGTATTTCGGGCGGGGCTAAGATGGTGGTGACTTTTCCCCAAAACAAGGATCGCCTTTTCCCCCCACAGGTTATACTGTTACTACGCATGCGCAAGGGTTCTGGTCTGTGCGCGACCGTCAGTGGAACAGCTAGCTAGCAAAACAACCCAGCCCGCGAGAACGGAAGTGGATTGCATAAATGGGCGGAGTTTAGGATGTAGAGCGGAAACGGCTCATAAACTTGTCCATAGGCCTAAATTTTCCCCAGCTTGTTAAGAAGCAGATGATTGGCTTTCCCGCGGGAGGGGCGGGACATGAAGTAGATGATTGGCTTTCCAGCGGAAGGGGCGGGACATGTGCATACAGTCGCCATATTTACCGTTATGTATTTTTCTTAAAAACACGTGTTGAAGTGGCGTGTCTCCTACTTGGTTCTACTCGAAGTTGCTACAGCCTGGAGTCTGAAGTCATCGACGTCGACTACCATCGTTTAGATAAGTACATTTTTCCTTTGTGTTTAACACAATAATATGTTTATATTCTTTTCAGTTTACTCATAAAATATGCTGTCTGGTAGTAATCACCTCAGCATTTAATAAAAATGGGTTTTAGTCAGTAGTGTAAATTGTAGATACACGGTTCATTCCGAGCGCGGCTATGGCTAATGCCATTGTAGTTATCATGAAGGAAAAAAAGTTCAAATGTAATATGAAGTCAAACCCTTCTTAAATATAGTTGTTTTGCCAAGTTTCAAAGTGCTGCCGTCTGTTTATCTGCACACAAAAAAACGACCTCACCAGCCCACACCCACCGGTTAACTTTTGGTGTTTTCTAACAAACAGATTTGTAATTCTGTGAACTGCTGTACATTTCATGTTAGAGGACAATTTAATGAATACATTTGGCGGGTATTTTTTCCCCCCACGGCATAACAACTGATTCCTAACGTTAACAATGCGTTTTGTTGTTGTTGTTCACATTTTCTTGCAGATATCTTGACCAGAGCATTACCGGTTATCTTCACCCAAGAGACCTACTGTTGGACAATCTTTTTGGATTTAACGGTAAATGCATTGTTAGTCACAATGTCTAGTTACTGGGCCAAAAGGAGAAGAATATTGAAAGGAGTTGAGAGGGATAAAAAGGAAATTACGGCTGCAAACAATGCTCTACTTGCTCTTTTTCCAGTCTTTGACCAAGTAACTCCCCATGTTAATGAACATCTATATGGAATGGCTACAACAAGCCATGTACAAACTGTGACCACTGTAGCACAGGAAATAATTGTTGATGAGGCATGTGAAGCTGGTGAGATGTTTTCCTCAAGCACATAAGATGATGAAGAGGAAGAGGATTGCCTAAGGACACAATTGGCAGGGTGGGCTACTGACAACATGATCCCCCATGTGGCACTTGGTAAGCTTTTAACCATTTTGTTCAAGGATCATCCAACCTTTCCTAAAGACCCAAGAACCCTTCTTAAAACGGTGACTTGTGTTAAAACAACAGAACTCTCAGGTGGTGTATACCATCACTCTGGAATTGAAAGTGGAATACTATCGCAGTTGTTGATGTCTCCTGAATTGCAGAAGTTGACGTCAGTTTCAATGCAAGTTAATGTTGATGGATTTCCACTTTTCAGAAGCTCAAATGCCCAGTTCTGGCCAGTTCTCAGTTTAATTGAGCAATACGTGGGTAATGTCCAGCAAAACAAACTTCCGTTTGTCATTGGTCTCTATTATGGAAAGAAGAAGCCAACCAGCCTTCACTTTTTGAATCCTTTTGTAGAAGAGGCACAGCGGCTTGAAGCGGAAGGAGTTCTGTTTGAAGGGAGAGCACTTTCTTTCGAAATATCAACATTCCTCTGTGACGCCCCTGCTTGTGCGCTTGTTAGAAATGTGAAAGGTCACAGTGGATATTATGGGTGTGACAAGTGTGTTCAAAAGGGGGTCCACTACGAGAACAGGATGACTTTTCCTCAAACAGATGCTACTCCAAGTAGACGATGCACTCCGTGATGAACTTTCTGATGACAGTCATCAGTGTGGAGAAACGCCATTGTCATTGTTGTCTGTTGGATTGGTCACGCAGTTCCCATTGGATTATATGCATCTGGTATGCCTTGGAGTGACAAGAAAGCTGTTACACCTTTGGCTAAAGGGACGGCGGCTGACAAGATTTTCGCCCAGCATGGTAAAAGAGCTCTCCAGAGCTGCGAAGCAACGATCCATGGAAGATGTCGAGCGTTGGAAAGCTACAGAATTCAGGCAGTTCCTCTTGTACGCTGGACCAGTCAGCTTAAAAGGCCTTGTACCAACTCAAGTGTACAACAACTTCATGCTGCTTTCAGTTGGCATTACCATCCTACTGAATGTGTCCCTGTGTGCTGACCTTGCAGACTATGCACACAGAATTTTGGTTCTCTTTGTTGATCACTGCAGCAAGCTTTATGGAAAAGAACAAGTGACCTACAACATGCATGGATTAGTGCACCTCAGCCAAGATGCCAAAAAGTATGGTGTCCTTGATAATATCTCATGCTTCCCATTAGAAAACTTCTGTGGGCGCCTGAAGAAACTGTTGCGCAAGCCTACAGAACCACTGGAGCAAGTTGTTCGCCGATTGTCAGAGAGAAGTCAGCACAAAAGAACAAACTTCTCCAAAACAAGATCCTTGAGAGAGCACAACCATGGACCACTCCTCACTGGTCTTCCTGTGAAAAAGCAGTATTGGAAAAAAAAAGTGTTGGAAAATAAGGACATAGTACTCATACAGAATGTCGTTGTTGATGAAATGGACAACACTTTGGTCATCTACGAGAGGTTCTGGAACATGGTTGATTTCTTTACACGCTAGGCATTTTTCATGAGTGGGAACCTCACATCATAGATACGATATGATTTTGCTCCTTATTTCTGAAATATAGAAAGTTAACAACTCTTGGCCCGTTGTCTGCAGTCGGAAGGATTTTTTTTAAATGAAAAAAAAGAGTTCCTAGGGATCCAGCTGGGGTTTAAATACCCTTCCACTCATCTCTTCATTTTCTTTACTCCAACCCTCCACTGTTGCTTCCTCGTACCAGAAGTCACAGTTCTGGCATCACCACAGCCCCGCGCGCGGCACGGTTCCCGTGGCCCCGCTGTGGGGGCCTCCGTGTCCGTCCTCGTTGGAGGAGTTAGGGCAGGAGGATTGTCAGGAGACATGTGCAATGAGTCTGACGCGGTTCTGGATGTCATGGCGGCACAGCGGGCACGTCTCTAACTGTAAGGCACACTCCATACAAATACCACTGGAAGAGGAGGAGGAGGACAGGGGCGGGGGGGGGGGAGGGGGGGCACGAAGGGAGATTTCAATAGCCAACCATAGAACATTATACAGAAGAAAATGGACTTGGGTTTTCAGTTTTACAAAGACAAACTTGTCTCGTTGATATTCTGACTATCTGTACCTACAATATTGTAATTTCAGACGGTGATGACTCAAGCAGCATTTGCCGGCACCAGATGCACACGTACCCGTGGCCACAGGGCCGTAGCTCCGTGTCAGCCATGACGTCACAACACAGCGTGCAGCAGTTGTCCCGGATGCTAACCTGCTTCAGTAAGGCCAGGCGTCGTTGTCTGTGAAACACACACACACACACACACACACACACACACACACAACATTTACATTCTTTATATCCTCCGTTTACTCGCCGTTTCTTATATCAGTAATATGTGCACCGCTTAGATCCAATGACAACAGGATTGTAATATTATAATAATTATCTTCTTTGTCCAAAATAAATGGTTTTACATCCTGTCCAACTTCTGTGTAGGCATCGGATTGCGACAGAATTGAGTCTCTTTCGGCCAGTCAAATGAAATCAGATCATTTTCACCTTCACAAAACATATTATTCAAGACAGGCGGGGAGATACTTTAAACACTTTGTCTCAAATTTACGTGTAATAAGTGACATCAACAGTGCATTTAATCTTAGTGTTCCGCTGCCGGTGAGCCGTGGACGCTGGATCCCTGTCGCATTTTGCACATGTGACCGACTCCTGTCTCCTCCTTCAGGTCAACTTTTAAGTAGTTATTACTTAAGAGTCTTAAGAGCTGCTTTGATGGGTGCAACAAACTAGTCTAAAATACTGTCTGTACTCAGGAACAATCCCCAAAAGGTGTTGGACACAGTGTGCAAGTGATTCACTAGTCGGGGAGACAGGAAGTTTATTGTAGACACCAAAGATCAGCTCATAATCCGTTACCTCGGTATGATGATCTTTTCACCGGGCAGCAGTGAAGCGAAATCGTTGAAGGTGCTGAACTTGCCAGGCGGCGGGTGACGGAAAGGCTTTGCCCCAAAGTTGAACTCGCACTGCTGGTAAGACATGAAGCTGGCTGCTGCAAAGAAACCGGACCTGATGGACACAAGACAGGGAACGGTAAATACACAGGGAGGGGGGGGGGGGGGGGGGGGGTGAAAGAGTATGAGGACGGACAGCTGGAAGCAGGCACAGGACAAAAAAAAGAAGAAAGGTATTAAAGAGGCGACTGTGGACATACGTGGCTGAGGAGAAGACCTGTTTCTCCGGTGGCAGCTGATGTCCATTCAGATAGAAAACCATTTGCTTCTTGCTGAGGTCCAACAGGAAGCCGATGGCATCTCCTAAACAGGCCGCACCGCAGAGCGATTAAGTCGCAGCGCGCTGCTGTTACTATTATCCGATACTTTGTGTGTGAGAGACAGCCACAAAACATGCCCAGAGACACTAAAGCAACTTCTAAAACCAAAAAATTTTATAAAATGTTTAAATGTGATGTCTTTTCTAATATTCAGTAACACAAACGTTCTTTGGAGTGAATGATTGAGGTAAACAGTGTGTGTGTGTGTATTGCTTACCATCCTTCCAGCAGGGGTGAGAGTGCGGTTTACAGCGAGCGTTGTACCAGATGAGCTGCCTGCAGCCATCATACGCACACGAGTATTCGTCGTCGCCTATCCCATAGCCTTCCTGTGAAAAACACACACACAGCGCTAATTTAGGCGAGCGCGGACAAGCAGCGGCTGCGGTGGGAAGGCGAGCAGTGCGGACGCCGGCGAGCCGCACGTGGTTGAGGAACTTGCTGTCCTTGGTGGCCCATCCGATTTGCATCACGCCGGAAGTGATGACCGTCACCTCGTAGTACCAAACGCCCGAATCCACGCAGAATGTGCAGCGCACGCTCTCAAAGGACGAGGCATCGCACCGCGCCTGAGGAGGGGAGGAGAACGTTCATGAAATAATTTTGATTTTAAATGAACACGTAAAAACGTTCCCATCCGGCTAATGGGTGTAAATTGTTAAACAAGGCAACATTTCCTGTTGAGCATTGTGAATGACACACACACCTCTAGTCCAGTGGGGCAGATCTTGAGGTACTCGCTGACATCATTGCTGTTGAGCATGGCGTTGATGTTGGTGAGGTTGACCGTCTCGTAGGTAAACTGACGACCCTCCTTTAGGACTGGACAAAAGAAACGTTTTCTTGAGGGACTCACACACCCAAAACACAAATGGCTACTTAAAAAGGCCTCGTCTAGCGTGGCCCTTTGTACTCACAAAGGTTGTCGAGGCTCCATTGTGAGCAGAACCCGACCTGCCTCTTGAGGTAGTCGGGATGCTCCGCCCACGACTCCAGCACAGCGAGTCGATTGCTGATGCACGACTTTGACACCGTCCGCTTGTTCTCACCTGCAGAGAGAGAAGATCGTTAATATGCTTTAGCACACCGATGTTACATTGACACCAATTAGCAATTTACACATTGGCTTGACTAAAAACTGATGAACAGCACATCCGTGTCTCTCCTGCACTGCGATATCTTTTCACATGCAACAGTGATCACACAGGGAAGCCGCGGAAAGCAGAAGTTGGGACGTGTTAATGTCGTTCCTTTGATAAGGGCACTCTAGTTCATCAGTTTCTTTTACAAGCCACAAGATTTCAACTGACTCATCGCGAATCCTCAACGTGAGCTGCCTCTTAAAATACAGCGGGTGAACTCACTGGTCTGGGAGAACTTCTCCAAAGCGATGAGGGCAAACAGCATGACCGTAGGGTGGGCTTCAGAGCTCTGGAGGAAGATTTACAGAAACGATCAACACGTTGCAACAGTTTCATTCGTGACACACGTTGTGATGTTTTAATGACACCACTGCGTTGTGTTGCTTTTTGTTGGATCAGTCTGACTTTACAACTCTGACAAGGCACATTAGAGTGAGTGGAGGCATCGGCAGGAGTGATGAGAAAGTGTGTGTGTGTACATGCGCACTCACGAGGCTCTCTAGAAGGTATTCAAGGGTTCCAGGGCTCAACAATCCAATACTCGCTGGACCTGAAGAAGAAACGGAAAGAAATGGTGTTGAGGATTAAATCTCTCAAGGAGACTCCTTCATGAACGGCTTTATTATTCAAAGATTATTTTGTGACTGAGCAAAGCCGGTCTAATCTGACTAATCAAGACAGAACAGAATCTACGACTACAAAATACATCAAGCTATCCTTGATAGCAAAAGTAAAACCTAAATTGCAATCTTTGATTTTCAATGAGCCGTTAAGCAACCGGGGGAAGCGCCGCTGACTCGAGGGTCTGAAAGTGTCCCGTGTGTAAATGTGGGATTTACCAGCCAGTTTCTCCGCTAGGCATCCCAGGACGGCCGTGGTGTTCCTGTGCTTCGCTGGGTTTAGAGCGTCCTGTCGCGCTATGGCCAAACTCAGACTCAACATGTCGGACAGTTTCTGGAGAGCATCCTGAGCAGAGCAGAGGGAGCAGTTACTCTGATGAAAGTCTGACTCACACACACACACACACACACACACACACACACACAACTGGAGGAGATTCTTTGGACCAACAGCTGGAGAAAGTAAATCAAATCTACTTTATTAACAGAGACAAAGTGCTGCAGCAGAAAGCACCATCAGACAACATCAGTGTCAGCACAGTCAGTGCTGATTATACGCATCCACAAGGGCGTGTTTCAGGTTTGTATTTCACTCTTTTTAGAGCTGCTGGGTGTTTAAGGCTTCGCATTTTCAGTTTGAAACCGTCAAAACATGTTTTGTTAAGTGAAGCAGAATCATCTTTGAATACTGGAATGACTACAGGGTTCATACTGTTTGGCAGACAGGTGACCTCGTGTTCAAAGCTAGCAGCCCAAATGAATCCTTCTGTGTCATACACAGTTATTAGCCACTAACCTTGGTGGGCAGAGGACACTCGTCCAACAGAAGCGTTATCACTGCGGGGCCAAGCGGATCGTCCAATGGGATCACTTGAATCAGCGACTGCACAATCTCCAGCCAGCCATCATCTGAGGGAGAAGAGAGGAAATCATTCAAAGGGGACTCAACGGATTAAAGTGATATGGGCCATTCAGATTAAATTACATGGCAGTTAGCTGACGCTTTTATCCAAAGCGACTTACATTTTTAACCAATGTTTTTTTAACATTTTGAGCAGTTAGGGGTCAGGTGTCTTCCTCAGGGACACTTGAGGGACTCCACCATTATAACAGGAATATAACCAAAATTACTTCCCCCCTGGAAAAATGTGGGAAAAAAAGTTCTAGTTGCTATTTTTACCCTAAGGTGGAAGCCTCGGGCAAACACTGATAACGCACACAACAATCACCCCAAGATTATTATCAGCTGCATTATAAACACTAAAACACCCTTTTTATGTTCGTTAGATGACTCAATAAGATACTATGAAAGCCAACTAGGTGATGAATAATGTAGCATTAAGTCAAACGGAACGGGAGCGGCTTGCTGCTTGGCTGCCTTCAGGGTTCAGTGTCTGCAAGCAAAGACCCGACAATCATCAAAATTCCCGGGAATCTTCACCAGTCAGCTGAAATGATGAATCCCTCGGAAAGTTTGAGAAAAAAACTCAACTGTTCAGCTACAGTCCAGTAGATGTTTCATTTCAATATGGAGACGACCATTAAATTGTTTAGACAAGTGTGATTATTGATGACAAAGGGAGCCAATGTTCCAACATTTTCCCCCTTTTATAAACCATTGATGCGTCCCGTTGCTTACCGCGCGCGCGTGGGTGTGTGTGTGTGTGTGTTAGCCTTTCACCTCGACAAAGTGATGTCTAAGAAGTCCCTGCCAAGGGAGTAGATGAGTGTTTGCCATTGGCCTTTACCTGTTTCTGCCATCTCGTGCAGAGTGATCATGGAGTAGGGGGGCTCTTGGTCACTGAGGAAAAAAAGAGGTTTGAACAGAATGTGGTAACAGCCCGATTCTCACATCTTTCTCCTTCCACATAATTGCTCTGCATCGCAATCTCTATTTTTTGTATTACTTGAATGTATTTGAGAACATGTGTTACACGTTAATTTCAAGTGTTTTTGACACTGTGATCACTGCACATGAAACAGTATCAGACATGGGATTCATGACTGTGTGCACTTGGGATTCGGCAAAGGGCCGAGGGTGATGTTGTCCAAAGGGGAGGGGGGGGGGGGGGAGGTGTCACGTGTACATGTTTTATTTCAGTGGTTGTTGTTGTTGTTTTTGATGCTGCTGCTGTCACGGTTTTCTGTCCTGGCTCGTCCCAAGTGCTTTCATTATTGCAGCTAACTCGATGCTCATGATTCTTAACACAACTAAGAATTACTTTCGTTTATAAGTCAAATGTGAACGCATTCTTGGAATTGTTCATGCATGTTTAATACAGGGCTGGAAAAGTATTCAAAAGACAGGGGTTCAACGTACAGTATTTATGTAAGTGTTCTCTTTACAAACTTTATTATATTTATTTAGCTTCATTTTGCAAACATTTTTCGTGATCGTGTCCAAGGTAATGGAACCAGCTTCCAAATTATGTGGTTCCATAAGAGATGAAGTATTTGATTTACTGTCAATAAATATCCCGTTCACTTGATAATCATTTAAGCTACAAAATAGAACCGTCATTGTTTTGCACCAAATTCAACACGGAGCACCTCAACCTTGAAATTCAGTAACTAATTGACCAAGATATCGCTTCCCTGAACACACCAACATTACTGACTTGCACAAAGGGCTTTAAGTAGTTCTACCTATTGAAGCCTCTGGAGGAGGAGCAAAGTTTTTCAGCCCGCTGGCAACAAGTCATCAATATACATAAAGTACACACGGACTGCTGCAGAGCACATTTCAACAGTAATTGAAATACAAAGATAAGTCCGCAGTTTGGTTAATTTAATTTTCTTCGTTCGAGTGAAAGTGACTTTAGTCAGTTTGATCAAAGGCGTTTTAAGTCAAAGTCGTAGTCTTAAAATAAAAGTTTCCAGTGCTTGAGTCGATCATCATGTTCGTACGTCTCAAATACTGAATATGACAAAACACGATCGAGAAGCTCTGCATGTTCCAAGCCAACGTCTGACGGAAATACGCTGGTTCGCCATGATTTCTTTCACAGAGCACTTGTGTCTTACATGCCCATTTCATTATAGCTACTAAAGAATCTATAGAAAATGTTTTCAATTTCATAATTGCTTTTAATGAGACTTACTTGTCCACCAATGTCCTGATGACAGCCAACGTGTCCAGCACCAGGCTGTCAACATTCTGCTTCTTGCGTCTCGGCTCGTGAGGCCCTCGGCCTCTGCGCGGCGGCCTGACCGGGTCCCTGGGTCTGCTGCTCAGCGCCTCTGCGGCGTCGCCACCAACGCCCATACCGCGATCCACCCGCCTTGCTTGTCCTCTGGTTGCCCTCGACGACCGATGGTTGTGGTCTTCCAAGGCACTGTCCTCACGGCACACGCAGCTGTTACCCATGGTGCGAGAGACCACACTGGCAAGTGTCTCCCAGAAGGGAGAGCGCGAGCTGGTGGAGGAAAAGAAGAGCAGCCCCCTTGCAAGGCCTCTGCAAGCACAGAAAGTGATCCAGGTGGCTACTATCATATCATTTGGCAAGCTTGGTTTTTGGGCACTACTGTCCCAGCGGGATGGGCCGGGTCAACGTGAATGGTCATAGTGTTGCCAAGCACAGATGTGGGATTGGTTTGTGAGTAATATTTTAGCTAGTCAAATAGATGAGGGATCTGATGATGCACAGGGGAAAGCGTTGAACATCTTTGAGAGGCCGAGGCTCAGGCCTGGTGCTCCTCCAGGGCTCCTGAGGCACAAACAAAACAAGGTTCAGTTTGTTAAAGTATACATAATCGTTTAGCAGCTGCTTGTTTTCTTCCAGCGGCAAAGCTTAAACAACTCGCTGAAAACACCCTTATAGAACGGAATGGGAATCCTTGAAGAAAGCAAATAGTGGAAACTAGAAACAAAAATCCACATTTTAAGATTAAGAAGTCTCACGAGTGAAGTAGAAACTATCCTGCGTGTACTATTAGCATTTTAGTCTGTAGTCGTGCCGTGTTACTGAGACCTTTTAGCATTGTTGATATAATAGCTATTTGGAGTTAGCTCGCTAGCCAGCTAGCCACCCACCAAGCAGGCATCGTAACGTAGCGGTTCCAAATGAAGACCCATTCTCACAAGTCAGCATTTTGGTTGGTGAACTATAATGGTTCAATTTGATCCGAAACGCATACTTACGTTGCAACCACTTGAAAACCAGCAGCCTTCAAACTCAAGTCGATCCAGAACGAAGTGCTGAACAAAACAGAGAGCTAACTAGCCAGCTGCGCTGTGTGTTGCTAACCAGCTAGCGGATAGCCGGTGTACCTCCTCTGATCCTACCGTCAAACTACACACGAAGCTAACGCGAGTAGCACCGATCCTACGCGTGGTACTCAAACGCCGTTTTGGTATAAAGGCACGTTTGAGTGACTAGTTAGTATTATTAAACACATATTTACTGCGCTCGCTGACAAGCGCCCTCATATGACGACCAGCAAACACCCCTCACACACATTTTAACGAGCCTACACCGCTAGCGCCTGGCTAAGTTCCGTAGCGGTTGCAGCTAAAAGCTCCATCAGCTCCGATCTTTCTTCTATTGTGCAAGAAGGGATACTCTAGATGTGGTTGTTTGGATGCGTGCGTGTGTGTGTGTGTGTGTGTGCGTGTGTGTGTGTGTGTGTGTGTGTATGTGTGTGTGTGTGTGTGTGTGTGTGTGTGTGTGTGTGTGTGTTTTATTTATGTAACGTATGTGACGTTATATTTAACAGAAAGGAAAAATAAAAAAAATGACAACAAGTTCTAAATGTGACATCATATAAAAATGTGAATGAATGAAAATAAACCATAAATTAATTGAAGGCACCCAAATGGTAGGAGGCGACTTTCCGAGTGTCCCTGAACGCTCCCCAGCAGTCACAAGATCAAAAACCCCTCAGAATAGTACCAGGCATAAATAATAATTCAATTTTAAAGGGCACCTATACTACATGATGTAATACCTTTGAATGTTTTAATTCAATACGGAATAAATGTGTTATCTTCTTGCAGTGGGGTCGTTTCTTAACTTTACAAAGAGGAAACTTAAGGAGAGAACTATGAATAGTTCAAGGTGAAACGGCATTTGAAATGGTAAAAAATACACGAGAATCTGTTTATCGGTCCTCCAAAAAGTCTTTATTTTATTTATTTATTGAGCTCTCCCACATATGTATGATGGTATGCTTAGTACTATCAATTCAAAGAAATAAATGGGTAAAGGCATCCACTGCATGCAGTGTCACAAATACAACAAACCAGAATAAAATACAAGCTGTTTTATCTTTACATTCAGGGACTAAACACTTAATTCACTAATATCCGTTGAAGAACAGCTGCTGTTAATATTGTCCCTGTCCGAATGAATAATGAATAACTTCATAAGCTCAGTTGGCCAGGGCCCCCAAGACAACGACTGGTTAAGAGTCAGATGCAACGACAAACTGTGTGAGCGCCCCTTTGATAGTCAATACAGTAAAGTGCGATGACAACGTTATCGCCAAGTGGTGCTGTCATGCACCCGACTGCGGTCCAGGGTGGTATTGAAAGAGTTGTCGCGATACTATGGAATGCAGTTTTAGTTACAATTAAATAAATACATGAATAAATACATGAAATATGCATTTGAAATACATCATGAAATAAATAAATGAGGCAGTAAATATTAAATACATTTAATTATTTCATGGTGCTTTTATTTCATAATGCCACTTTTCATTTCCAGAGACTTTTATTTCATAATGCCGTTTTACATTTCCAGAGACTTTTATTTCATAATGCCGTTTTTCATTTCATGGTACTTTTATTTCATAATGCCACTTTTCATTTCATGGTACTTTTATTTCATAATGCAACTTTTCATTTCCAGAGACTTTTATTTCATAATGCCGTTTTACATTTCCAGAGACTTTTATTTCATAATGCCGTTTTACATTTCACGTTCTTATAGGCAAATCAGGGGGCGTGGCTATATCTCACATTCAGAACAGACAACAGAGCCGTGTGCAAAAGAAGGCTGGCTAAGGGACGTGAGTGCCCAGTGAGCACAAGACGTAATTTCAACGTTGAAATATGGTTGAAATGGATTGAAATGAGGTCTGAACGTCTAAGACCTCCTTTCAACGTCTTTTCAACCGGCTAAAAATGGGATGAAACATCAACGTGCCAGAAAACGTCAATTTGTTGATAAATGTGTCATATTGTAACGTAAGGTTGAAAGAGAGACGATATTAACATTAAGATTATTATAGTAATGAACTGGTCGGCGAAATTTACTCTAAGCGAAGACGTGATTACAACGTATTTAATATTTTACTTAAAACGTCATAAATATGAAACGACGGACTGCGTGCTGTTAATAAGATGCGTTTAAGACATAATAATGCGGGCAGGTTCAAACATTACTCGTAAACACGTAACTCCGCTGACGTCTGTAACGCGCATGCGCGAGTTCTTAGACGCCTGCAGAGCTCCGACCGGGTGCCGCACGAGGCAAAGTTACGGCAGCAGAGCGACATGAACGAGCTGTGAACCACGACTACCGGCTCCACTACTCTGTAAGTACGTGAGTGTTTGAATGAAGCACACATGGAACTATAACCGGGTGTTACTTGTGCTGCCCACCCGATACGGGAAAGACGGTCCTTTTTGTTAAGCTAGTTAGCATTAGCGCAGGTAGTTTGCTAGTTAGCATGCTCGCTTGGAGCGTTCAGCATGATGACCTGGACCAAAAGTAAACATCCCAGAATATTTTTTGTGTGTTTGGTGTTGCTAATGCGTACCCATAAATATTATTGCATTTCACATTGAAAATACGTTTTTAAAGCAATGGGGGCTAAATACAGATTGCAGGGGTGAAGGGCTGAATTCAACAAGTTGTGGTCTGTAAACAAGAGGGCCAACACATTGTAAGTTACTGCGTGCTTAAAGCATGATACTGTGTAATATACCTGGAAATGTTACTCCAGAAATACCATAAGTTGCAGATGAATTGTTATCTTGTTTATAATGTAATAAGTGAACAATCTATAAATGAGGATTCTAACACACCTGCTGCTGTTATTATTACTAGTTTATTAATGTCATCATAAACCCAAATGACCAACTTTGCCTTTGTGCTTTCCCTCCTCACAGGTTTCTGTGGGTGGTGGTTGCATCTGATGGAGGTTACGTCTGATGATGGTTGTCCCTGCACTGGTCCTGCGTTACCCCAGGCTTAATAATCCACTATATTTGAATCATTTCTGTTGTAGGAATTGAATGTACTGTACATCTTTTAAGTCGTTCATACTCTACACACCTACTTCCCTGCTGTTTTCCCCTCAGGTTTCTCCCGGTTGAAGGTTTTTTATATTATGGGGGTTTTGGGACAGGGTGTTGCGTGTTTACAGATTCCAAAGCTGAACAAAATAAAATGCATAAACACGTTGACCAGAGGAATCTGCAATTGAGGGGTGTTCTGTGCACTCTGACTCCCTTTACACAAAGAATCCTCAAGTGAGGATGTTGGAGATGCAGCTGATTTCAGGTATACTATCCCAACTCAAGTGACTCACAGCCATATCTTGTTACAGAATCTAAAAATTAAGTTCCAATGATTCAGAAAATTGGTCTACTAACACAAAACTGTTGTTTTTCAACACAGAAATGTTGTTTCTGCAATTTTAATTTCATGGTTTATTTCCCTGAAATAGATATTTTATTTCTGTATCGTTTTTAATTAGCAAAAGTGTTGTTATATGTATAGTGTTATATTTATAATAAATACAAATTAATAAAATAATGTGTTTGTCCTTGTTAAGGGCTGTTAACATGACAACTGTGACTAAGTATGTAACTTGTAAGTTTCCAGCAGGCAAATCATCCGTTGAAACAGCGTTTAAAAGACGTCTATGGCTCAACGTTGAAAAGACGTTGCAAATTGGTTTAAAAGTGAAAGTTGTTTCAACGTCTATTCATAGATGTTGAAAAGACGTTCGCGTATGGACCACATTTCAACGTGATTTATAATATCGGTGGTAAACTTACAAATGTGGACGTAGTTTCTTTTTAAACCTCTAAAATAATGATATAGCACACAAGAGAGGACGAAATATTACCATATGAAAAAATCACTTTGAAATGTGGTCTAAACATAGACGTCTTTTCAACGTCTACAAATAGATGTTGAAACAACTTTCACTTTTAAACCATTTTGCAACGTCTTTTCAACGTCTACAAATAGATGTTGAAACAACTTTCACTTTTAAACCATTTTGCAACGTCTTTTCAACGTCTACAAATAGATGTTGAAACAACTTTCACTTTTAAACCATTTTGCAACGTCTTTTCAACGTCGGGCATAGACGTCTTTTAAACGTCTTTTAAACCAAAAAAATGCTCACTGGGTGTTGACATAATGGAAGATATTGGTGGGCTCCGAGGTAGCATCCTAGCATTAGCAGATCAAATCGATCAACATGGGTTTTCTGCAGATACGATTTTGACGCATATTGAGGGTTTTTTGGAAATACTAGGGCAGATAAGTGCTCTTCAAGATGTATACATAGACGACGAAGTTTTAAATTGTTTAAGACTGATTGAGCACCGCGTGCGTGTGGAAGAGGTCCAAGTTGATAAAGTCAAGATTAGCTGGTACTACAAGCACAGGTGCTGGACGCCCGCCTCTGGATATTCCTGGCGACAAGCTGGCTAACTTTGTGTTTTCCGGTCTATCAACCTGAGAAATCGCGGATCTGATTGGTGTGTCATCCAGCACGATTCAGAGGAGATTGTCCGAAGAAGGCCTTAGGCAAGTTAACTTACTTATTGAGCTAAAGAGTAGGCTATGGTGGGCAAAAACATTTATAATACTGCCGCTTTTGGCCCCCCTTTACGGGCTGTGGATCCTGGACTATATACTTTCCCATATATTCTAAAACCTTTAAACATCCCTAAATATTTGCACATACTGCACTGATCCATGCCATACAGCAGTGGTTCCCAACCTTTTTTCCTTGCCGTCCCCCTACTTTTGTAGAAAAGCTGCGACCTCCGCCCCCCAGCAGGGCAGCACCCCATAATAGCCGGAGTCATGGAATTTCCCCTTGCGGGATTAATAAAGTATTAATTATTTATTATTATTATAAATACTGGCTACTACCACAGGCCAGGAGCCTCTACTACCACAGCCCAGGAGCCTTTACAGGGGGGCCGCAATGCCTGAAAATCCCCGCACGAATTTCCTGTAATAGAAAGCTAAACCCAAAAAAGATTTTAAAATGTGGTCTAAACATAGACGTCTTTTCAACGTCTACAAATAGATGTTGAAACAACTTTCACTTTTAAACCATTTTGCAACGTCTTTTCAACGTCTACAAATAGATGTTGAAACAACTTTCACTTTTAAACCATTTTGCAACGTCTTTTCAACGTCTACAAATAGATGTTGAAACAACTTTCACTTTTAAACCATTTTGCAACGTCTTTTCAACGTCTACAAATAGATGTTGAAACAACTTTCACTTTTAAACCATTTTGCAACGTCTTTTCAACGTCGGGCATAGACGTCTTTTAAACGTCTTTTAAACCAAAAAAATGCTCACTGGTCTGTCGGGGTGGGCCACTCACATATGACACGCACCTTCTCCTCCACTGTGCCG